TCTAGTATTCCTGAAGCCCTCTGTACATCCATCTTCATCACTATCCTCTCCTTTCAAAGGTAATAACTTCACTGATTTTTATGATATTGTTACATTGATTTCTTGTCTCCATATTTAAATAGAATCATGTTACATGTATTCTTTGTAAAACTTTCAACATTATTTGTAAGATTCACCCAGCTTGATGAGTACAGCTGTCGTGATTCATTTTCTACTGATGCATAAATGCTCGTGTGTTATTAACATACTGTAAGTTATTTTCCCAATCCGCTATTGATGGACATGGATCTCCGTGTTTCCGGTTTTGTTGTTTTTATGAAACACTGCTGTGAATATTCTTGCACACTACACCCTAGAGAGATGCGTTTGCAAATGTTTTCTTTGGGAACTGTCACCTAGAGATGAGATTACTGGCTTATCCGTTCCCACTTGCTCAACTTTACTGGGTTTTTATAAGATACCCTTAGGTTTGATATATTTTCTCTTAATTTTTTAAAAATTTGTTTTCTCTTAAAGAGTCATTCCTTTTTTTAATTTTTAAAAAGTGAAAAATGCAATTTTCATACAACTATAGGATGAGCACATGTCAAAAACTTTAACTCAGTAATTAATGAGGGAATCCTTAGGGTGGTTAAGTCTGGTTCAAGGGAGAATCTGAGGGCTGGAGATTTACATTGTTGGTCACAGGAATGCTGAAAGGATGTTGCTAATATACAAAACTGGTTAATGTCTGATAGGGTGATAAAACTGTAATCTTTTTTTTATCAGTGAGAAATCCACCAGTCAACAGAACTTCATAGTGTGTGGGCTCTAATCAAATAGTAAACAGCAAAGTCAAACACAGATAACTAAATATTTCTTAGATGAGTTTGGTAATAACATCGACAGGTCACTTTTATGTCTTCTTTCCAAGTTTGGGATATTTTTTCTTAAAAATACTGTACTTTGCTTCCAAGTCTTAGGATCTAAAGGAGAACGTATTAAAGTGTTTTGTTAACTGTAAAGAGCCAAATATATTTTCGTTGTTATGGTGGTTTTACAAAGCCCCTTGAATAAACTATTAGAATGAATGCTGATATGGGAAGGGAGTTAATTATTGAATACCTATTTTTTAAACTATTAGGGTTTTTGTTTTGTTTTGGTTTTTGTTTTAAAGATTATTTAGAGCATGAGCAAGCATGAGCAGAGGGAGCAGAGGGAGAGGGAGAAGCAGACTCCCCGCTGAGCAGGGAGCCCCATGTGGGACTCCATCCTAGGACCGAGATCATGACCTGAGCCGGAGGTCAGGTCTCTCCCAGTGAGAGAGCGAGAACCAACTGAGCCACCCAGGTGCCCCTTAAACTATTGTTTTTAATCTAATTTCATTCTTAAAAAAAGACGTGAAAACACACAGAATCTGCTTTAGTTATCTCTGTAAGATGGGGATAATAGTTACGCCTACCTCATTGGGCTGTTGTAAGAATTATTGAGCAATACAGACTGACTGCTAAAAACAGTGCCTGGCATACAGTAAATTCACAAGAAATGTTGGTTTACTGAGTGTTTGATCTGTTATTTAAATACTTCTACTGGAGTTTATTTTTCTTTAATACCAATATATTCAATTCCTAGAAATTCTATTGGTTCTTAGTTTCTGCCTTTTTTTTTTTTTTTTTTAAATAATGCCTTATTCTGGTCTGATGTTTTAAATTCCTTTGCCTTTAATCTTCTAAACATGCTTATGGTCTTTCTTCAACACTACTGTTACGTAAAATGTCCAGTTGTTGTGTCTACAGCTTCTCACAGCCCTTGTTTGTTCATTTTTTTTTTCTAATTAAAAGATTTGCTCACTGCTGTTAACTCCACACATCCTTTAGCAAAATAAATCTTAGCCCCTACAGTTAATTTTTAAAATCCTAGATTATTAACTGGAAACGGCTGACTTCTTCAGACCAGTTGGAAACAGAGAAACTCATTGTGTCCTCATAGCCTTGGGAAGATTCTACCCTGCCTGTCTAGGTTTTTATTTTACAGCACATTTATTTGTAACTTGGCCTACTTCACTTCTAGAATCACCTGTTTTATGTTTCCAGGCTATTTCCCCACGCTGGACACCAGTATTCATTTGGATGGATGTCCACTACGTAATGCAAGTGGAGCTCTGGGCCAGTTAGCGCTTCCCTGAGTCTGGGTTTTCGCCTCTGTGCAAAGAGGATAATGGGGATGTGCAGTTTAATTACCGTGCGCTGTGGAGCCTGTCGTAGTGTAAGCACCCTGTCAGCTTTTACTGGTATTGTTTTTCTTTGTACGACTCTTTTGTACAAATCCAATGCAGCCTGATAGTACGACCATTCCAACAGTTGAGTCACCATGAGCTCCTTGCCCTCTCCGTGGTATCCCCTAATCTGGCTGTGTCTGGCTCTGCCATCTTGTTTTTCTGGCTTGCTTGTGGTCCCCTGTGCACACCATGCTTGGTTGCCTCTCCACGCAGATGGAGTTTGCCTGGTCTCAACAACTCCGCTCTTGGCGGCCTCTGGCCAAGTCCTCTCACCATCCTTCAGAGCTCAGGGCTCCCTGTGCTTTATGAAGAAGGCTTTTGACCAAGTTTAATCCACACTGATCTCTTTTGAATTCGAAACCCTCTGTGGAGAGCACCATGGAGCACAGCGTTCTCAGGATTTGGTGGCTTCATTCATGGCGTGGCTCTGGGTGTCCACCTAACTAGATTGACTATTTTCCCAGAGGAAAGGAACATGGCACGCATCCAATGTATGTATGTTACCGCCAGGTACAAGTAGCAACTCTTAACATATTTTAAAACGTTGGCTTTTTAGTATGTATTTAGGCGGAATTTGGGGTCTGGCTTATGCTTGGGTCTTTTTTTTAAGATTTTATTTATTTGACAGAGAGAGACACAGCGAGAGAGGGAACACAAGCAGGGGGAGTGGGAGAGGGAGAAGCAGGCTTCCCACTAAGCAGGGAGCCTGACGCGGGGCTCGATCCCAGGACCCTAAGATCATGACCCGAGCCGAAGGCAGACGCTTAAGGACTGAGTGACCCAGGCGCCCGTGTCTCTTTGTTTCTGCCAAGTGTTTCCTCGGTCACCAGGCTGGGATCACTTTTTTTTTTTTTTGGTTAATTTTTCAGACTGGGGGCTCCTGGATTACTCAGGTAGCATACATAAATTCCAACCCAAGTGAGGATAGACTTGTGGTTATGAATTCCAGGATTCTTTGAGGTGGGAGCTACTGAAGTAATGAAATCTTGAGGAATAAGAAAAAAAAAGGGCATAGTGGTGTTGGACTCTTGGAATTAGTGGGTTATCTTTGCTGTTAACTGTGGTAAGCCAGGGCGCCTGGGTGGCTCAGTTGGTTAAGCGACTGCCTTCGGCTCAGGTCATGATCCTGGAGTCTAGGGATCGAGTCCTGCATCGGGCTACCTGCTCAGCAGGGAGTCTGCTTCTCCCTCTCCCGCTCCTCCCTCTTGTGCTCCCTCTCTCTCAAATAAATAAATAAAATCTTAAAAAAAACAAAAACAAAAACTGGTAAGTCAGGAGCACAAGCTGGGATGCGGCAGGTCTTTAGGACACATATAATTCAGTCACTATGTTTTTTGGTCCATAGGAAGAATTGGGGGCAGGTATACTGTTCCCATGGTACAGGAACAGAAATTGAAGCCCAAAGGAACACTGGGCCTGGATCTAGGTTCTCTGGAGACTCCGCTCTGCTTTCCAAAGAGATAAGATGATGGAGGGAAGGCAGGCAGTCTTCACTGGTACATTCCTGCCCAAGTCCCAAACCCATCTCTGGACCTCTGCACTTCCCTGACAACCTGGATCCTATCTCAACTCTTCACAGAGGAGAAACCAATCCCCTTTTATATGTGCACTATTTTAGAGTTGCCGAGCATTTTTGTAGATGTTTGTTTTCCAGCAGTGCTGTGAGGCAAGCAAAATGAGTACTCTGATTCCAGTTTTATAGATGAGATATCTGAGAAACTGGGGCTCCGGCTGGCGATGGGGTTTGCTCTGAAGGCCACACATTGAAATGGTATGTCTGGGTTTTCTAACTCCTGCTCTTTGTCATCCCAAGCTTTGGGATCAGAGAGGTACTTAGAATGCAGATGATCATGGAGTCTCTTTTGGTTTTTATTGAGGCAAAATTCACAGGACCTGCAATTTGCTATTTTAGAGTGAACAATTTGGTGGCATTTAGTGCATTCACAATGTTGTGCAACTAACACGTCTATTTTTCCTCACTCCTTTCCTGGGATTTTTGTGCGCAATGAGAGAGAATCTGTGTAAGACATCCAGTTCAGGGCCTTGCTCAGGGCCTTGGGCCCTCACAGGGGCTCAATGAATGTAGCCTGGATTACTGGACTCTCTCTAGCAAGCGCTCCAATTCTGGTAGTGTAGAAAGAGGAATTCTTTCTTGAAGTTAGCACTTTGAGAAAATCAGGTTGCAGATAAATAAAGTATTCAGGGCCCAATCCCTTTTTTTTTTTTTTAAGACATTTCAAAATTTCTCTCTTCCAGATAACCTTCCTCAAGGAACTCCTCCTAGTCTTGGAGTGATCAGACACCTTTACCTACCAATGCACCAGAACAGAAATGCACCGTGTCGTGCAGTTTCTTGTTTCTTTGTAGGAGTTTGTCTTAGCCAGGCTGTGACATGGTACCTTGGAGGTACCATGATGTTTCACATTGTCCTGGGTACAAAACAGCTGTGTCAAAGCTAGGTGTTGGATTATATTTGAATGGTGGTCAGCCAGCTCCAATAATCTAGCCACCACCTGGTGGCCAGCATTTTCCCCATCTTTTAATTAGTGGGTTCGGTGACTGAGGATCTGCTCCTTGGGTGCCGGGCTGGAGCCTGATCGAGGCCGGTCTGTGCTCTGGTTGACCATCACTTGGGCAGCTCTGGCTGACACAGGACACAAAGGGCTCCAGCTCCCACCTGCATCGCACAACAGATGGAAAGCGAGCGCTTCAATAAGGCTGACCCAAGAATAGAATGGCTTTGGCCTTTATTTAAATTTGGCAATTCTAGGAGCGTAGGCCCCAGGCCCCAAGGAGTCGTGACTGTCCCTTTGGCTTCCGATGTCGCCAGGCGTTGAAGCAAATGCTCTCTGCGGTGCCCAAGGTGGCTGAGGTAGAGGGCTGGTGAGGAGTGAGGCAGGGGCATTTAGGATGAGCACCGCACCTGGCGGGAGGCCTAGAAGCTCATAGTGTTCAGGCTCACTGGAAGATTTTCCTGCTGGCGACCTCTTACGACTCTCCAGACCATCATGGTGCCAACCCCAAGGACAAGGCCGCCTCCTGCTGCCACTGGCACGGCCCAGTTCAGCACGTTGGGGCCCGCTTCAGCCTGGTCTTGGAGGAGCTGACTGTTCCTCAGGGTGTGGAGGTAAGGGCTCTCCTGTGGAGGTGGAGGAGAGGGTCAGGGGTTAAGGACCTCAGAAAACCATCCATCTGCTCACCTTAGGCTTGCATAGGCCCTATCCCAGCGATGGTGCGATAAACTTGCACATCTTCACAGCTCACCCGTTAGTAAGAAAGGGTCAGCTCCCCAGACAAGGCCCGCAATTGCCAGGTCTGTGCCTTCTTCATCTACACTGTGCCCAAACCTTCTGAACGAGGATGGGTCTCCAAAGTGGCCAATACCCCACTATAACCTCCTTTTGGCTTCTCACCAGCATCCCCTCTCCTGTCAACCTGATTTTGAAGTGAGATTGGGAATGGATAGGCAACCAAAGGAAGAGAGTCCTGGGGGCTGCAAAGCCCCCACCTCTGTCTTCTCTAGGCCACCACTGGACAGCTGTCCCCATCCTCCGACCTCAGGAGTGCCCGGGAGCAGGATGACAGTCAGTGTGGAAGGACAGCTGGGCCTGTAGTAGGTTAGAGAACCGAGCATGAGGGGGGCCCGGAGAGGAGATGTTCAGGCCTGCCTCCCTGGATTCTCTCCTTCCTCTGTGAACACGAGCGTGGAGCTGGGAGAGTGACGAAGGGTTCAGATGTGGCCACTCTCTCTGTCCTGTCAGCCAGTGGGCCATGTTCAGAAACAATCACATCCCAAAGGAGCCTGGGGCGTGTCTTTTGAGGGGTGTAAACAGAAAAGAGACCAACACAGGTGTGTTCGGGGGGCAGCAGTAGGGTGAGGGAAGGGAACAGTAGCCCGGGGAGGGGGGCCGCCCCTGGTCCTTGAAGGATGTGGCAATCTCCCATAGGCAGAGATGGGGATGAGCCTCCAGAAAGCACAGACCTGGCAATTGCGGGCCTTGTCTGGGGAGCTGACCCTTTCTTCAGGGACAGGCATGTCTAAGGTCGTAGAGGAAGCTGGGCCTCCCCTCTGGATGCTCCAGTGAGCAGCTAGAACCAGGACAGGGTTTCCAGCAGCCTCGGTAAGGCTAGAGTGACTGTCCGTGCAGGCCGCATGGTGCCTGGCAGCAGTTACAGGCTGGTCAGGGAAGGGAGGGACGACCAGGGGAGCATGTTGGGAGCATGGTCAGCAGTCTGGGTGAGAGCAGTGAGGGAAGAGAGAATGTGCAGGGAAGGGAGGAAGAAGAGCACAGGTCCCCAGAACAGGCATGGTGTCTTATTTCTCTCTGTACAACCCCCCCCACACCTAACCACTGCCCATTCATCCGTCTCCCCTGAGCCCCTCTTCCATGGACTGTTGCTTTCTCCCTCCTACACCCTGAGGAGCTGTGAAGTCTCAGGGACCAGGAGGAGTGGTGAGATTTGAGAATGGTGGCAGCGAACAAAGGTGAGTGATGATACAGCTCCCAGGGACCTCCTTGGTGCCTTCTGGTTTGGGGGACCACCCCATTCCCCCAAGCATCTGTTTCACACTAGACAGGACAGGCAGGAGGTTAGGACGTTTACTCACAGGAGAGGGGCACTTGAGTTTGGTTCGGCTATGGGTGAAGTTGTTGGAGGTTGTCTTCTGGCCCACCGGCTCCAGCTGAAGAGAGAAAGGAAACCGGGATTTCCTCCACAGTGGCCGAGACCTCCCTGTCGGAGGAGGATCTCCACCTGACCCCCTCTCTCTACCAGCGTGGGTTATAACGCAATAAACGCAAGATCCACGGCAGATGCCTCGCTGCCGGACCTGACTTCTGACTCAGAAGGGGCAGGTCAGAGTCCATCAGGCAGGGCGGGACCCTGAGTCTGCCCTGGCTTGACCAAGGAGGACACAGGCCCAGCGCAGTGACTCCGTGCAAGGGCCTGGCCCAGAACCTCCGTTTCCTTGCTTCCCTTCGGCGTGGCTGTGATCACACACCCTGCGTTTGCAATTTTATAAAATGCTGATAATCCTATTTACCAACTTCAAGTGTATGGGGCTAGTTGGTTTCAGAAAAACTTTAACAACTTACTGGTTACTCTACCTGGCTTGTCAACCTCAAGAAATTTTTCTCACTTGAGCTACTTTGTATGTTTTTCACACAGATGTAGAGGTTTACTCAGAACATCCCTGGAGCAATTGTTGTTCAGAGAGGTTCTGCTTCATACTTGTAGTCCTGAGACCCTCTGAGAATGAGCTAGAAGCTGCTGTACACCCCTTCCCAGCATCTTTAGCCAACAGCCTGCCCCCTGACATGCGGCCAGCCCAGAGAAGGGTAGGCCCCTGGCACTGACTGTGTAGGTTCTGCCCTTAGAATCTGCTTCCTTGCCCAGTCCTGAGCCCCTCTGCTCCTGACCCCCAGGTACTGCCTACGAGGGAGGTAAAAGGATGCTATGCCAGCTACCGACCACACCTTGCCTGTGATCTCGCTTTCCGTTGTCCTGGCTGCTCTGGCCCTGAGAGAGACCCCATGGTGACTGGCAGAGCACAGTGGACACATCCCCTGGGGTCCAGACTCTGCTGCTGAGAGCTGTTCGTGCTAGGCGGGCTCCCGAGCTGCCCAACCACCCATATTTGGCTGTTGCGAGCATCAGATGAGAAATGACGCCGAGCAGGAGGTGGTTTACTTATGTGTCGTTTCTACTTGCTTAGAGCTGAGGAAGCACAAGCTTCTTGTAATGGAACGACCACCGAGTGACCATATAGATGCTCAAGGTCAGGTTGGCTGATTCCCTGACATTCCAGGAACCGGGAACTAAGTGGTACAGAAGAAGGTAAGGATCACATCGTGGGTTTGAGGACTGCGTCGGGTTCTCCCTTTCTCCTGGCTCCGTGTCATCCGTGCACAGTCTCCCAGCATCCTCCCTGAGCCCGCGTCCCCTCCAGCTACCTTCACAACCCCTCCCTGTGCCTCTAGGAAGACTCATTTGTGGTCACTGGCCGCACTTCCTGACCTCCCGTTCCAATGCCCACTCCAGTCAGACTTCAGTCTCCATCACTTGACTGAAGTTCTGGTCAAGGTCACTATGACCTCCATCTCACCAGACTCAATGCTCACTTTGTGGTCTTCATCTTGCTTGACTTTTCAGCAACATTTGTCAAAGTTGATGCATCCCTCTTGAAACGCTCACCCATCTGGGCTCCCGGAACAGGGCACTCTTCTCTCCTGCCCACCTCCCCACTCCCCCTCCCCTTCTCATCCATCACTGAGGTCAGAGGTTGGAATGAAGGCCCTGGGGCTTGGTGGTAGGTCCCAGCTCTTTCCCACCTACTCTCCTCTAGGAGCTCCTCGTGGATCCCATGGCCTCGAATACCTCCTCCCATTGATGAGCCTCACATTTTTTTTTCTTAAATCTCCATTCCTGACCCTGTCTCTGAGCTTCAGCTCATAGATTCAACAGCTTACTTGATGCCTCGAGGTAGAGTTCCAGAAAGTGGTTCACACTTACCGTGGCCAAAAGAGAACTTTTTTTTTTTCCCCTCAAGCTTATTTCTCTCCAGCACCTCAACCATCCACCCAATTTTCTTGACCCCAAATGGAGGAGTCATCTCTTGTTCCTTTTAATTTAAATTCTAGTTAATATACAGTGGAATATTAGTTTCAGGGGTACAATATAGTGATTCAACACTTACATACAATATCAGGTGCTCATTACAAGTACACTCCTTCATCCCCATCACCTAGTTAACCCATCCCCCCACCCACCTCCTTCTCGGCTTTGTTCCTCTTCTAACCTCCTCCATCAGCCAGTCCAAAAACAGATCTCAACTCTGACCCTTTCTCTCCTTCTCCACTGTCATCACCCTGGGCCCATCCACCTTCATCTCTCACCTGGGCTCCTGGTCTAATTTCACTCTTCCTTCCTTCTAGTCCAGGGCTACATGGCAGCCAGTGGGCAAACCAGATCCTCTGGCTTCCCTGTTGGAAGCCATCCAAGGACCTGGCCCTGCTCTCGCTCACCTCTCTGACCTTGCTCACCTCCCTCCAGTTACACTGGCCCTTCTGTTGCTCAGACACTTCAAACTCATTCCTGACTCCAGGCCCGCACAGGTCCTATTTCTTCTGCCTGGAACACTCTGGCCCTAGACCTCTGCATGCCTGGCAGGCTCCTGACATTCAGTTCTCAACTCACAGGTCACTTGTCAGAGACGCCTCCCTCTCCCCCACCATTACTCTGGCGCATTCCCTCCCTCCCTCCCTCCTTCCCTCCTTCCCTCCCTCTGTTTCTCTTTCTTTTCTCTTTCTTTCCCCTGAATGTGGTCAGAAAGTCTTAGTGACTTGTTGAGTTTTCTCTGTCCTTTCCCCGTGAGTGCAAGGATGTTCTTTTCCCCAGCACCTGGGGTAGTCCCCTCTGCATAGTGATGCTCAATAAATAGTTGTTGAGGGAGCGCGTGGATGGACTAGAGTCAGAGTCCTGAGTGGAGCAGCTCAGGCAAGAAGGCCTGGGGCTGGCCCCAGGAAATGAAGTTGTTTTACTGAGAACCCACCTTTCCTAAGGCTGATACTGCAGATACCAACGATGTGGCAAATAACAGGGCTGGGGCAGGGAGCAGGGGCGGGCCTCTGGTTTGTTCTGGGGATTCAGGGAAGGCTTCCTGTAGGAGCTAGCACCTGAGTTGAGTGGTGAGGTGGCTATGAGTTAGGAGAAGAAGATTGGAAGGACAGTGCACGATAAGGGGATGAGCAAGAGCCAACACACAGACGCATGAGATACCATGGGTGGTGCGGGAAACCGCACTCCTTACCAGACTGCCCCACTGCCAGTCAGAGGGGGGTGGGAGTGACTGCTGGAGAGGTTAACTGGGGCCAAGTCTCCGAAGGCCTGGTGTGCTGTGCTAAGGGACCTGGCCTTTCCCCTTCGGGGAGGGGCAGGCCTTGGAAGTTTGGTCGGATTTTCATTTACACAGATTCCTGGGGCTGCCCTATGGCAAAGAGATCTAAGGCAGTGGTTTGCAAATCCTGTATAATATCACTGGGGAGCTTCTGAAACCTGCTGAACCCAGGTGCTACCCCAGACTAATCCAGAATTTTGGGGGATGAGGTCCCGGCACTAGTGTTTTGTTTGGGTTATTGTTTCCAAGTCAACTTTTTATTGAAGCTAGCATACATTTAGAAACCAGTATAAATCACAGGCGAACAGTTGATAAATTGTGGTAAAATGAATGAACAGTAAACGGCATCTAGATCAAGGTACAGAATATTACCAGCACTCAGCATCCCTCCCACCCTCTTCCAGTACTCTCCTTCCCCTGCCCTCCCCCCAAAGACCATATATTAATTTGCTTGTTTTTGAAATTATAGACATAGTTGCATGTGGCTGAAGTTTACTTCTTCTCAGTGCTGGGAGGCAGTCCATTGCATGAACGTGCCACATTTTGATTATCCATTCTATTGGTGCACATTTGGGGGAGCTTCCTGCCTGGGGATTGTGAATGGTGCTGCTGTGAAAATTCCTGCATGCATCTTTTGGTAAGCCTACGTGTGTGTTTCTGTTGGGGATATACCTAGGGATGGGATCGCTGGGTCACAGGGAATCCAGATGTTCAGCCATCGTGGCTAGGCCAAACTGGTTGCCGGTATTAATGTTCTCCAGATTAGTCTAACCTCTGGCCAGAGCTGAGCACTGCTGTTCTAATGGTGGTGGTAAGCCCAGTGCCAGGGACACCAGGTAGGAGGCTCGCGTGGTCACCCGGCACCTGGGGAGATGCAGAGGTTGGAGGACTGCAAGATTTCTAGGGAAGAGGGAGCAGGGGCCCGTGGGGGAATAGCGTCAGAAAAAGAAGGAAAAAGGAAGAGGAAAACGCTCCCTCGTGCCGCTGGTGTTTCTGGTGTTGCTTTTGCAAAGGTCTCCGGAGGCGGCACAATCTGCTGAGCAGAGGTACGGGAGATGAAATAGGCTAAAAGTGGGTCTGTTGCCGCAGGAGGGTAGCCTGTGAGCGTCGGCCAAAGCCTGCAGACGCCACATCATCGGACTCTCAGAGTGAGACGTGAACTCACTGGTTACATATGTGCTGACCGGGGTGGGGGCGGGGAGGCCGGCTGGTGCTGCGGCCAGGGCACTGGGGGATTTGACGTGGGTTCTAATCCCTGCTCGGCCTCCAACTGACTGTGTGCTTCCTCTCCCTGTATGCTAGTAACAGAGCATTCTGGCTTAATGACCTGCCAGATCTCCTCTAGTTCTACTGGCCATTATATATGTCACTCTAGGGGGTCACCAGAAGGAGAAGGTCTGAAAAGTTGGCATGATGTAATGGGTTTATATCTGAGATGGTTTTGGATGAAAACATGGGACTATGTAATTACTTCCCTAAATTATACAGCACAGGACAAGACACTCTTAGATGATTTCAGTTTAGTTTTGCTTTGTTTTTTAAAATTAGGGGCAGGGCTAGGATACTGGTGGCTGGGAGCCCTGGACAGGCCGGTGGTGTTACCAAGATGACTCCACGGCTGTGCTCACCTTTTTGTTTTCCTACCTGCTCCCCTCCCACTTGCCCTTATGTATAACAAGCCTCTCGCCTGGGCCAATGGGGAGAACCACTGAGCTGCTTTGGAAGAGGCAGCCAGAACTGTGTTGTTAATTACTGCAGAAAGAGACCAGCAGGCCCAATGTATTCAAGTCCTCGGTCTGGCCATCGTGCCCCAGAGAACTCCCAGAGCACCTGGGCATTATGCAGGCTGGGGGTGCCACCAGGTAGGAAGACCACCCATCCCCTGATGGAAATGCTGGGAAGGAAAGGCAGAGCGACTGAGCATTCCTGGCCCTTGTTAGAATCTGTGGATTCCCCTGAGATCTCAGGGGGACAAATGGGACTGTGCACAGATACCCACTCTTTGGGGGGTGGGTTTTAAAAGGAATGAAGTCATGGGACTCCATCAGTAGAGGACAACTGGACTTCAAAATTGCTCTCAGGAATGATATTGTGCAAACTTTGGTGAACAAGATTCCTGTGGAGGTTGGGTGGGAGGGAACTCAACGATGTTTTGACTGAAGTTCCGAGTTCTGGGCTGACAGAGTGTGACGAAACCTTTAGGAGTGGGCAGAATGTGGCGTCAACAAGGGAAACAAAGGGAGAAGGAAGGCTGAGTCTGTGATTAACTGGGCCAAGGACGGAACCTGTTGGCATGCTGCTGGGGAAGAGGAGGTGGTGTGGCTAAGGGGCGGGCAGTGCTGGGTGAGGCTGCAGGTGTGGGGATATCTGCACAAGGGAATCCTGGCAGAGAGGCAGCCAGCGCGAAACTGCAGTAAAAGCAAGAGTGTGGATTTGTTTGGTCACCATGGGAGAAATGGGGGAATGCAGGTTGGGGTGGGGATTGGGTTACCCGCTGAGCCAAGATCAAAAGAAGCCACTGGATTGGAAAGGCATTTCGTTTGCTCTGCGCAACAGGACACAGCTATTGGGGTCACTGGTCAAGCTCTGTTCCAGCAGAGCGGGTTGTAGAGGAGTGGCCAGCCCGCAGAGGCAAGGCACAAGGCCAGGCGGCCCTGGGGCCCCTCGATATGTGAATTTCCTAAGGTCCCAATCATCCCCGTCAGAAAGGTCTGGAATAGGTGGACAGCCTGGGAAACAGGCTGGGTGGCTCTTTTCTTTTTGATGCTTAAATAATCATCGGGAGGGTGCCTGGGTGGCTCAGTTGGTTGAGCGACTGCCTTTGGCTCCTGGAGTCCCGGGATCGGGTCCCGCATCGGGCTCCCTGCTCAGCAGGGAGTCTGCTTCTCCCTCTGACCCTCCTCCCTCTCATGCTCTCTGTCTCTCATTCTCTCTCTCGCAAATAAATCTTAAAAAAAAAAATTATAAAAAAAAATCATCGGGAATGTGTTGAGATTAGGGTAATGGGGGCTGGCATTCTCTGAATGCTAATGATCGTGTTGGGTGCTGCGTATATGGTACCTTGATTTTCTGAGATCTGTGTCATTTGCATTGTTTTTTATGGATATTGATACAGAGGACCAAAGAGCATTTGCTCAAGGTCACACAGGAAGGGGTTGAAGCTGATTTCATCCAGTTTATCTGATTACAAAATTATCCCTGCCCGCCCCCATACTGGGAAATTGCTCAAATAATCGAATCTGTCAGGACAAAGAAGTTGTGGCACCATTTTGAGCTTTGGGCAGAAAGGAGCTCTGTCTGCCAGGTTTTTTGTTTTGGGCAGTGGTCAACACCCTCGGGTGGTCCCCTTTGACACAGCCCAGGGGGCACTTAGGCACTCACCATGTTGTTCCAGAGCGCGATGGCCATCTCGGCATGACCACGTTCTGAGAAGTGGAAACAGTCCCCGGAGAAGAAGGTGAGGTCAGCGCTCCCTCTCTGTGACCAAAGGCAAAGGGATTACGTTCCTGTGGAAAAAGGTACCGCCCCCCCCGCCCCCCACAGGTGTCCTCGGCATCATTCAATTCTGCTGCCACCTGGCTCAGAGATTGGTGGAGAAACTCCCCAATTTTGGAACTTTTAAAAAGACCTGAATTGTAGCCACCCACAGTCCATCCCTTTTCCTTCCACGTCCCTGCCCTAATAGATGACTTTCCATTCTATCCCAATCTAGCAAATAGCAGGGCCAGGCCTGGGGAGCTTGGTCACTGATAATTTTCTCCTTTTCTTTCCAGGTATATCTAAGTTCCAATAATATTAGGGAAAAAAAAAAGCAAAATCTTTCTTAGGAGCCCTCTTGGAGCCATATCGTCAGAAAAAGCTCCGGTGCAGAAGGAAGTACATCTCCTAAGAAGAGCCCCTCCACACGCGCCTCCCAGAAATTCCCGCAGCTTACGTTGTTCAGGGGGACGAGAGTGTTTTGGAAGAAAGGCTGCACAACCACGGCGAAGTCCTCACGCTGCAGGTACTGGGGCTTGTAGGACAACCTGGAGATGCCGCTCTGTGGAGGGGGGAGATGTTCCTCAACCCTCCTGGCAGGGCTGGCCAGATGAGCTCTAGTCCTGCGGCCTTGGGTTGGCTGTGATGCGCCGCCCCCCTCCCCCAGCCAGAGGCGACTTCAAGGAACACTCTAGTGCGCATGCATGTGCTCACGTTGTCTGCGCCCAGGCATGAGCACCACCCGTTCTGAAGTCTCTCTGAGTCTGGGTCGGAACCTCTGATCAGACTGTGTGGGCCAAAGGCCTCCCCCAGTCTCACTGCATGAAGAGCTGAATTAGAACATGGGGTTCTGGTTCAGATCCAGCTCTAATGGGGATCATTTCAACACCAGCTCCCCGAAATGCCTGTGCACTTGGGGGATGAAGGTCCATGTCAAAGGGTTAGATGTGCTTCTCCTCAACAATCCATCTGGAAAAATGAGGATGTAAGAAAACATGAGAACCATCTAGGGCTTCAGGGTCCATGAAGGTAGACGGAAGCCAATAGGGGGAGATACCTGAGGGTCAGGTTTCTTCAGGGGAGGCTTCTCAGAAGCGGCGAGAAGACCTGCCCTGTGCGTGAGGTGGAGAAGTTGCAGAAGGGCTGGGGAGGGCATGTCAAGGGGGGACAGCCTGAGCAGAGGCGGACACAGAATTGAATTGGGGATGGAGGTAAGCAGGGCTAAGCCTTATGTTCTGAGGGAGGGGGAGCCCAAGGGGGCCGTGGACACTTCCCCTCCCTCCTCTGGGTGAGAGATGGTGCCCAGCACATGCCAGGGCTGGGAGGCAGGGCTTCTCCCACCTTCCCCTCAGAGATTTCTCCCTCCCTGGCTTGGTGTTCTTTTCACCTGGAGAAATCTTTCAGGGGCTGTGATCTGCCTTTAGGGAGCAGCCTTGTTCTCAGCAAACCCCTGCTCTCCAGGAGTAGAGGGGGCCCCCAGCTGGGATAGGAGGGGGAGGGGTGCAGCTTCACCTGGAAGTTCCAGTTCACTTGCTTCAGTTCCTGCAGCTCCAGGGGATTCTCCTGGGAACGTCTGAGGCAGGTACAGTTGCTCCTGTGGAGAGGCACCCGGGTGGCTGACCCCCGCACCCCCCCACACACAGCCTGGGTGACTCCTGGCCCCACGTCACAGACTGTAATTCAAGGGCACTAGGGGTAGCAGGTGCTTGTTTAAAGAGAAGGTGGGAGAGTTGGCACCTGATATCTGGGTCCCCTTGCCACCTGGTTGTTCCTGCCCCAGCCCGGGTCTTCCTCTAGGGAAGGGCTGGAGTTTTGGAAAGACAGCCATGATAACCTTATCTTTCTTCTTCCCGGTCCTGAGACCTCCCAGCTCTACCTCCAGCAGCTCAGGACTTCCCCTCAGGGCTCCAGAGTGGGGAGTCTCTTGGGAAGCTGGGGAGTGTCGACCAGTTTGAGACACACGGAGAAGGTAGAATGTAAGGCCTGAAGCCTCTGGAGGAGCCCTTCCCACCTCCCAGCTATTAGCTGTTCCACCTGGCGCCCAAAAAGAATGGGAACCAGCTGGTCACCTTGCCAGCAAATCCATTTGACCCCAGCTAGGACTCCTCAGCCCCCTGTAGAATCTTTTCTCCCAAAGCAATGATCACAGGAAGTCTGGGTGACCCTCTGGCCTCAGAGGATGGCAATTTCCTGCCAGGGTCACAGCTGAGCTTTAATAAGTTCCAGCCCCCAACAGAAATTAGTCTCTTGTACAACAGACCTTAGCGCTGAGCCTGGCTTTCAAGGATGTTATAAAAGCTACTCTTGACTGAGAGCCTGCCCCACAGGGCCCAAGCACATTACATACATTTCTTCTAGACCTCACTACTTTGCAAGATTTTACAGATGAAGAGTAAGAGGCCCAGAGAGGTTATGGAGTTTGTGCACGATCTCACAGCTCCTAAAGGGCAGAGCCAGCTACAGATGGACAGCTGTCTTGGAAGCGCCTTGCCCGGTGCTGCCTCTCAAACACTGAGCAGTCACTGGAGTTTGGAATCACAGACCATGCTGGGCGCTTTAAGGATCATTGGTCTGTGTCTCTCGCTTTGTGGTCAAGCAACCGGGGGTCCAGAGAAATAAAGTGACTTGCATACAGTAGGCAGTCAATACTTTAGAGGTATTTCCAAGTGATTTTTCTAGCCCGATTTTTCTAGACATCGCTGATGTCTTTCCTCGGGACAGGATCGTCTGGGTCGGCCTGCACTGGTGTCCTCAGGTAGTGTCTGTGAGCCCCGCTCTCCCCAGGGGCCCTCGTCCTGGGACTGTGTACTTACTGAGCAGCCAGGGGCGGGTCACATTTCCCACCTTGGCCCTGGTGTAGGCCAGCCAACTCCATGACCTCCACCACGTTGATGAAAGCCCTTGGAAGCTGTGGGGAGCAGAGGGATGGGCTGCGTTAGTCCCCAGGCAGGTGTGGGGGATGCTGGTTACTACTGGAAGAACCTAGGGGCTCATCTACAATCTAATTTCCTCCGCCCCAGTTTTGCCAATAACGAAACTGAGGCACAAACAGGGGATGTGACTTGTATTCTCTCAATCTTCTTTAAGGGCCCACTTTATAGCTTGGGAAGCTGAGACAGAAGTCACTTGTCCCAAATCCCATTGCTAGCAAGCCACCCTGCCTGGCTACAGACTAGCCAGTACTTGGCCACCAAACAATACAGTCTGATTTACTTAGAATTTCCTTTGCAGAGGAGCTTGGTATCTGCCCCCCTCCCTTGCCTCCCCTCCAGGTGTCTGCTTAGCATGGATCTCCCTGAACACGGCTTGCCTAGATGCACACCGTGAGGGTGGAGACCCAGAAACCTGCAGCTGCTCTTCCCTACCTCCTCATAGAAGATGTCCAGGGCCTGTTGGATATGCTGAATGTACTCTCCAGCTGAGGGGGCCTCCTGTGAAGAGAGTAGGGGGTTCCCGTCAGCTCCAGGGTTCTACTCTGAGGGTAGCGGTCTGGTGACCAGCACAGGAGGGCCTGGGGGTGGTGGTACAGAGGGGCTAGCATGGTACTAGACAGGCTGAGAAGCCCAGCCCTTGTTGCTGGGGGACACAAGTCTTCCTTTGACCCCTACTAGACACCATGAATAATCCCCACCCTGATCCACAGTATCTCAAATGCAGGGGCAGACTCTGACCGTGTTGGTCCCTGCCCCTTCTCTGGTCCCATCTGTCGCCAGCCTCAGGGTTCTGAACCACATCCATGCCCTGATGACCACACGCTCTCTCTCCTTTGGGCTGTGGCCTATGCTGGCCCCATTGCTTCCCCCTAATTTCTTTTTGACTCGGCTCAAGAGTCTCCCCCTCTGACTCATTTCTCGACTGGAGGCTGATTTAGCGCCTTCCTCAAACATGGCCTGAGTTCATCCTGGGGGGGGCGGCGGGGTTCCAGTTCTTTTCCACAAAAAGAGGCTTTCAGGAGTATAAATCTGACTTTGCAAGAGGGGCAGGTACTCTGGGGATAGGAGAGGCATTCTCCTGGACCAAGCGTCCACAGGTAGCTTTGGGGGTCTCTTCTGGCCTCCTGGACCCTGTTGAGTCCAGGACACAATGGCATTGAATCCCCTGGGGTTGGGTCACTTCTGCCTCTGGAGGCTGGGCAGTAAGGAAGAGGATAGAGGGGAAGAGGCTCAGGAGAACCAGCCCGTGTTGGTTGGTGGGGAGGGTAATTCTCATCCAGCCTTTGGTAGATGGTCTGAGCCATGAGGAATGATAACATACTTTCTTCCCCTGCCCGTGACTTTAAATGTCCTACCGTGACGTCTGAGTTAGGGCAGCTGCTCTTTTCCAGCCAAATAAAATACAGGACATCCCCAACTTAGAACAGGATGTATTCTCAAAGTGACAGCCCCCCCACAGAAACACTATCAGGAACAGGCTGGGTTCCCAGGCCAGCCAGCTGAGGTTGGTTCACTCACAAAGTCCTTGGGGCAGCAAGCTGTCCTCTTGGGACTGGTTTGATTTTATCCAACCTCGTTGATGACATTGTTTCAGCCTCGCCCTTGCGCACACATGCACGCGCATCAAAAAAAAAATCATCAAAAAATGGGTAGGGATTTCCCGGCACATGTGGGGTGGGGCTTGCCGGTTACTCATTCAATACCAAAGAACAGTATTTGTGTGCATGAGAGCAGTGCCTGAAGAGTGGGTGCGTCTAGACACTTCTGGAATCGGGGAACCAAAGCAGCAGCTGTCCCAGGGGCCACTCAGCAGTGGGAAAGGCCAGGGTCTGCCCGGGCGGGCTGGGGTGCCTGGGAGAGCAGACAGGCATGACTCCCATGGGGCTGGGCAGGGGCTTACCGGATTCTCACAGTAATGACATATGTCGTTGCTCCCAATGAAGAGCGTGATCAGCTTCCAGTCACTCTCTAGGTCGATTTCCTGAAGGGACAGAAGGCTCTGAGTCTAAACTTTGGTAGTGGTGGGGGATGGAGGGGGGCAGCACATGCAGGTGATGCTCACCAGGCCAGACAGCACCCCCTCACCACTGCCTTTCACCCTCTTTGTACCCCGATAGAGAGAAAATGCCAGGTGGAGCCTTCCTAACCTTCACCTTGGTGCCTGGCAAGGAAATCTAGAGAGCGGATTCTGTGTGTGCACATGTGTGTATGGGTATGTGTCTGCTCACAGCAGAGGAGGACTATTTTTCCTGGGAAATCCTAAGAAAACTGCAGTGCATTGCAGAGTGGAGTGTATTAACACAGCCGTGAAACGTGATCTAAAGGCCTTCAAAGTTGCAGAGGGCGAAAGATGCAATTAGAAGTAAAAGCCCAGAGCTGCCTCTTGGGAGAGCTCGGCTGGTCTGGGTCCAGGGAGAGGGGACTGGTGGGGACTGGAGAAGAGCCTGGCCTGGGGGAGAGGTGTGGTGGGGGATGGGGAGGCCCTCGAGGAGTTTGCCTTCTGCTCAGCCACCACCATAACAGGAGTCCTGCCAGGCGCTGGCATTCTGAATTCTAAGGCCAGGACACAGACACTTCGCAAAGCCCCAGTGAGAAGTTTGAGAGGGGCCGGGTGAGTGGGAAGGGGAAGGATTGGAATGAGGAGTCTATTTTTAGAACCCAGGGTTTACATAATAGGGCTCTGCAAAGCCAACTCTTGGGTAAAGTGGGAAACTGCCAGAGGCCAAGGCGGGCTCTGCTCCCTCCTGTGGTGGGGCCTCGGGGGCGGGGGCGGGGGCGCCAGAGCCCGGGTCAGGAAAGGGCAGCAGGGAGGGTGCGTCGGGCGGGGGTAAGGCCTGCTTCTCAGGGCTCATTTGACCCCTCCTTAAAGACAAGTAGGGGCTGAAATGGTGGTCCAGAAGGCTGGAGGCCGGCCGCACCTTTCAGGGTGGCCCAGGGTCCTGGGGTACTCACGGGGTGGTTTTTCATTCGCTCCACCAGGTCCCGGGCCTGGGTCGGCATGTCCCTAGATGTGGAAGAGAAAGGAACCTGAGCAATGGCTGAGGAAAAAGAGCTCCCACCGCAGGATTTGGGCCTGGCATACAGGTGCTTCCAGAAGAGAAACGTATATAAAGTTTATTCCTTCACAATGTATCTAAAAGCTTTTTGAGTCTCAAGAAATCTCAACCTAGGAAAAATCAAAGATCTGCCATGGACCATGAAGCTACATAGATGCGGACCCTGCCAGGGGCTAGTCTGTCTTCTGCAGGCCTGGTCCTCCGTGGCCACGGAGGGTGGGGGTGGGGTGGGGGATCTGGTCAGCTTTCCCCAAGGGATGGTCCCTGACATCCCCCTTAGCTCTTTCACGGCAAGCCGAGCCTGTTCAGATCTTAGTCGGCTGCCTGTTTTAAAAATAACCTTTTGTATATTTGAAAAAATGTCACAGCCTTAAATTATCCTCTGCCTTCTTTCCAGGCATCCTGACTCCTTAACCTTCACTTCTAAATCCCACCCTCGGTTCCTTTAATCCTTTTTTCTTCTCTGTAGTTACTTTGGACTTCCACACCATTCCCCATCTCCTCACTTTTCTCCCTGCCGGCATAAGAGGATGGGGGAGAGAAATCTGGACAGGATTAGTTTTCCCTGCATCTTCCAGATGTCCGCCATGAATAAGGAAAGTGAATGCTCTGGGTAAGAGTGGAGTATGTCGAAGGAACGGTACTCGGCAGTAAAGAGGAACGATCTGCTGATCTGCACAACATGGGTAGGTCTCAAAATGACCTGTTGGGCGACAGACGTTAGACAAGAGCACCCAGTGTAGGATTCCATTCACATAACATTCCAGAAAAGGAAAACTGATCTCTAGAGACAGAAAGCAGGTCAGTGGCTACCGGGGGTGCAGGGAGTGGGGTAGAGATGGGAGGAGCAGGAGGGAGAGATGGGTCACAAAGGGCACAGGGACACTTGGGTGTGATGGGTGTTATCTGGATTCTAGTGATGTTAAACCATAAGCTATGGACATACACCAAGCTTATCAAATTGTATACTTGAAATGTGTGCAGTGAACTGCATGGCAATTATACTTCAATAAAGCTGGTTTTTAAAACAGAGAAATATATGAGCTACGTGGGCAAAGGGACCCAGCCAATGGAGGCTTCTGTGCAAGAAGTCATAAAAGCAGTAACTGGTATGGGATGGGCGTTTTAAACCTTTGCCTGTCCATGATGAGCTGGGCTTGTGGCCAAATCTCATTTATACATCCAGGATCATAGCCCATCCATTATTGCTATTGATGCAATACATCAGAAAGCTAGAAAACAAGCCTGTCCTGGGTAAAGGGGACTCCAGAAGTGTCTATAACCTTCCAGTAGGCTCAAGACGTGAGTAGGGGAAGTCACGGGTGATAAGCCCTCATGAGCGTGAGGGGAAGTTAGGAGTGCTCATTTCCTCCCCTCTTCCCAGCCACGGTCTTCACACCCTTCAGCCTCGGAGCAAGTCCCACCTCCCCCCTACATGAGCCTTCTCTCTGAGCACCTTTATCCATACCTTCTGCTTCCTTTTCATCCTGGCATGAAGAGCCCTGCTCTGGGGGTTGCAGGTCCTGGGTTCTCTTCCAGCTCTGTGACTTACTTGCTGTATGAGCTCGCCCAAGTTACTGAACCCTGCTAGGGTCGAATTTCTTCATCTTATAAAAGAGGAGGTCCATGGAGTTGAGTCCTGGGGCGCCCCTCCTCTGGGTCTGCACCCATATGTGGGCTGCCCAGCTCCCACATCACACTGTTCTCTTTCATACAACTCCGAAGTACAAAGTCATTGCAGTCTGCCATGTTGCCATATGCAACACTTTCTTTTTCTAAAATTATTTCCTGTTTGTTTAGCCTCCTTAAACTAGACAACAAGCTAGTTGAACAGGCAAGGAATTCACCTATTGATTGTTTTGTATCTTTTAGTAACTACCTTGGGGCTCAGTCCTTCCCGGGCTTCCCTTGACTTCTTGCTTACTGATTGATGGAAGGGGAAGTTAGAGGTTGAATAAAACTTTGAAACTAAATAATCCTAATAATGGCAAACTTTTTTGGGGGGGTCATACATATTATATATTATACTCAGTGTTTTCCACTGAGTTATTAATCTCATTTATTCTTATGACAATGCTGAGACGTAGGTACTATTATTATCCCAATTTATAGATGAGGCAACTAAGATAGAGACGATAAGTGACTTGCCCAAGGTCACACGGCTAGCAAGTCTGGGAGCTGGGACCTGGACACAGACAGTCTGACCTCAGGTCTCATTATCCTAGTTGCCCTGCTGTGGTGTTTAGTTTTCTCTTGAGATGTGCTCCTCCTTAGCCGACACCATACAAAATGACCCTGCAGATAAAGGAGAGTCACAGAGCAACTTTCCAACCTTGCTTACTTAAGTCAAAGGCTTACTCTCCTTTCCCGTATCACGGGACATCAGAGATGCTAACGAGGAGCTGCCTGTCTCGGCTACTTCCCCTGCCAGGGCCTCCTGGTGCAGGCGCCCAGCAGCAGTCAAAGGAGAAGGCAGGAGGAGAAGTAAAGCAAGAGAGGGGCTTGAACGTCAGCCGCCTGAGGAATCAGCTGCTGGTTAATGGAGCCTGGGCAAATAATAATAAAATGATGACGGTGGTGGTGAGCTTGACAGCAACAACAGCGATGCGGTGTTGATTTTACGGGCCCATGAAGCCCAGCTCTTTTGCAGAAAAATAAGTGCTTCCTGCTTCTGACGTTGAGGAACTGCCACGGCTTCCTGCGGCTCAGAGGCACAAACCGAGCGTGGGGCCCTCCTTACCACGTTGGAAAGGAACGCTCCGTGTAAACAGAATGAGTCAAGCCGGAGTCGTTTCCCTGGTGATCTGAGCGCAGCAATCCTTCTACAAAGCAAATACCCAGCACACTCCGTGCAGAAAATCAATGAGCTCTGTCAGGCTTTCCAGCTTTAATTATCTGGGTTGTTGTCAACAACAGAAATCGGAGTGAAAACAAACAGCCACCATGCTGTTTGGGGGCCTTCGCATCTAACTCCCTAGTGTCAAAATAGAGCTTTCTCGGAGTCAAGGACTCCAGGTTCCGAGGTGAGGTGGGGGGGCGTGCGTGGGGCCCGGCGGTAGGCTCCCAGCACTCTGCACGTTTGCCCCGCGCCTCCCCGCGCAGGGAGGTTGGCCGGAGTCAGCGGGCCGGGGCCAGGCCACCCTCAAGGGCTCCTGCTGCCATGAGAGGTGGTGACAGCCCAGCGGGCCTGGCCTGACCCTGACTCCTCTGACAACCTTGGGCCATTCGGGAAACTTCCTAAGTCTCAGTGTCCTCGTGCAGGTACCCCCTCGAAGGGTGTGAGGATCATGGGAGACCATCCACGGGAGGGGCCGGGCGTGCAGAAGGGCTCTGTGCGCGGCAGCTTTCGTTGCCCATCTGGGGCCAGGCTCCCAGACAGCACCCTGCCCTCCTCCTCCCATTCCCCAGCCCGATCTCTCGGCCTTGCCCTCCACTCCCTCCCGGACCCACGGCTACTCACCACGCTCTGGCTCCTTCCACGGCTACATTCAGCCCTGCTGTCTCCTCCTGGGTACCGGTGGAGAACCCGAGGATGTGAGGGTTGAACTTCTTCAGAATGTCTTTTAAGAGGGTGAAGCAGACAGCACAGGTAAGAGCGGATGGGGGCCCATCCTTGGGGCCCAGGTGTGGGACAGGACGATGCTGGGGCTTTTCAGGGCTGGCTGACTCCCCTCCTTGTGGATAACCTTCCCTGCCCTTACTCTGGGAGAGGCCCTGGCCTCAGCCAGGGGTTGTTATGGCCACAGTGATGGTGCTTCTCGGTGTGGCTACTTACTGGGCAGTGTGGTGTGGGTGTCCAAGATGCCATCCCCTCCGATGCTGGGGAAGAGAAAGCACGCTTGTTAAGATCACCCTGACCTGCCGCTCCACCACTCCTCATATTTCTGAGTCAGAACCAGAGCACCTGCCCTTGGCACGTGATTCCCACCACCCTGGGGACTGACACGAGCATCAGGGAGCCTCCTTGCATCTCAAAGCCAGAGCCTGGAGACCCAGGTTCATCTCTGGAGAGGTGACAGGGGAGCGTCATCAACAGAAAATGAGTGGAGAACATCCTCACCTCCAAGAGAGTCCTCTCCAGGACGTGGGTAGGTTGCTGGAGTTGCTTGGTTGGGCTCCCAGTGCTGTCTGTGAGAGGCAAAGAGAAGGCTCGAGAACTGTGCTGGGCCCAGGGGCAGGCTGACGGTGCTGGGAAGGGCCCCCAATGTTCTGAGGTCACCATAATCTGGTTTCCACTTCCCTTGTTCACCCCCTGCTTTCTGGTCCACACAAACCCTCAGGTGTAAGCAAATCAATCTGAAGCATGAGGGCCTTGGACCAGCCTGCCCAGTTACCACCCACCCATTCCATCCCTTCTGGGAATGCCAAACTCCCTTCCTTCCAGCCCTTAAATCTCTAATTCCTTGTCTAAGACCCTTCTCAGTTTCCACCTCCTGTATGTAGCTTTCTCTAAATGCCTTATCTTAAAAAAAAAAACACTAAAATGAGAAAGTTCTCTTTGAAACTTACAAAAGTAATACATATTCACCATAACTAGTGAAATGATACAAAGATTCTTTTAAAAATTAATCTACCCCCCCTTATTAATCTTGCCTCCTGCCACAGGTTCTATATCCCTTCTTTGTCCCTTATCCACATATACACATCACCAGAACTAATTAATGGTTAAGACCCTGGGGCACATCCTTCCAGAGCTTTCTCCATGTTTATATCAAAATTAACCACATTCACACACATGCGGGGAAGTTGCTTTTCCAGAAATGAGTACCTGATTTTAAAAGCCTGTGTGTCACCTACAGGATTATGTATCTCCTTCTGTGTAAGTTGCTTATTTTCCCAGCTTGACAAGTTTCTTAAGGGTTATGACTACACCTCAGAATTGTTAGCAGAGTGTCTTGGGTAGAGCAATAGCTAAATAGTTGGCTAATACAATTCATGTAGAGAAATTACACTATACATAGGAATTGGGCTCCCTCTGCCCCCAAAGGACACATCTTGCAATGGGGTGACGGGGTGCTGGGCAGTGTGTGGGTAATCCCCCACCCCCCAACTCTATAAGTTTGGGTAGTTGGAGATGAGTTCCCTGATAAAGACAGGTATACAACAGGCAGACGAAACGCTTGGAACAGTGGGGAAGGGGAGATGGAGGGGCAGCCTCATGGATGAGGTGGTGTTTGAGCAGGACTGTTGAAGGGCAGGGGGCCGAGCATTCTAGATTGCCCAGTGAGGTCTTGCAGCTGCCTGGCTTCCAGTGCCTGCCACAGGTAGGTTCTCAATCTTGTCAGCTAAATGCTGAACGCCGAGCCAGTGTGGAGGAAGGGCACTTTCGGCACAGGACCTGGCTGGCTCCTGGGGTGCCCAGGCCCATCCCAGCTCAGTACTCACGGTCAGCGAGTCACCCATGGCCGCCATCACTTTGATGTCTCCTGGCCGGAGCTCATGGACTAGGAGAGACAGGCAAAAAGACAGATGGTCAGGGGGAGTCTTCCTTTTGAAGTATAAGCTTGACTGGGAGTCAGATTCTGCTCCAGTCCCACAGACCCCGGTACACTTATTTCCAACCTAAGATTTAGCAAATTTGCCTCTTTGATCCATTTGGAGCAACCAAGGCACGACAACGGGCTTGGTGGCTACTGTCCATCCTAAGAGGAGCCACATGCATGCTGGGGCATCCAGGCAAGTGCTGGCTGTGGGAGTCATGATCATAGGCAGAGAGGGCCCCATCCCTGACTGTACCTTCCCTGCCGGGCGGGGAGGCCTGAGGGGCTGTCACTGGCACTAAACAGAGATGGGAGGGGTGAGCTGTGCAGAGCCCGCTGGGTGCAGAGCCCGCTGGGTGCAGGCTAACTTCTCGGGGGCCGCCCATGAGCCAGACTGCGTTGCCCAGGAACTGGCAAGTTCTGCTCGGGGCTCCAAGGTATGTTTGTCGGGTGTCCCACCAACCCGACACTTAGCCAAGTCCTTAGCTGAAGGGAGTAACGATGATGTTTGCACTCACCTGAGGTGGGGACACCGTTGGAAGGACTCCACTCTGTACACAGGAAGTCACTGCCCCAGTTCTACATCAACAGGAGGAAAGATACAATGCCCAGCACTCACTGTGCAGGAAGGTTAGCTTTAGTCCAAGGAGAAGTAGCTAAGGAATTTTGGTGGAGGCTAGAACTATGCCCCTGTAGGGGATCATGTGTGGGCAGGAACAGCTCATGGTAGATGGTCCGAGAGGGAAACGAGAGAGGAGAAACTGGGCGTCTGCCTGCCCCTATGCACAAAATACAGAATGCGTGGGCACGCATATGCTACACATACAGCTTTTCCCTCTCAACTTACCCACACTTTCACATGGATCTGGCAGTCACAGCAAAGGGGGAAGAAAAGTGATTTCCCAGAGGAACGTAGATTTGGATGTCTCATGGAAGACCACACATAGGTTTTGGTGTGGCTGTTTAACATTAAGCTAATGGACACTGATTATAATGCTGGGGCTGCAGCAATAACTAGGATGTTTCTAGGAAAATACCATGAAATGTTTACAATTGTAAAATTCCTGGTTTCTGCATATCTTTCCTGGACGTGCATCTATGGTTTTGCATATTTAATTTAAGAGCCAACCACTTCCTTGTGTGTGTATAAATTAACGCCTCTGTAACCTGGATGCCCTTGGTCAAATTCCCTTGTCTCTGGAATACAGTGCACATTTCCCGGGTGCTGGGGGGAGGGGTGGGGTGGGAAGCAGAGGGCACAGAAATGACCGGTATCAGTAAGTTGGAGGAGAAATAGAGTCTCTTTCCCAGAGTTCCAAACACCTGCACGTCCCCAGGAGGGTCTGAGGGGCAAGCCCAGTGCTGAATGCATCGTAAGGCTTGGCAAGCAGGCAATAATTAGGTGACCGATTCTCTGGGGAGTGTGAATGCCAGAGGGTTTGGAAGCTCATCTCTTCTGTTTAGTCAGAAGATGGTAAAGACAAGCCTTGTTAAAAAGTCTCCTCTCCCAAGGGAGCAAAAATGAAACATCTTTTAAATATTATTTGCTTAATCTGATATAATTTTGTTTACTCCAGGAGATTGCTCAATTCATCATACTGATGTGGAAATTCTTTTGAAATCAAGGACATGCTTGTGTGCAGATGACAAATATCTGGGGAAAAAGCAGTTAAAAAGAGAACGTTTTATAGCTGTGAGCACTTGAGAAGTATCTCAGATATCTGGTGAGCCAGAGACATGACGTCCCCTGCAGATTAAGATACAGGTTGGACTTTGAGGGTGTTCCTCTGTCACAAGGGGAGAAGCCCACACTGTGCCCTATCCCGGTGCAGTCAGATCCCCTTGGGGTTAAATGCAGGCTTTGATTCCATAGGCTCGGGATGGTGCTCAGGAATCTGCATTTTTTTTAAGACTGTATTTCTTTATTTGAGAGAGAGAAAGAGAGAGAGAGAGAGAGCGCGCGAGATCACGAGCAGGGGAAGGGTTAGAGGGAGAAGCAGGCTCGAACAGGACCCTGGGATCATAACCTGAGCTGAAGGCAGATTCTTAAGGGACTGAGCCACCCAGGTACTCTGGGACTCTACATTTTTAACAAGTTCCCAGGTAAGGTTGATGCTGCTTGTTGCGGGCTACTTTAAATGGCAAGGTGTTAAACGACACCACCTTCTCTGCCTGGGTGTTAACGTTTAGCAGCAGAAGTAAGGGTCAATGAGACTGTAAGATCTAAGAGGGTAGGCAGAGACCCGCTCTGCTCACCTTGGATACCCAGCACTCAGCACAGTGCCCACTCCACTTAGGACCCCGATAAATAAATAAGTGGTAAATAAGGAAATGCCTGATTGACAAGATGAGGCTGACATTTTAGTCATAGTGGATTTTGGTCCATGGTTTGCCTGGGATAAGCCTCCAGTGGGCTAATGCGAGCCTGAGAGAATCCAGAGAAGCGGGACGGTGGTATTCCCCCAGCCATGGAGCAGTCATGGCTCATTCCCCAGAGCTTAGCATCGAACAGTCCTTCAATAATTTCATATGTTAGTCTCAGTACTTCAACTGGCTTATAAAAGGTCTTTCCTCAATCGTTCCCGCTGCTCTCAATCCATTTGCCGCACGGGTTAGGGAGATCTTTTAATAAGGTAAACCAGATGGTGTCCCCCTCTCCTAGAACCTCCAATGGCTTCCCATGTCTCTCCACCTGAAGCCCCACCTTCTTCCTCAGGGATTGGGATTCGGTGTGACCTGGGCCCTGACGACCCCTCTGATCTCATCACCCCACTCGCCACTTTATTCACATGCCCACAAGCCACTCTCACCTTCTTTCTCTTCCTCTCATACCCCAACTCAGCCCCACTTCTAAGCCTTTGCACTCGTGGTCCTGCCTGGGTCCCCAGATAGCCAGCATCTTCTTGTAGTGCACGTCCCAGCTCATGTCTCCCCTCTTCAGAGAGGCCTGGCCTGCACAGTTCATGGGAACCTGCCAGACCTCCCTTGGCCCATTGCGTTCCCTTGCATCACCTTCCTCACAGCTGTCCCCATAGCTGACATGATCATGTTGAGCTATTTATCGGATGCCCCTTCCAGTAGACTGTAGGCTCCTTGAGGGGTAGGACCCATCTGTCTGCTCTCCTCCTCTATCTCCCCAGAACACTGCCAGGCACATAGTAGATGCTCAGTGTGGAACGACCTCTAACTCCCCAAGGACAGGACTGAATTCCCTCCGGCCCCTAGCACAAGACTGCAAGTACCAGAGGTGCTCGGGTGAAACGGGTGGTGGGGCCCCTGTCCTGGGGCCTGACAGATCTTATCTGGGCCAGGCCTCCACTGTAAGGCCTGGTGTGGTCCAGGATCCCTTAGGCCATCTTTGGAGTAGCAGTCCCTAAAGCCACGGGCTTTGAATCCTTTGGGGTTCCTCAGAGCTAGAATGCTTGACTGGAACCAGACAAGCCTTGGGTGTGTGTCAGCTTCCTTTTGGGCCCAGTCTGTGAAACGAAGGTTCTTCCCATCAGCTTCCACCTTACGGGAAGTCTATGGCACATCAAACCCACGGCCTTCCCCCACCCCTTCCTGAAACGCTGAGCTGCCTAATCAGGAATGAGGTCTGTGCAGAGGTTGAAGAAAACCCATCCACTGGCACTTCCTCTTGGTGATTGCTGATGTCAGTAAGCACATGAGAACATGTTAGGACAATCCTGGGAGTTCATGGTTCAGGACCTTTTTTTTTTTTTTTACATTCCAATTTCTAGTATGTAAGAAAGGTACACTTCTGCTTAAGCTCATACTCTGAAACGTGTGCCACACCCTGAGTCACCGGCAGGTAGAAATGCTTTGTCCCTGAGAGGGGCAGACGTGCATCAGGAGTTACCTCAATGTCCGGCTTGGTGGGGTAGGTATAGTTACTGTTCCGGGGCGTCCTCAGGAAGGGCTCATTCTACAAGAGAACAGAAACCACAGGGAGAGGTTATCGGAGAGCATCAAAGATCACTCAGGAAAGAGGACTACTAAGACCGTCCTCCAGATTGATTTCACACGACTCTTCTGCATGTAAATAGTAAGAACCCCATACACGTAATTTAATGCATTCTCTCGAGGGTTTCACATAACAGCTCTGGCAAGGGGTGCACAAGAAAAGGCCTCAGAGGAGTTCCGTGCATGCTCTACTCAGGGTTCGAGTGTTTGCTCTTCACCCTAGCCAAGGAACATCCACCCAGTCCTCAAAATAATCCTTTTCTTCCCTTTGTAACCTCTCTGGCTAGAGATTTACATGATAGCATTTTTTTTTCTTTTCTAGAGAGTATTGATTATATATTTTCTATTGATTGGTTGTCTCTTTTGAACGTGTGTCTTACTTACTCCCTTTAGGTTGGCTTCACATACTTGGGCCGTATTTTTATCCTGAAACATCCTCTTCCTTGCCTACCCACCTCCTTCACAATCTGCTCACAAGCCCAGTCAAGATCCAAGTCTGTTCAGTTATAGGTGAGGGTTAACTGAAGCAGGGAGGAGGAGACAGGCAAAGGAGAAACAGGGGGAAAGCAAGGTAATGAGAAAATGTGAAAATGATATGAAGCAAGAATGAGTTAGTAAGACTGAGATCGGGAATCAACAAGCGGACCTGGGCTTTCACAAGATGTGCTCAGTGGAATGGAAGGGCCATGGTCTAAACGTCTAAAGAAAATGGGAATAAGAAAGAAGAACCAGAATGTTGGAGGAGGGGTCATTGGGGATCAGTTCCAGGGGTTGCAAACTGACTGCCTGTGGGCTAAACCTAGCCAGGAGACATTTTGTTTTGTTCTGCTTTATTTGGGCCTGAATGGTGTCAAAAAGAAGGGGGGTTGGAGAGAAGTCTGAATGCTTTAAGAAGAGGTAGAGGGTCTTCAGTTCTGGCCCTACCGCTTCCTCTTGTCCCATACATGGTCCCATTAACCCAGTCGTATTCCTGCCTGCATGGCATCGGAGTTTGCAACCCCAGAAACTCCCCATCTTACGGATCAGGAGCAACGGAGGTTCGGGATGAGGGATGGACCCGGTCCAGGTAGAGAGCAAGTAGTGAGTGCCTATCAGGTCAGGCCTTTCCGGCTCTGATCCTCATACCAGGGTCAGGCCAATGAAGGAGCTTGTTGGCCAGGCAGAGAGGAAGAGGAAGAGGGGGGCTCGGCAGTGGCCGTGGCACCCCCAGCCCCCCCGCACAGACCCTGGCTCCCTGGGACACCTCAAGTCTCTTCTTCCTTCCTAGTCTCCGCATTCCTAGCTGAAGCATGGGCCTGAGGAGTACTCAGGGCCGAGGGCGGGAAGCATGCAAGGCCAAGGAGGACTTACCATGGCATGTCACCCTGGCGAACTGGGCTTGGCCCAGCTGACGTTACTCAGCAGCCCCTGAGCATTCACCATCTGAGGAGGGCAATGTGGGAGCGTTCTAGAAATAACTGGCCCATGGGTGTAAGCACCCCCTGTGTTCAGGGCCCTGCTCCAGGTGCTAGGATGAGGGGAGGCTACAAAGAGGCTTACGGGCCAGTCAGGCAGAGAGCATGAGATGCTAGGAGGCAGTGAAGACTCAGGGACCAGTGTGCCCAGTAAGTGCAGCGATTGCTGAGGAATGGCTACAAGATTGGGCGGGGGGGGGGGGGGGGGGGGGATGTACGGACCTCACATAGGAGACGCTGTGCATGGAGCATTGCTACTTATCGTTCCCCCCTTGTCAAGGGAGCCCTGACTGGGAATAGCGGCTGGGGGCTAGTCCCAGCGGCCAGCACCGGAAGAACCAGAGGGCAAAGACTCACCTTGCCCTTCTGGGAGTGCTAAAAGTCAAGCTGGAGGGTCTATTTGGTCACATGACCTGAAGTTTGGGGCAGGGGCCAGAGAGGGGAGAGGGAGTCAAAGGGGTCAGAGGTCAGGCAGACAGTGGAATTTGGTGGGGGAGCTAAGCCAGAGTGGGAACAAGTCCAGGCCAGGGGCAGATAGGTAGCCTGGGGGGCCTGGGGCTCGCTTCATTGACCATTGTCACCATAATGCATAGGTGAGTCAGAGCAGTTTAGGGGCCCCGAGTGGAGCAGATCATGTGCAAAAGAGATCCCAGTTAGCCTGACTGCTCTCTTGGGCTAGATCCGGAACACCAGTAGCTAGAAAGTGAAGCCGAATGAAAGCCAGCACAGGGAGTGTTCTGCAAAGATGGCGTGGCTTGCCCGGGCGGGGGAGGGGGGGCAGTGCCAGGACAGCCACCTGATGGGAGTCAGCCGTGTGAGTCAGCGGCCTGCAGGGAAGGGCAGGTTCCTCTTGGCCGCGTTATAGGTGTGCGGGTCTGTGGTGAAGGAGTGGCGGTGTTCTGTGTTGCTCAGACCATAGCGGGAGTGAACAGTCAAGCCAGGCGCCAACCCCAAGCGGGCGTCCATTCCAGGGGGACATGCGTACGGCGTGAGGCAGGGCTTGCAAGGCTTGTCTGCCTTAGGCGGCTGAGGAAAGGGACGGGAAGGCTCAGGGAAAGGGGGTGGTGGTGACAGGAAGGAGGACATAACAGAAGGACATGGCATGCCCTCTGACATGTCTACCCAATCCCATCCCGGTCCCCGTGTGCTGGCTCACGACCTACGAGGCTCATTTCACAGCCTGTCAATGGGCAGCCACCTGGCAGGGTGAAGAGCACCGCCTTGAGACTATGGAGGCTTAAGTAGAGGCCGTGCTGGTGCCTCGGGAGGGGTGTGGTGGCGTAACTCCACTACCACAGGACCCGGCGCATTGACAGGACTCCGAGGCCCTCCCTGCGGAGGTCCTTGGGTTACAGAATTCTCTGTTGTTACGATGGGAAGGGCCACATGACCATTAGCACACGTGACGAGGATGTGAACGGGGGTGCTGGCCGTAGGAAAGGAACGGGGGGCCGGGGGGCGCACGAGGGAGAGTCCTATCAGATAGGGCACCTCACGTCTCACACCCGCAGAACTGTGCAAACCACAAGGATACAGACAGAAATAGGGAAGTCCTAAGGATCAGAGAGGTGGGGGAGACAAATACTTCGTTCCCGTTTTGACGTTTCTTGCTCAAAAATTATTTTTTGCATGGACGTGTGTTGAGTTTGGGGTGATGGTGGAGTGAGGCAGGATAGGAGATTTAGAAGTCCACAGCATTCAAAAGGTAAGAGTGTCCCCCATGTGTAATTCAAAATACAGTAAAGTATTTTGAATTAAAATTAAAATATTGCTAAACAGTAAAGTAAGTATAAGGGAGCCCAACAGACCTCTGCTTTTTCTTTTTCTTTAAAGATTTTATTTATTTATTTGAGACAGAGAGAATGAGAGACAGAGAGCATGAGAAGGAGGAGGGTCAGAGGGAGAAGCAGACTCCCTGCCGAGCAGGGAGCCCGATGCAGGACTCGATGCGGGACTCGATCCTGGGACTCCAGGATCATGACCTGAGCCGAAGGCAGTCGCTCAACCAACTGAGCCACCCAGGCACCCCGACCTCTGCTTTTTCTTAAGATGAAAGAAAGATTGGGTGAAATAGCACTTAAAATTATTTCAGTCCCCCTCCCGGTGTCTCTCTCTGGTTTCCTGGTCTTGTCAATACCCTGATAATACATTTAAGCTGCCTTCTGGGCAATCTTACACCACCCAGGGCATCCCAGGGGGAAGCCTCTCTTAAAGGTTAGAAGAACAGAGCTGGAGTCTGAGGAAGGAGAGATGAGGATGGAGGTCATCCTGTGCACAGACATTTACCAGGAAACCGTGGAAATGGACAACCCTCAGAGCGAGGGGATGTGGAAAGAGAGAAAAGAGAATAGAGGTGGCGCATGACAGTGGGAGACTGTCCCCATTTTTGAGACAAGAAGGGACAGGGACTAGAAGAACAGCACCATCAGGGAGGCACTATGTCGAGGAATGCAGGCGGAAATGGGTTTCACGGAGGCAGCACGACAAGTGTTCAGAGCGGGCCAGAGGAGTAAGAGTGGAGAGAGAAGTGTGTGGGTCCTTCAGCTCCTTTCTTCAAAGCCCGAGGACGAACCACAGCCGGCTGCCCTGGGTTAGAGAAGACAGTGAGAGCGGAGAGGGGACAACGAACGCTCACAGTCCACAGGGCGGCTAATCAAAGCTGGCCGGGAGATCATCTGCCCCCCTGGAAAGTCTAGCAGAAATCCAGGGGGTGCTGCTAAGGGGCCGGCCTGGCCTGGCAGAACACACCTGCAGTTGCCTCAGGCAGGGGGAGGAGCAGGGAGGAGGCTGAGAAAGCTCCTTGATGCTCCCATCCATTCTGGCCCCCTCGTCCCTGCTGGGTCCTGGCGGTTGCCTCTATGTTTAGCCACAGCAAGGACTAAAATATGTGCTGCCTGGCCCCTGTCAGCTCACCCGGAGAGGCTGGTGGACTTTTATAGAGCTCTAAGGCACACGGGCGGGAGCAGATGGGACGGGAGGAACGCGGAGTGCCGCTTTGCCTGGGGTGGTGGAGCTGGGCTGGCCGACAGATGGATCCTTTTGGAATGGGGTTGCCTGGCAACGGCTTCCCCCAGGCTGGGCTTCTACAGCTCCAAGAGGCTGGCTTTGCTCTCCTCTGCTTACCAATGGCTCAGTCAGGCTCTGTCCAGAAGGAGGGGCAGAGCCCACTGCGGCTTGAGATGCTAGTTGGAGTGGCACCCCTTAGGGGCTCCCTGCCTGGCCTGGGACAGAGAGTGGCGCAGGTCAGCTTGAGGCCCACGGTGACAGGGCCCTCCCTGACCCCGTGCCTAGGCTCCATCCGGTACTTACTACGTGTTTGTGGGAGGGAGAGCACAGGACGGCTCCCTGGAATGGGTTGTTATTACTTTTACTATTGAGTGGCAGGAGAACTGACCGATTGGAGAGGATTTCCCATGGCTGGTTTTCAGTATGGCCACATAGGTTGTTAGACACGCAAATGCTTACCTCCTGTATGGTTTTGGGCCACTGCTCTGAGTCCCCAAATGCCCCCACTACCCAGGCTGCCTGGCCCTTCCCCGAGAAACTCCTGGACATGTTCAGGATCTAGTAATTAAACAGTCCGCAACTGGCACAGTAGGCCCCCCTAGGACCTTGTCCCGGCGTCCAGCCAGCATCTGATCACTGGGCTGGAGGCATCCGTGTTACCTCATTTGACTATTCCTTCGCTCCGAGCACTAGACCCAGCCACTGAGCCCTTTGCTACGGCGGCCTTCACCTCCCCATCCCTTCCTCCCATGGCCCTGGCTCTCCTGATGGGGCCTGAGGCTGGGCTCGGGGAGGCAGCAGAGAGCATGGATATGGGCAGGGGTGCCCACTCTCTCTGGAGCACTGGCAGACACAGGGGGGAGCTGCAGGTCCATTTCCTGCTCAGCCAGGAGGGCGGGAGAGGGTGAGGCAGTCTGACCCAGGGGGGAAACCCAGCCTCCCAGCCTGGGTCAGGTCCTTCTGCTTTTACTGCCACTGAGGGCCCTCTGGCTTCGACCTTATTTGGTTACAAAACCATTAAGACGGGGCCTAGGAAAGGGAGCTGAAAGCAGTGGGAAGGAGAACCTGCCCCCACCCTAGGCCTGAAATCAAGTTGAACAACCACTTACATTTTCCTCCTTAAAAGGAGCCCTGAGCTGCGTCCTTGCCCCTCCTCCACACAGCTAGCTCCCCACCCTTTGCTGCTCTCCTCTTTGGCCCTATCCCTGCTGGGAACTCGCACTCCAGGCTCTAAGACCACTAACCACAACTTCAGAGCTAGCTGGCTTCTCACTAAGGCTTCTGACCTGCAGGCAGACTTGCCCATCGGCCCCAAGCGCTACTGCCCAAAGGAGCCTTCTTGCCACACCTCTGGCTTCTTGGCACCCCCGTTCCGCCGCGCCGCCAGGAGCCCAGGGCTCTCGCCCTGATCCTCTTCCTCTGCTTGGGCCCAGGCTTCCCTTCCCACCTGCTTCTAAAGAAGTCTCCTCCCCTGTCAGTTCCCATCGACTCCCTCCCATCCTCCGAAGCTCTCCTGCACCCACACCCACTCGAGGGGCTTTGGTGCAGGACCAGGGGAGGGCGAGGTCTCTGGGGAGGGGCAGTGCAGGTCCTCCCCTATTACCTGAGTGGGGCAGGAGAGGGCTATGTTTGCTGCCAGGTCCAGGGTCTCCGTTTTCCTTCCTAGTGGTTCAAGCTACGGGGGAAGACAAGACAGAGCCGCTGAAGTGAGCAGTCCCTGGCAGCACCTTGCAGCCAAGGCGGCTCACAGCCTGATGTCAGGGGGGTGGGCTTCCTAGGTCCGCTGCAGGGCGCTGGGCAAGCCTCTCCGCTTCCTCACAAACTCCTCGGACTTGGCTGGCAGGGCTGGCGAGAGGCTCACACGGTCTTGCCCAGCGGCTGGCATGTGGCGAATGTTGAATAAGCCTGAGGGTCTGCCTCGCATTCCTCAGAGAGCCCCTCCTCCCAAGTCAAAGCACAAAGGAGAGGGGGACGTTGATGCTGGGATCCTCAGGACTCCATATTTGCAGTTCTACAGACTTCTACAGATGTTCTAGTCACTGCTCCTTTACACCATACTTGCAAAGGGAGGCCAAGAACGAGCCTCATTCTGTAGGGGTTGGTGCTTTGCCAGACTAGAGCCCCAGAGACCCAGAGATACCCCACTTATTTTACCATATTGACCCAAAGGGCTCTGGAGAGCTGGGAGTGGAATTTCTGACTTGGGTGGAGACAGTCTGGAGCGAAGAAGGACATATCCAGGCGCCCATCCTAAAAGAGAAATGGATTTCTTCAAGATCCTCTTGGTACAGAAGGTAGGCCAACCCCTGGGATTCACCACTCAGTGCCCCCACTCCCTCTGGAGAAGCTCTAAGCCACTGGCCTTCTATAAGGCCGGCTCACCTCAAAAGTGAGAGAAGAGCAATCCCACAGATTAATAGCCTTGGGTGACCCCAACCTCCACCCTCCTTTCTGGCCCCATAATTCCCCTTATTTAATGTGTTTAAAAAGCATCATATTTATTTTTAGCACAGTTGTGCAATGCCCTAGCCCATGCCATGGTCCAGGGAGTGAGATCCTAGTCCCTGAGGAGCTCTTGGCCAGCCAGCCAGGAAAAGCTACTTCCCAGCCCTTGGCAGCTGGTTCCAGTGGTCTTGGTGGGGAGAATGGGCCAGAGCTTGGGGGCAGCCTGGGCAAAGCTGACACTGGGGTAGCTGCTACCCTCATCTCTCTGGAGGTGAGCAGGGGTGCCCAAGGCTTCTTCCAGCTTCCCTCCATCTAGGCAAGGCCCTTAGCATGGAGGCCCAGGTGGAGAGAACTGAGTCCGCATCCTAGTGAGCTCAAAAAGCTCTTCTGCTCAATGTGTCGGGGAGAGCAGGACCAGGGGGTGCAGGGACCCCATACCCAGCACCCTCCTTTAGCACTTTAGTGGTATGTGGGTGGCAGAAAGTGAATCATCTGAAGGTGGATATGTTCAACTCATGCCTCTCTATCCCTTATTCCCTATATGATTTTAGGAAGAATACTTCACACCTCTGAACCTCTGTTACCTGGGGATGAAGAAACTCATGGCAAAGGTCATTGTGAAGATTTTACCAACGGCAAACACGGGGCTTGGCACGGGGTAGGTGTTCGAGAAAGTGGGGCCAGCTATCCGTGGTCATGAGCACATCCCACATCAGGCTGCCGCCAGGAACACGGCTCAGGCCACAGACCAGCCTCTGGAGAGCCGCCCGGGTCTTTCTCATTGTCTTCACAGGCTCATGAAAACCCTTGGCATCTCTGCCTTGAATTTCTTCTTCCTCCCACCCAGAAGCCCCACCAGGGGAGGGCAGGGAACGTACCGCCAGGAGGGGGAGCCGGACCTCGTGGAAGAAGGGCTGAAGTACCACAGAGAAGTCCTCCCGGGTGTCATAGCGGCCTGACCCCACCAGTTCCCGCATGCTGCTCTGTGGACACACGCAGGCTGCTCTCAGCACAGGCCCTGGGCAGCCCGGGGGTGGGGGGTGCGGCACGGGGGGAGGCCAGGGTTTGGCAGCTGGCATCCCTGCCCCCATCTCCCTACCCAAGAGGGTGACTCAACCCTTCCCTTGAGAACACAAACACATGTGATTGCAAATCTCTTTCCAGAGAATTGGAAACAGGTTGGTTCACCTTTTGGTTTTGCTATTAAGTGAACTGCAAGCTCTGAAGGGCGAGGCAGGAAGTCCCACAAGGGATAAGAACCCAGGAAGAGTCTCCAGAGGGCCCCTGGGGGCTCAGGACCTGCAGCCTCCTTATTCGTGGCCTGCCTGTTGAGGAGGGGAGGAAGGGGGCCCCCGGGGTGCAGGGAAGGAAAAGGCCTATCCATGGAGCACCCAGAGCTACTGACCTCTTTAGGCCAAGCATGGGGTGAAGCCACTGAGGGCAGGTGGACCTCGAGGGTTTTGCCACCTGGATTCCTCTGGGATGACTCTAACTGGGGTGCCTGAGGCACTTCAGCCAGATGGGGCAGAGGAAGGGCCCAGAAGGTGATGTCCCTCCAACCCGGACTAGCTCTTCCCTTCCCTGAGTGCCAGTGTGTTGACTGAGGAGGAGGAGAGCAGCCCAAATGGTGGTTCCCTTCTTGGTCTCACCTGGTAGGCTTGGGTGATGGCCTCCAACCTGGCCAGCTCTTGGGAGCTCTCCCGAGGGGTCAGAACGCAGTTACATAACACGCTGCACAAAGAGGGGGAGGCAGGAAGACCCAGAGCAGAGGCTCTGGTCAGAGCTGGTTCTGCTGCGTGGGGTGGCTCGCTTGAGCCCTGGCTTAGGAGCACACGTGCCCTGAGGCTCTGATGCACATTCTCAGGGGCAGATTTCAGGCCTGACACAGACTGGACAAAATCCCAAGGGTGTGTGAGTGAGCACCCTCTCATACTGATAAAATACAAATACTGGACGGCAGGCACTGGGCCTCTGGCAAATAATGCGGAACAAATGAACTTAGGCAATGAAAATCCAATGTTTAATTGGGTAAGAACGAAATAAAAGTGCATCCTGTGGTATCGGAGCTTGTATTTGGGGGTCTTTGATGCTCACGCCCTCAGATGCCTCCTTAGTTCACACTAGTGTTCCCCTTCATCATGAATTGTGCATTCATAATGAATCTGGATGAATTTCATCACGAATTATTTCACGCTCATGAAATATACTTCATGTTAAAACAGATATTATCTCTAAAGCACCAAGAATAGTGCCAGGCACACAGTAGGTCCTGTAAAACTTTGTTAAAGAAATAAATGTACATAAGAGGTAGGAAGATTAATAAAACATGTACCTATATACCTCTCACCCCACTTAATAAAACACTCCCATTCTGAAGTCCCCCAATGTGTTCCTTCCCCATAAATGTCATTGAATGATGTGGATCGTTTCTCTACTTTCTGTTTCAATCTGACCACGTACGTATACAACCCCACGTTCCCTCTTTTCACTGGCTGGGCCATGCTGTGTCTCAAACACCAGCATTTGTCCCAGCCCTGACCCTCTCCGCTGTGGCTCCCATGTCACAGAGCTTCCTCCTGACATCCTGAGGTTGGGTAAGATTGGGGCGGTCCTGACATAAGACCCCCTTTGCAGACTTGGACACGTGGACACACCAAGTCACAGAGACCCCGAGTAGTCACCACTGTGAAAGTGAGACCAGGAGGTGAGCGCTTCTCTGGCGGGGGGCAGGCAGCCCCTGCCTACCTGGCCTGCTGCACAGGGCACCTGTCCGGGTTGCCCAGAAACACCTGCCGCAGGACGCTGGGGCTCAGGAAGTCCACGAGGTTGACCAGGGCTCTGGGCACCTAAGGGCAAGGCTGCAGGTGAGAGAGGGGCTCTGGGGGCTTCTTCCTCAAGCTGCCTTAGGGCCCTGAGAAGTGACTCTCCACAGAGCCCAGGCTCACGTGTTCCTGAGTGGAGTTTTGGGAAGGCGTCGGCACAGGATCACTGCGTCGGGCCCTGCAGGCTCTGCCGCCCGCTGTGGCCTGCGACATGAGTGGCACCTCCTGGCACAGGACAACATGGCGCACCTGAGTCTAAATGCTGACAGTTCGGCTCCACTCAGCCGTCAGTTAGTGAGCTTCCAATCTGCTGAGCTGGGTGCCCTATTTGCCATTTCCCTCCAGCCCAACATGGACCAGCTCTGCTGAGCAGGCCTGGGGACTGGGCCACCCCGAGAAGCACGTGGTAGTTGGAGGGCTCCCCCTGGGCAGCTGGAACAGCTTGTCTGTGTCAGGGGGTGGAAAGAGAATAAGCTCTTGGGAGCAGGACCAGAGAGGGGTTGCTCCAGATACAGCCTATGGCTCAGTGGGCAGGGCCCAGCCTGGGAGCCACCCTGTTGCTGTTGCTGCCAGGGAAGGTCTCAGGTGCTGAGGGGTGGGGGTGGGGATGGGGGGGGCAAGGAGCACACCAGCTGCCTTCTCTTCAAGCCTGAGACCCTTCTGTGCTGATTCCAAATGGAGGTAGGCCCCAAACTCTGGAAAGGGAAGGCGCCCATGCCCTTGGCTGTCTCCTTCAGGGGAGGGGGTATCTCACCTTCTTTCCCCCAGCCACACTCCCCCCCCGCCACATGCTTGAGCTGGGTCCAGCTTGTCGGAGCCTCCACCCACCTCTCTATGTAGGATGTCCAAGGCGTTGCGGAGATGGTCAAAAAAGTTGGTTGCAGAATACAGATTCTGGGAAGACACAGGAGGAAGAGGAGGAGCTACTTCGGGAGAGGGGCACTGGAGCAGCTGAAGGCCCCCCTCTGGCTCCAGCCCCAGGACTTCTTCTCCCTCTGGCTTCTGGCTGGGACTAGCTCATCATGTCAGAATCTGAGCAGTTGATTACTCGCTATTATCCAAGATGGGCCAGCCAGAAGACTGGAAACTTCCGCCAGGGCTTTCGTTTAGGAGCTGAACGTGCGGGTCCTCGTTCCCATAGCCGGGGTTTCCAGTTTCTCCACTTACTGAATTCTTAGGAATTGTAAGAGGGGACTAGAAGCCCCATATCTGCCACCTGCTACTTCACACCCCCTGGGACATGGAGGTGGGTGGGGCCAGAAAGCTGAGGGTCATGGGGTAAGTGGAGGCACACACACGGAGGCGTAGTTGGACAATCCTAGGGTTGGTTCTAGGGACCAGTCTCAAAGGGGACCTCCAAAGCCTCCCGGTCAATGTCAGGAGCAATGAGTAGGCCTGGCTGTCTGACCCCCCGCCCCGTACCGAATCTGTGCAGTAATCACATAAGTCACTGCCTCCAATCAGCACCGTGATAATCTTCCAGTCCTCGTGGAAATTCACTCTCTACACAGGAGGAGGAAAATGCTTGATGATTTCCAACCAATAAACAATGCCACAGCCCTAGGAAATCCATTCAACCCTTTAAGACTTCCTTGCCCACTCAAAATAATAGAATCAGAATCTCAGAGCTGAAAGAATTTTAGAAGTTTATGGACCACAGAACCTTAGCATCAGGAGGGATGTTCAAGATCACTGTGATCAGGGACAGCCCACCCCCCACGGCCATGGACATAATCTCCAGGGCCTCGGACTCGGGCCGTCCTACCACGGCTTGAACACCTCTGTAGTGACAGTGGCTGTTTTCATGGCAGACCATTCCATTTGGGGACTTCAGTGGGTTAGAAAATTAGTGTTTAAAAATAACTGTAAATCCGACTCACGTGGTCATCTTTCATCCTTTGTACCAGAGTCTGGACTTGGCTCATAAGTTTCCTGAGAAGGAGAGGAAATCAGTCCTATGGGAGAATAGTGCCTGGATTTTTCCTCCTAAAGGGCCTGAACTGGAGGTTTCCATGGCATTATCCCCATTGCCCGAATTGCCAGAGATTCTGAGGCTCACAGACAAGGAGCTACTTGCCTGTTCTGGAGAGTTATTACAACAAATAACCCTTTGAAAAGCCAACTGTCTGTCCTAAAGCTGCAGTCGAGGGTACTGTCAATTGTATTTGTTACTCGTGGTCTCCTTTCTAGAACTCCACATGCAATGTGTCTTTTAGGATTCCATGCTAGGAAACCATTTGTCTCCTTTGAAGGACTGGTATAGATCATGAAAATAGATCTATGAAGGTTTTAGCATGCTTCCTCTTTCCCTCCCGGGCTGCCAGGAAGCTGAGAGTTTGATGTACAAGCATAAGAACTGCAAAAATGCTCAACTTGATCCACTTGCTTCTTCCCCATCCCCCCCGCACCTGACCAGTGGCTGTGATTTTTCTCACTTACGCACATGTTACTTGCGTTATTTTTTCAGTAAACTTAGCCAGACGCTTCTTTTAGAAAGAGGTGGGGAATAAATATATACTGTTACATGCTTGGGTTTATAATTCATGGAAAGACTAGATCTCAAGCATCCCGGGCTCCCCAGTAGTTCAGGCCCCTGTTACAGGTCTGGGTGAGATGGATCCACAGCACGGTGATTTCCTGGGACCTGCTGGTGGGTCCATTTGTCCCCAGATGTTTCTGCTGCCAAGAAGGGTCTTCCCAGGCTGGATGAGCAGGTTGGAAGGCCATGCCCAGCAGCTAGAAGGGCGTGGGCCTGAGTTGGAAGGTGACAGTGTGTTGGAGGGCCAGATGGCCGGGCCAGGAGCAAGGAAAGCCGGGCTGCTGGGGCCACTAGGAGCAGGGTGAGGGGCTTCCTGAGACCACCCTGGGGGGCCGAGCAGTCCTGCTTCAGCTGCCTCTGGCTTCTCAAGAGCATTTCCTACTGGCTCCAGAGCGGGGCTAGGGATAGGCCATGACGTGTTGTCCCAGGAGCCTCCACGGCTGGAGATTCCGGCTTGTCCATTCATTTCTTTACACTCCCTGATCTTTTGGGGGAACTGCCACCTGTGAGGCTTTGGAGAGAGTGAATCTCTCTGGCACCATTATGCCGCGGTGAGTATTAAAACTTGGATAAATTTAGTGTGTTGTTGCATGATTAGAACATGTGGCCCAAGAAGCAAGGTCAGGAGTTCAGCCTCTGAGGCCATGGTTCCTGTCCCAGCTCCAGCCTCTCGGGCCTCCCTGCTGCAGCCTTAGTCACAGGGGCAGCCGGGAAAGAGAGTGGCTGAAGACCTCTCAGGTCATTACTGCAAATGGAGAAGTGTCCCCTTCGCACACGGAGGTCAGGATTACAATCTTAAAGGGCACTGCATGCCTCCCACCCTCTGGCCCACGGGCCCCCTCCCCAGACGCCGTACTCAGCCTTTGCTCCAGGAACAGCCTGATTGAGGAAGGCATTTGTGTCGTTGGCCTCGCCCTTGCCCACCGCATAGCCCGTGAGATTTCTGTTAAACTTCCGAAGGATATCTGGAAGAGGAGGGTGTGAATGGGACACAGAGGGTTTAAGAGGGAGGGGTATCTTCTCTGTTCTAGGCTCCCCAGAGTGGGTTTTGTCGCCACCTTCATGCAGTCAGGCAGGGAGGGGGAGGGTGTGCCTGGCAGGAGTTGGGGCGCTCTGAGAGGAAATGACCCATGACATGGTGGGCCAAGGCAGTAAGAGCCTCTCAGCTCCCCTCCTTTCCTTCCCTCGTTCCCTCTTTCTTTCCTTCCTTCCCTCATACCCTCCCTCCCTCCCTCCCTTCCTTCTTTCCTTTCCTCCCTCCCTCCCTCCCTACTTTCCTCCCTCCCTCCCTACTTTCCTCCCTTCCTCCCTTCCTTTCTTCACAGTGCAGGGAATGTTCATGATCTCATTGGATTGTCTCTGCACCCTCTGGGCCAGCTGAAAAAACCTGAGGCTCAGAATGTTTGGTGACTTGCTCTAGGTTACTTGGCAAGCACAGAGAAGAGCCAGGGCTTGAACCCAAGCCTCAGGGCCCCAAATAGAGTGTTTATGACACCCCCTTCAGCTACCTGTCCATGGGCCTCTCCTCCCATGCGATGGCAGTACACAAAGATGACTTCCTCCTTTCTTAGCTGAGGGGTATTCTCAGGAAGCCGGGGGTCAGGTGGAACCAGTGAACAGATTCAAGCCCCTGGCGGTTACTTACTCGGTAAGGTGGTCACGGTCTCCAGGGAGTCATCCCCTCCTGAACTGTAGGGAGTGAGCCAACCAGTGAGAGAGAGTGAATCAATACTTAGGCCTTATGAAAGAGCACCCCACTTTTCTTAGCACTCACGCCATCGGCACCTGTAAGATGTGCCAGACCCATTGGTCTCTTTGTGTTGGAGAAACTCTGAGAAAAATCTGAATTCCCCAAAGGGTTGGTCCCCCCCCAAAACCAGGATTTGAAGGCAAAAAAGGGCTGTTTCTTTTTTCCACCAAATCAGGACAGAAAGCACTTAGCTGAGCATATGCTATGCGCCCAGCATGTCCTAGATTCTCTACATTAGATACCCAACACCTCCCAACAAAACAAGCTTCTGATACAGATGCAATTATCCCCATTTTACAGAGGAGGAAGTTGAGGTGCAGAGGGCTCAATTAACTTTTGAAAGGTAACTAAAAACCAGCTTGAGCTGCAAACCTTTGGAAAATGCATTAGCTCTTCTCTGCCCAGTGGGGGAGGTAAATTCCACAGGGAGGTTCACGGGATAGCCTCTCACTGCCTTCCAATGCCCAATCTGATTTTATCTACTTGAATGTAGTTTCATGGTGTTCAATCTAACCTCAAGCCGCACTCAAAATTACATTTCCTTTCATGCATTTAAATTGAATACATGTGGGAGGCCAGGAGAGAAGTATTTCTATTTTAACAAAGTCCAGTGTTCAAATGTACTGTATTTACTGTTTTGTTTTTTCCCCCTCTGCACTTCCCTCCTCAATGCTAGCACATTATTCTAAGCCAATAGATTTTGAGAACATAGTGTTAGCATCCAGCCCACCAGTATAGACTTCCAAAGGAAGGCCATGAATCAAAGTCATGGCTGTTCTTCCTTCAAGGAATTGCTTGGGATGAAGAAGACTATTTCATATGAGGGTGGTCAAGTCAGGGGCTTGGCAGCCCCAGGTGATAGAAAGAAAGAAGCCAGGTGAGCCCTGCCATCTATCTCACTCAGGTATCTCTCTCCCATCTCCCTAACGCAGCCAGTGGTTGGACCTTTGTTCCAGCTTCTGATTCTACTTCAACTGTGCATGAAGCTAACAGCTTCAGCAGCTACCCGATCCTTCTTTCTTTCGACAAGAAGCATTTACTCAGAACATTTTATAGGAAATTAGAAATCCATATACCTCCTCCAATCATGCCTCCTTTTCTTCTTCAATAAACATATAAACACAAGCATGGAGATATACCTAAACACACCCATCAAGTACTTCCTATTGTAATTTCTTGTCTAAAACTATCTTTGTTCTAAAATAAGTGCCGTAGCTGATCAAGACGAACAAGCTACAGAAATCTGAGTGAATATTTCTAGGAGAAAGAATTACACAAATAAATATGGATGAACAAAAATATTTAAGTCCTCATTTTGATCAGATTTATGTGACACATGAAAGAAAAGAGACCAGCACAAAACAGCTAGTTAGTGTGAGATCCTCCCGATTAATGTAATTTATATTAAACCACAAGTTCAAAGGCTGGGTTTTGTTCGTCTTTTGTCACCCACAGTGCACAGAGAATTACAGAGTAGATGCTCAATGACATTTGTGGAAGGAGTTTCAGTGAGATTGAACACCTAATTTTTAAAAAAGCATTTTTTGGGGGGGGTAAGCAAATTTTATTTTGGTCCTTTGATACCAAATAAGCGAATTTATTTCAACTGAAGAAAAAGCAATGCTCTAAAGACCTCTGGGCCTGCCACACAGTTAAGCTAGCCAAAGCCAGCGCCTGTCCCTGCCGTATGGTTCTCTCAGGTCAAGGGGCTCTGGAAATAGTCATGGCCAAGCCTCATCCTGCAGGTCCTGCCCACAGCAACCCACCTCCCAAGAATTCTGGGTCATCTTCCCTGTCTGACTCTATGAGGCCGCCCTCTCTCCACTTTGTCTCCTTGGAGGAAGAGGCTCAAATTACATTCTTCATTTACCTGGAGCCATGCACTGCCTATTGTTTCCAAACCCAAAGCTTAATGGCTTCAGAAAATTGCTTTTCTCAGGTCAGCCTACTACATGGACATTGCCCAGAGGATGCTGATAGGTTTTGTGAACAAAGAAAGGATGCTGGGATTAAGAGAAACATTGGGTTAAACAGATACAATTTAGACACATTTCTTCATTGCAGGGCTTCTCAGAGCCTTTAATATGCTAACATACATGGGAATTCTCCACAAGAAGGATATTGTGGGTAATGTTCCCTCCCCGATATAAAGAATTTTGCCCTCTTCAGAAACCTGTAGGGGGTTGGTGTTCCATGGAACACTCTTTGGGAAACATTAGTCTATTTTACCCAAGAGTCAAACCCATAACTCAGGCGCTGACCCAGAGTTTCCATCATTAACACATGTGGATCTGAAACATTTAGAACAAAGGGTTTAAAGGCACAGCGCCACTGAATAGGCAAGGCTTTAGACTAGAACCAGAAGACTGAAACATCAGGCCACACCTGGCCTCCCCTATAGGGAGAAAGAGAGCAATGGCTGAATGTTTCCATTGCTACAGAGAAACATTTAGCAGAAGATTGCCTGTTTGTATCTGAATCCCAGGGATCCGGCCCGTGGGACTGGTAGGTGGAGCACATCTCCTTGCTCCCCCCCGCCCCCCCCCACCACCACGGCGTGTGGTTTCCCACATTACACCACCCGAAGCCCCTGCCTTCCCTAGCCAAGACTGAGTGAGGCTGCCCCCAGCTCATGCCATTTCTGGATTGTATGTCCTAAGCTCTGCTTGCTTTCTTCCCCTCTGGCTTTTCTTTTCCTCGCAGCCTCAGTAACATTTGAGGCACGTGGTCAGGAGGCGAGGCTCTGTTCTGTTCTGCGCAGCCCATTAGAGGCCCTCTACCCAGCTGGGGGGGATGGGGAAAGGTGGAGACCCCCGGGAGCCGGGAGGCATTTACCACAGCCGCTCCCGTCCTCCTGCTACCCATGCCCCGGGGTCCTCCCTGCCTCGCTCCCACCCAGGCAAGCCTTCCCCTCTGGGGCTGTCCTCAGGCTGGACCAGAGAACTGCCATCGCCTCAACTGTCCCCACCCTGTTCCCTCTCACTTTTCTGGAAGGAACGTTCCATCTGAATTCACTGGGCAGAAAAAGCGAGGAGGCAAGCGTGTGGAGGGGCTGCAAAACTTCTTAGCACTCTACCCTCTCCTGGCTGGCCTCGTTCTAGTCCTAGTCGTTTGGAATTCCGAGCTAATTGCCAGTTACCGTGAAACATACAGAAACACGAACTTCATTGGGAAAGAAAGAACCCCGAGAACACCCACCCACATCCACCCGCTCACCTGACGCGCCCGCGCTTTTCTACCTCCCGTCTGGAATGCCCTTTCTCATCTATCTAATGGCTAATCTGTCAATTCCCACCTTCTCTGGGAGCCTTCCTACTCCCTCTTCTCTATTCCTGCGGCCCTCGGGCATCTCTTACTTTCAAGTAGCACCTGCCCATCGAGCACGAGCATTTGGCAGTGCTTCCTGTCCCCCCCCTTGCCCACCGGTCTCAGTGCCTAGTCGGGTGCAGGCACACGGGGAGGGCTCGGGGCTGGTGAGTCTTAGTCCTTTCCTCCTGAAGTAGTGTGTTGCATTTCAGAGTTTTCTGGACAGACGTGGACATATATGTGAAGGCAGAGGTGTGAGTACAGAACGACATGAATAAATACATAGAGACAGCAAACAGACGGAGATTTCCACGTGTGCATAGCCATGTAAACAGGCAGGTGAAGACTCAGAGATTTGGTGCTTTTCGGGTGCATTTCATGTTGGATTTGCTGACCCAGGAGTCTGACAAGAACCCTGGTTTTCTTTTTCTGCACAATTAAAGAAAAAAAAAAGTTATCAACAATAAAATATCCTAGGGGCACCTGGGTGGCTCAGTTGGTTAAACAATAAAATATCCTTTCCACTCGTCACATTTTGCAGAAACACATTGGTTTTCCTTCTGAAAGCCCCTTCTGGACCTGGTCCTTGCTCTTCAGTATTTACGCATTTACAAGAGACACCCCCTCACCCAATTTCTGGGGGTGAGTCTGGGGCGGGAAAGGGTGAAGGGTTAACATTACCTATATGACAGTCCCCGATACTGAGTGGTGACATCAGAAAGGTCATCTGGTTTGGAACCAATTCCATTGCCAGCCTTTGAAAACACACCAAAGTCCATAGGAAAAGGAGTAAGTCCGAGGAAAGGGATACGGGCAGTTCCCAACACACTCATCATGCGGTGTGAGCAGACCCTGGACTGGGGGTCAGAGACCAGGCTTGCGTTCTGCCACACTCCTTTCCAGCCATAGGCCTTCCCTGCCTCTCAGTTGCCTCCTTACTGCACTGAGGACATGACTTGATGATCTCATAGGATTGCTTTGATGACCAAATTGGATCATGGTCGTAAAAACAGCATTGAACACTCCAAAGTGCTTTGGACACGTGAGACATTGCCGTATTATTACTACCAGCATTATGCTCCGAAGCTCTCTTACAAGCACGAAGAAGGAGCCTATAGATTGGAGTGGACAGCAGTGGGCAGTCTTCTCAGAAACTTCCCATTTCTCTGCTTTCCCTCTGGGACATTCTGTAAGGCAATCTTATGGCCTCAGAAATGTTGCCAGAAAGTGGTCATCTGGGAGGGTCAGAGCCCTGTTTCTTGGAACTTCGGAGCAGAGCTTTAGCCACAATTGTGGAGTCTGCTGCTTTCCATGCAGGTGCAGAGACAGAATATATGTGAGGGTCTGAGCTACTCCTAAAGCATAATCCAAAGGGAAAAGAGCACCCACGCGGCTAGGTTCAGAAGATTATTTTGAGTTGAAATGACATCTTTTTTGCAATTGTTAAAAAAAGCATTGTGAGGTGTTCAAAACCTCCACTATCTGAGACAATTCGATTCGCTCCTGAAAAAGATTGCCCCTTGCACACCTGATTGAGAAAGTGACTGCAAAACCAAACCACTGCCACGCTCTGGGATGGACAGAGCCAGGCCTGAGGGGCAGGGGAATGCAGAAGGGAGGGGTACAGGCCCTGGAACTGACTGGTACAGCTACCCTACCGCACTTGGGGCCCAAGCGTCCTTACAGTCAGAGAGTCCCCCAGCGCAGCCACGACTTGGATATCTGCCGCTCTCAGGTTGTGCACTGGAAAGACAAGCCAACACACTTGGGTCAGGGGGAAGGAACCTGTAGTCAGGGTCTAGTGCTTCCGACTTGGAAGGAAGACCAGAGGCACAACCTGTGTGTGTGTGGGGGCCACAGAGGCAGAGGTTATATGATGAGTTTCCCCATAGAAGACCCAACAAACAAGTCCTGGGCCTGTGGGGAGAGAGGTGCTGAGGGAGAGGATGGGAAGGGGATGGATGGATGGACGGTAAGGGGGGCGGAGGGGAATCTACCACATCAGCCCCAGTGGGGGGGTGGGAGGCCAGCTGTGACCCAAGGGCAGGGCCCCCTGGGCGTGGACCATCTGAGATGAGCTACAGGGTCTGAGGCTCAGCCCATCTAGAGCTGCGTTCTGGATTGCCACCAAGAATCTGAGAAATAGTCATGTCAGGCCTTGCCCGTCCCAAATCTCTTTTGAAGACCCTAAGGAACTTCTTGGCTCTACTGCAAGCAGCAGTGACCGCAAAGCCTGGGGCCACAGGGCACCCTGAAGAGCTGACTCGCTCTTGGGACTCCCTGGGCACCGCACCCCCAGCTCTGGCCCTCAGGGAGGTCACACCACTGGGCTGGGCCATGAAGGGGGGAGCTTCTGGGGGTCCCCGACTAACAGGCTGAATTGAGAGGGTAGCAAACAGTTCCTGGTCTGGCCACCTTGGGTCCTATAGGGTAAAGACATCACTGCAGGGCAGAGGGGGACAAAGCAGGGACCTGTCCCAGGCAACCACCCAGAGAGGAAGCAAACACCAGCCCAAACGGCGTCATTTAGTTATATATGCCAAGTCTTGTCAGAGCACTCATTGGCCTCTGAGTCCTTGTGGAGGGGCCCTGGGTTTTGGTGTATCATAAGGGGCTTACCTGAGGTGGGCGTCGAGGCAGAAGGGGCTCTGTCCCTGCATGGCAGCTGGCTCCCATGACTCTAAAGGCATAGAATGAATGGTAGAATCTTAGGGTTGAAAGGGACCAGAGAGACTGGTTGGGCATCAGACTCACTTGGAGAGTTTCATCAAACACAGCTCCTGGGTCCCACCCTGGGGTGGGAGGGGGGACCTGGAAGGGCACCTGTAGAAGCCTCCCTAGGTGATCCCAGGCTGGGATCTGCTAATCTAGTTCAGACCCCGTTCCCCCCACCCACAATCAGGTGCAAGAATCAGAGCATCAGCACAATAACCCCACTCCACCCCTGGCCCCCCCTCTGCTTCTGCAGCAGCTTGATAAGAGGAAAACTCTCTTCACCCAGGTCTTTGAAGAGGATTGACTGGGTGGTCCCACCTGGGCTGTTATCAGTGTGGCTTATTCTGCCCACAGCCCCGTCCAAAGGTGTAGGTGGGTGGACATTACAGAAGAGCATTAATCCCCCTTGGCTGCCCAGCAGGACCCTTGCCCACATCCCCCACCCCCTTGTGGGGCCAGTCCCGGCTCAGGGCCTGCCCACCGTGCTGGCTGGAGGGCCACCGGAAGAAACAAGCTCATACCTGCATTCTGTTCTTGTAGGTGCTCAGAAACGGCCAGAACTGTGAGAAGAGGGTGGTGAGCAACTCCAGCAAATTCCGCTGGCTTCTTGCACAACACTGTCAGCCTCCCCTGCCCACATTCCCAAGCCCCTCCCTGCCAGGCTGACTGCTGTGGGCTCCCTCCCAGGATGCACTGGGCCTTCTCTGCAACCTGAACTTGTAGGAACAATTAGAATAAACCCTGCAGTGGCTCCCAGGCGAGCAAGCCTGCGCTCTGCCTCCCACCCAGCTGGCTGGGGTAGCTGCATCTCCTCTCCTTCCTGCCCCTGCCCCGCCCCCCCACAGCAGAGCACCACCTTCTGCTTGTTCCCTACTCCCTAGACCCCTTGCCACCCCAGGCCACTCCCACCCTACCCAGGTAAGAAAGTCAGGTGCTTTGAGGTCCTGCTCCATGTAAGTCCCAGCTCAGAGGTTCCCAGTCTAGACCTGAGACTCCTCTGGGAATACGGAGGAATTTGTAGAGATGAGGGAACAGCTACAGAGGTCCAAGTATCTCTCTGACCATTTGTGAGTGAACATGGGGGTCTGGTTCCGCTTTGCCTTCCTAGTTAATGTCTGCTTTTCTAGCTCCAGCTTTCATTTGACCAGCCCTCCCCACCCCCCACCCCATCGCCCTAGCAGATATTCCAGGGCTCAGTTCCTCACTCTTTCTATCCTGCCATGGAGGCAGTGGCTACGTGGAAACAGGGTATCCTTCTGCCCCATCCTGGCCTTGACGTTCTCTATTGCCCCCTAGTCTCCAAGAGAGCTGGATGATACTGCCATTTTCCTCTTCCCAGCTGTGTGCAGTCCAGGAACTTGCTGGGGCTCCCTGGGACGTGGAGAGACAAAGGGACACTAGGGACCCCTGGCCACAAGGGGCTGTCACCCCTTACGGTCCAACCAGTTGGGGCTCTGTGGATGATCACCTGGAGTCTGGGGTGTGGGTGGGAACTGGGAATGAAACGAGCTGAGAAACCTGAGATGCTAAAATCCTGGAAAAGATGCCTCAGATAAATAGACCTGTTTACAAGGACACGCTTCGCACACTACCTGGTTCGGACAGGTGATATTGATCTTGTATTCAAAACTGTGCTGTGTTGTCTTCTGGCCAACAGGTTCCAGCTAAAGCAAGGAGTGGAAAGAGGTGGTAAGAATGCAAAGGTCAGGCTGTAGGTCAGGGCTGGGGAACGGAGAGAGGGCCACAGGCAAGGGGGTCTGTCATCGCTGCGGGGCGGGGGATCATACAGCCTGAGTGATGGGCCTCTGAACTCCTTCAAAAGCTCTCCAGAGTCTTTCTCCTGCAGAGGGAGAATAGGTTTCCCTACCTCGGTCCTCTTACCATGTTGTTCCAGAGGGCGCTGGCCGCGTAAGCGTGAGCTTTGCTGCTGAAGTGGAAACAGTCAGGAGCAAAAAAAGAGCTGTCGGGCAGCCCCGCCTGGTCACGGGGCATAAAGGAGGGGCCGTGTTAGAGGGGCATCCGATACACAAATGACAGTCAGAACCGCCTGGGCTCTGTGTGGCTCCCCTTTATCCACGATGCTTGCTTTCCTTACCGATGTCTTTGGCATGTCCACTTTTTCGAAGAATGGCTGCACGACCACCGTAAAATCCTCTCTTGTGTCGTACCGACCGTTCTCAACCAGCTGGTGAGTCCCCTCCTGCAGGAGGCGAAGGGGTCAGGGGTCAGGGGGCTCCCCACATCTGCTCGGGCTTTGTGCTGCCTCTTTCTCTGCCATAGAATTAAACAGAGTCTGCCCCTGGAGTGAAATCAATCTGTAACAAAATCTCAACTGATCGGTAACCAGCTAGTTACTTTTAAGATCAGCCTTTACCTCAACCCCAACCTCTGCTTGCAACTGCATATATTTGACCTAGGTTGTGGGGGAAAAAAAGGAAAGGCAAGGAAAACCCCAAAACCATCAGCTTGATCTCCTTTGAAAGCTTCTGATTAAAGACTGGGGCAGGGGGTGGGGGAGGGGGAGGGTATGAATTCAATTTAATGACTTTTTTGGATAATCCTTACATTTCATTTGTTTCTGTCCTACATTTGTTCAGAAAATCAAAGGTGAATCAGCAATGGCATTTGATGCCCATTTATATCATTTGTGCATGGGGGGGGTGTGTGTGTGTGGGGGGGGCAAGCATGTTCCTGTGCATGCACACTTCTTTGAGACTCTCAGGTCTGTCCAGGAGGGTAACAGAGCTGTTACTCTCATAGCTCCCACTTGGGCTCAGGCCCAGGAGGACGAGTTATCCCAATTCTGGCTCCAGGTTCTGCCGGCCTCTGCCATTTCACTGCTTACCAGATTGCTACCATCTGGGGCCAGGACCCTGGCTGGAGAAGGAAGTCAGGAACATCAGTGGGGTCATTACAGAAGGCACTCCATGTACTTTTCCCAGGGTCAGCCAGAGAGAGTGCAGAGGCCACTAAGTAGCTGTGTGACTTTCGGCAAGATGCTTTCCCTATCTGGACCTCTCTTTCCTCATCTGTAAATGGAGGATGTTCGGCCAGGCCCAGACCATCCCTTAGATCCCTTCTAATGCTACCGGTTACTCTGTGGATCAGCCACAGTGGCTCACAGTGGAACCATGTACCTCTTGAGAAGTGAAAGAAACAGTGTCCAGAATGCCTGGCATACAGTGGTCAATGATAGCAACGATTGCCTCCTCCATGGGAGCCATAGCTTTTGCAGAAAGTGGGGAGAGGATTTTGACGGCGGGTATGATGGCCTCCTGTGGCTGACCATGAACTCCTGGATCTCAGTGGTGACCAAGATTAGACCTGGGAAGAACATCTGAATCCACTTCCTATGTTTGGGAAAACTCCACTGTATTAAGAGCAGCCTGCCTCCCAGTGTGTAAGGTGAGAAAGACAAACGCGGGCTTTCCCAATGACCCTCACCCTCGGGCTTAGGCACATGCCCAGGGGCCCTCCAGAGCTAGTGCTAGAAAGATGGACAGCACAGAATCCATTCTGCTGAGGGTGGGAGCTGTGTCCAGGTCCTAGAAGCAGCAGTGACTCCACTGAACGAGTTCTTTGGCCTGATTTTGATCCTTATGGCCTGGCCCCTAGAATTTCATGATGCCGTGATTTCTGGCGGCCCCGCCTCTGATCCTAGCTTTTTAACTCTTCCAGACAGGCTGCTTAAATAAATACAACTGGTTAAATTAACCAGCATTGCGTATGTTTTTGTTGCTTGCCCCCAAGAACCTGTTCTACCCGGAACAGGTTTGTTCTCATGGCCATAACCTTGGCTGCCTTCCTTCTCCTGGTCCAGGCCATGGACTCCCTCACCAGAGGCAGAGGTGCCTGCCCACAGCAGAAGGAAGTGCAGCTGGGGAGTCGCCCAGAGGACGATAGATAGAGGCTCGTTCTCCTGAGCCCTGATAGCCCTGATGGGTCTGATGGCCTCAAAGCAGGGAAGTGGTTCTGCTCCAAGGAGTCCATGCATTTGAAGGATGGATCCATCCTGATAAGTGTTTGCAGCCTACTCTAGAAGAGCTGGAAGGCTACCATTGTCCTCTTGAGTGACTGGATTATTTTGGGGGAAACTCAAGATTGTCAAGGGAGCCTCAGCTGCCCTGGTCAAAGATTGGATGGAAAAAGGCCTAAAATGAATAACCCACTGGATGTCTGGAGATCATCGGCTGGCTCTTGGACTCTCGGGAGAGGAGAGCAAAGGAAATGCGTGTTATCTCACTGAATCCTCTAGACTCTCTTAGATGGAAAGGGTTTCCTGGCCAGGAGTCAGAAACTCACATAACTCTCCGTGGACAAATGGAAGTATTTTGTGTGTAAGGCCAGGAACTGGGATTTGGTGAAGTGTGTTCAGTGACTTGGCCCTACGGCTTGATGCAAATACACCAAATCACAGTCCCTGCGGCCTTTCAAGGTGTCTTTAAATCTGCAAACTGGTCAGTGGTAACCTCACACCCTCACACTAGACAGCTGGGGTCACGGAAACATAAGCACGACTTCATTTTCTAACCCGAGTAATCAGACCACCCAGCAGTTCCTGTGCGGCCTTAGAACACTTTCCCGGCTTACCTGATACTGCTTATTCACTTCGATGAGGGAGGCAAGTTCTGTTGAGTTATCATCAGGCTTCAGGACACAGGGGCAGAGGTTTCTGCAGACCAAACCAAAGAGATGCCTCACCCCACCAAAATCACCATCTAAATGCATGACCCGGACTTGAGATTCAGAACCTATTTGACTTGGAGGTGTTGGAAGTCGGCGGTAAGGGAGGCCCCGGCTGCTAACCTGTCCACTGCACCAGACGGAGCTGGAGAAAGTGCCCCAGAGCCGCATTTTTGCATGAACATGAGACAGTTACTTCTAACATCTGCAGGAATGACTTACAGAGCTGAGTTACCTTGTGACTGTCTGAGGACAGACCGTGCAGCTGAGATAAGGCACACCTACTTTAAATAACAACAGCAACAACAACACTCATCATAAGGGCTCACACATCCTAATGCTCCCCGCGCGGAGAGCTTTATGGGTATTAACCCATTTAATCCTCTTCGCAATTCAAGAAGTTGTATCATCACCCCCATTTTATAGATGAGAAAACTGAGCTCAGCGTGGTTAAGTACGTGCTCAAGGTCACATGGAGACTACTTGTGGGAGCCAGGACTTGAACTCAAATCTGTCTGGTCTGAACCTGAGCTCCTAATCCCTGGTTAAACTGCTTCTGTCCAGTCTGCACCTCTGCTCTGTTTGGTCATCTTGCCCATCTGGGGTTTTTTTTCCAGGGGGTGAGGGGAGGATAGTGTGGATGGCTCAGAGTAGACTCACGCCTCCAAGGAAAGCACAACCACGGAGACAGAAAAACAAAGCGGCCGCAGGACAAGGTGACCCGAGTCTGTCTCACCTGACAGTCAGTGGCTTGGCTGTTTCAGAGCTGAGAAGGGACCTGGCAGATGCCTTCTCTGAACCGTTAAATGTAATTGTCTAAAAACCCTGCAGTGATGGGCAGCAAGAGGCTTTTGGGTAAGGTGCTCTGAAATGAATACACTGAACCCCCTGTGTGGCCCAGTGACTGGAGAAAGTGGGAGCCAGGGGATGAGTCAGCAGCCGAAAATACAGCACGCCTGACACCAGCCGCGTTAATAGGCAGGTGTCACTCGGCAGCCATCCTCCCGCTCATGGTGTCCTCAGGCCTTCCCTGGGGCACCTGTGCAGTCTGGGCCCCCAGGTGAGGTCTGGCATGCATCTTCAGGGTAGCAGCCAAGGTACCCCTCCTTCATTTCCAAGAGCAGATCTGGCCCCTGTGAATTATTCATTCCCTCCTTCAGCAAACAGCCACTCTCTTGTGCTAGGAGTGACTCACAACGAGGGCAGGGCTGTGGCGGAGGCACGTGAGTCATCACCACGTGCTGTGCTCGGGGCTGTCGTGGGGGCCTGTCAAGGGCTACAGAGCTGGGGAGGAAGCTGGGGGTGGGGGGCACAGCCATCGGGACCTGGGCTACGGGTCCAGAGGCGGCTTTGCAAGAGGGAATGCTGACAGAAATGCTCATGCTCAGATTAGAAGGATGTCTTAATCCTGAAGGTCATGGAGATGTGTAATAGAGAGGGAGCCACCTTTGTCTGGCCCTGGAGACGGGGGATGAAGGCCTTTCTAGGGCCTTCTCAAGGCCAGAGCTCTCTGTGCTCGGGGAAGACTCTTCCCTGATCATCCTCTCCTCCAGCAAGTGACTGTAGCCCTACAGTTGTGAGTGCCCAGCCTAGGACACCCACACCAGATAGAGAGGCTCCCTCTGTCCTGGAGATGGGCCTCAAGGACGGAGAAGCTCTGGATACATCTGGTGGTGGCCTGTGAGCCCGGCCCACACAGACCCACTCCATTTCTCACGCTTTGCCCTTCCCTCCCGGGAGGACTGAGTTGCCAGGACAACCAGGAGCATGGTCGGGTTGTGACACAGACTCCGAGGGTAACTGAGGCCCACCTTGGGGTCACAAACACCCATCAGGCCTCGTCAGTTTAGAAAATGGGGTGGTCTTAGCCCTCCTCACACATCTACCCTTGGACTTTCTAACGAAGCAGAGTTGCTTTCTGCTAAGGGTCCCCTGGTGCTTTAGGGAACAGGGGCAGAAGCTTCCTTCTTACCTGAGGATCAGCCTTGGGCAGCTGACTTCCTTCTCCTGGTACATCTCCCTCAGGTTGATGATCTCCAGAACTTTTACCAGGTTCACAAATGCCCGAGGAACCTGAGCAAAGGTGAGGCCAATCCCCAAGAGGATTGAGGCTGGTGGCCCCAGTCTCTCCTCTGGGTCTGGGACCAGCCTCTCCTGCCGGATACCAGGTCTGTGGTCTTTCATGCCCCTATCTACTTCCTTCATCCCTCCTGCCCTGCCTCGCCCCTCCCGCCCCCCATTGACCCCTGTGTTCAGGCTTCTGGGACCAGGACAACAGCATGGTCAGCGCTGGCTTCCAGGGAAAGGCAGGCAGGAAGTCAAAGCCCCCTCCAGGCCAGGTCTGAGGCCTAAGAAGGACTGTTGGCTGAGCTGCTTAGAGGCCACACAACCCAGCCTACACACCTCAGCATGGAGGATGTCCAGAGCCTTCCCGATGTTGTCTGTGAAGTTCTGGGGAGAGTAGCGGACCTGCGGGAACAGGGAAGGTCTAACACCATCCACCACTCAATCTCTCTGCGGACCAGGCCCACCCATGTCTTGGGTCCCCTCCTTCTTGTATGTTAGCCAGAATGGGCGACATTGAAACATAAGGTTTGCCTTTGGGGCCCCCAGCGTCCAGACCAACCCCACCATCCTTAGGCTGGTCATGGTTGTGACCTCCAGGGAAACCTCTTTTTTCTGCATGGAATTATGGAAAGCTCTGGATCCACTCCACATTAACTAGATGCAGGGACTTCGCTAAAGCCTATTACATCTTTGGGCTCCTCTAGAATGGGGTGTTGGAGCACGGGACCTCTAAGATCTCCTGCAGTTTGAATATTCTCTGGTCCTATGGCCGAGCTCTTCTGCCTTAGAGCCTCAAGTACCTGGGGACCTGTTGCCCCATCAAATCATTTAAGGAGATAATTGTAGGGGAAGAGGGTCCTGTAAATCCCCTCCCTCAAGCATAAACGCATTTTAATTGTTATTTCTTCTGACCTCCATACTTGGTGGCTTTTATTTTATTTTATTTTTAAAGTGGAACCATTTCTCTGGCTGAAATCTAGCCAAGAGCCCTGCTCTACCAAATGAATCAAACCTAGCATAGAGGACATTAGGAGAAGGAAGGGAAAAATGAAGGGGGGAATAGGAGGGGGAGACGAACCATGAGAGACTATGGACTCCAGAAAACAAACTGAGGGTTCTAGAGGGGAGGGGGTGGGGGGATGGGTTAGCCCGGTGATGGGTATTAAAGAGGGCACGTTCTGCATGGAGCACTGGGTGTTATACGCAAACAATGAATCATGGAACACTACCTCAAAAACTAATGATGTACTGTATGGTGACTAACATAACAATAAAAAAATTATAAAAAAACAAACAAACTAACGTTCAAGAAGTGGAGCCGGGGCCGTGGTCCAACTTCCCTGCCTGCTTCACTAACAGCCCCAGGCCCACTGTGAGCCTGTCACATCACAACCTGAAAACCCCAGACCCTGGTGACTTTGATGCTGTGACGGGTCTGGGGGGCAGGGTTGCCCCTCGGGGCAGAAGCTCCCAAGTCTCAGCAAGACTCCCCACTTCCTAAATTTTGCTCTGCTGATCCTCTTTCTGCCTGACAAATGTCATTTTCCAGCCCTAGTTGGAAGGTGTCCTGCTCTGTGTACATCCCTGACCCCCCGCCCAACCCTACAAAATACAAATTCTCATGGCCATTCTTACTTTGGGGCCACAATGTTGTCCTTACCATGTTATGGTGAATTGTCTGTACCTCCCTTCCTGACTGTGAGTTCTTTGAGGACAGAGCTGCAAAGCTTAGCACCTAGTACAGTGCCTGGAGTATAATACGCGCCCAGCAAATGATACTAGACATTAAACACATTCTGTTTATCGGAAAACACTATAAACAAAATTAAATGGAAAACAATAAATAGGCAACATATTTGATAAAGGGTTAGTATACTTAATATAAGGGTTTTTAGACATCAATAAGAGAATGATAAATACCTTAACAGAAGAGAGCCAATAGCCATCATACAGAATTTATCAGGAGGAATTTAAATGAGGATTAAACAAGCAAAATAAAGGTTTATTCCTCCCTATTAATCAAATAAATGCAAATTTTGAAAACAAGATAAATTTTTTCATTTATTAGATTAGTAGCTATTAAAACAAATAACATACATTGACAGATGGAGCGTGAGGAGGTAGACAACTGATACCAACATTCTGGAAGCAGGTTGGCAATCTGTATCCAAAGCACTGAAAGTGTGCAGAGTCCCCACCCGCCCCCCCAGAATAAGACGGATGGATAAATACATGTTAATATAGCAACATGTTAACAACTATAAAACCTAGGCGGTGGGTATATGGGCATTTACTACATAATTCTTTCTTCCATTTCTCAGTATGTTTGGAAATTTTTGTGATAAAACAGTAGGGGAAATGTACATATCTTCTTGCCTAAATGTCTTACTACTTAGAATATATATCAGGAAACAATTATGGATGCACATAAAGATGGATGTTTCTCCTGGTGTTATTTATTTATTTTAATTTTTTTTAAATTTCTGGTGTTATTTGTAACAGGCATAATTAAAAGCAATACAAGCTAAATATGCAATAATTGGCGACAGTTAAGTAAAGTGTGGCCAATATAGGTTACGGGCTAGTTATACAGTCATTAAGAATTATTTTATGGAAAACTATTGACATAGGATCATCTTCCCAATGGATTGCTACTGAAAAAAAAAAAAAAAACAGATCACCAAACAATATTTCCAGAATGATGCTATTTTTAGCAAATAATAATTTCTCCATTTTCATAGAAAAATGCCAGAGAGACACTTAACAAAATGTTAGCAATGGCACTTCTGGATGTTGTAATTACAGAAAATATCTTTTTCTTTGTGCTTTGATGTGTTTCCAGTGTGTATTGCTTATAAAATAAAAATAATTTTAAAAGCCTATTATTTTTAAAGTTAGCTGAATTGAATGTAGAAGCAGTGCAGGCATGCCAACATGGGCAGAAAAGGTGGAAGTTACAAGAAGACCGATTTGGGCTTAACACAAACCACTACCAAAATATTGATACTTGCTTATAATACTAATTAGGGCAAATTAAAAAGCTGCCCATCACTGGGAATGTTCAATAGCTAGGTTCTAGGGAAGGCATTCCTGCCACAGATGGGAGTGTGGTCAATAGGGTTTGTGGGGTTTCTTCCAGCTCAGAGATTCTGGGGTTCCAGGAAGAAGCACCACACCCACAGGGCAGCAGCCTGGCTCTTGGGGTTCCCATCAAGAACCCCATCGGAATGACTTGGCTCTGAACCATGCCTAAATGCTTGCAGTAGGAAATCAACTTTCCCATTCAAAATAGAGACGGTAAGGCATTTTCAATGCTGGAAAAAGGAGCATTTTCAATGCTGGAAAAAGGAGCTGACCTATAATGATCTATATGAAGATAGATACACCTGATTTTTCTAGATCCTTGGAATGTTATCTTGGTTTCTAGAATGCTATGATCAGACTCTCTTGTTATGAAACCTAATCAAGATCAATTTCATAACCAGTTTTGTTGAATCTTTCCCTGGAGGTGAAGGCACTCTTGGTCTCAGGGTTAATTCCTGGCTACAAGCCCTAAGTCCCAATCCTGCTTCACTTGCTCTAGCCACCTGGTGTGGAAATCCCTCCCTGGGGGAGTCTTGAGTTAAGGACCTGGAGACTCACCGGGTCACTGCAGAAATCACAGAGATCATTGCCTCCTATGAACAGGGTTATTATCTTCCAATCTTCCTGAAAATTTATCTTCTGAAATGAATAGGAAACAAACAAGTAAGTGCCTTGCTCAAGAGTCAAGTCAAGAAGAAGATAAAGTGCTGAACACTGGCAGGGATGGGTCCTCACATACCAGAGGGTTTAATGGACATTACTATTTTCTGTTCTGCGCTTTTGGGGTCCTGAGGTTATAGGTCACCAGTTGTAGGTGCAAGATCACTTGTGGTTTTTAAAGGTGGATTCTCTGGACTTCTATGTGGTCTCCGACCCTGACCCTCTCTGTCTCCATGGATTTCTCCAGCTCACTCCCTCTTCTGGGGAATGCTAGCTCAAGGTGTCCCAGGTGGCTCTTCCCCCAGAATTACCGTATCATTCTTCATCAGGTCCACCAGCCTCCTGGCCTGAACAGGTAAATCCCTGCGGGCACACACGAACAGAAGTCATGTGAGGAGCAGGGACTGTGAAACTGGAGCAGGGACCGTGAAACTGGAGCAGGGACCGTGAAGCTGGGGCAGGGAGGGGACTTCGCGGAGACAGCAGGAATCAAACATGCAGCAGGATAGTTGGACAGAAGGCCATGCTCCCGTCCCAGAGCACCTTCCCCATTCAGTCTCCTCTGGAGGTGGAGGGCTGGGGTGAGTTGTGACCATGCTTTGGGAAGGGCACAGCATTCCACATATAAGCGGGTGACTTAATGGCATGTTTCTCTTCTGAACCAGGCTCATTCGGGGCAAACAGAAGGCTGCATGTACATTCCATGTCACGCACGGCTTGGTATGAGCCTGATTCTGTGGGTGCCGTGAGCTTCACCTCCACGGTACCCTCACCCTCAAGGTGACATGGTTGAGTCAGACACACCTGGGTTTGACATTTAGTTGCCTCCTGCTAACTGTGGATATGTAACTTAAGTTCGCCGTCCCAAAAGACTGCAAACGTGGAGATAAACCCCTGTATCTTCAGGGTCCTGAGGAGCAGTACATGAGATGAGCAAAGCAGCCTCACGGAGTAGGAGCCCCTCTCTGAGCCAGGCAGCACAGGGCTGAATCCTGGTCCCACCACTGACCAGTGGGGAGAGCTTGACAAAGTGCTTAACCTTGCAAACCCTCAGTTTGGTCCTGTGTAAGACGGGCATGGGAAGCATACCATCTTCATAGAGTTGTCGGATGGATTAAATAAAGGACTTAGAGCAGCACGGGGTAAGCATCCATATTAGAAATGATCCACTGAATTACATCTCCTAACACCACCACCACCATCACTGGTCTCTGGCACCAACCCAGCAGGAAACAGCGGTTGTCATGTATTAACTATTAACCCAGCTGGCCTGGTCTTAGTCACAGGGGACTAGGTAGGTATCAGATATCCTGGGCGGGGACTTGGGGTAAGCCATATAACCAACTTGCATCTTGGTTTCCTCATCAGTAGAAGCCGTTGGGCATCAGCTCTGAGGACCAGAGTTTGATGATCACTTGACCTCTCTGTGCCTCAATATCACTGTTAAGAAAACCTGGATGTCTGACCTGCTAACAGGGGCTGCACAGAACACGGGGCTAGTAAATGTGAAGGTACCTGCTATGTTGGTCACTGCTGTTATGATGGGTTATTACCGGACCTGGGCAAGGGCCTGCTGGGCACAAGGACAACAGGCCACGTGGTCGAGGTGACACATTTGTTCAGGCCACTTTGCCTCTTTGTGCTACAGTTTCTTCATCTGTAATATGGGAGTAGTAATCGCTAACTCTTCCCTATGACTCAGGATGTGCTCAGACAGAAGGATTACTTGCACAAAAGGGCCCCACGGCCTTGAGGAAAGCAGGGGAGAAATCCAGGGTCATATGAATCATAAACTTTATGTTCTTCACCAAGGTTTCCTTCTTGGATGCCTCCCTGATCTAATCATGCTTACAAATACCTCTCTGCATACCACCAGCTGACACATGCTTGGAAAAAAACAAAATTATGGTAATATTAATGCCAAAATTTTTAGGCAGTCAACTGGTAGCCTTTCACCCTTCTCCCACCAAAAGGAAAACGTAGCCACAGAATTTATTATAAAATGGATTAGGTTTTACAAAATCTGATTTGGATGATTCCTGTCCTGAATAAATGAGTAAGCATATACTTGGCATCAGAGTAAACTGTGACTAGTTCCTGGGGTGGGGTTGGGGATGGGCTAGTAGGTTTCTGTGTCCCACAGTGAGGGACACCCCAGGAGAGCTCACCCAGTCCAGTCTTTGACCCCCAGGCCTCTCTCTCGAACCAAGCCCCCAGCCATCAGCCATACACCCCAGTCCAGGCCAAGCCCCTGATTGGGTCCCCAGAGGATCTGTGTGGTCACCCTCAAGGCTCCCCTGCTCACTCGGCTCGGTTTCCTGCTACAGCCTGATTTAGGAAGGCTCCAGGACTGTTTTCTTTCCCGGTGCCAACAGAGAAGCCCCTCAGGGAAGGGTTGAATTCCCGGAGGATGTCTGGAAATACAAAGAAGAGACACGCTTAGTAACTATCCCAAAACAAGCTTCAAATTCCTTTGATAAGTTCCAGTGCATGTCAGAGACAAGAAACCCTCACCCTTAAAGCTCTTAACCTTACTGTTCTCTCAGTATGGAAAGAAAGCGTCTAGCAGGCTGATGCTTAACCACATGGGCAACGCACAAAGGTGCTTAACAAATTATTGCTGAATAAACGTGAGTCTGGGTTTGGTGCTTCTCTCACGCACTTTTCTTTTCTTTTTTTCTTTTCTTTTTCCTAAGATTTTATTTATTTATCTGAGAGAGAGAGAGAGAGAGCAAGCGCGCGAGAGCACAAGCAGGGGGAGTGGCAGAGAGAGAGGGAGAAGTAGGCTCCCCACTGAACACAGAGCCTGACTTGGGGCTTGATTCCAGGACCTGAACTGGTGGACTGAAGCACTCAGGCGCCCCTCTTTTTGTTTTCTAAGTACATAATAGTTTTTTGAAATATAATTCATGTACCATAAAATTCACAATTTAAAGTGCAGTTCAATAGCTCTTAGTATGTTCACAGAATTGTGCAACCATCACCATAATCAAATTTAGAACATTTTCATCACCCCAAAAAGAAATCCTGTGCCCAGGAGCAGTCCCTCCCCCTCCCCTCCAACCCTGTGGTGACCGCTAATCTACCTTCTCTCTATATAGGCTTGCTTGTTCTAGACATTTCCTATAAATGGAATAATACATGTCTTCTGTGGCTGGTTCTTTCACTTAAAATAATGTTTTTAGTGTTCATCCATGTTATAGCATAGATCTGCACTTCATACCTTTCACTGGCAAATAATATCCCATTGTATGGGTATACCACATTTACCCATTCATCAGTTGAAGGATTTGAATTGTTCCCACTTTTTTTTGGCTATTATGAATAGTGCTGCTGTGAATGCTTTTGTACTAGCTTCTGCGTGAATTTCTCTTGGATATATATCTAGGAGTGGAAATGTTAGATCATATGGTAACTCTGTTTAACCTTTTGAAAAACTTACAAACCTTTTTCCAAACGAGTTGTGCCAATTTACCTTCCCATAGGAGCATTATGAGGGTTTTAATGTCTGCACATCCTCACCAACTTTTATCTTTTTTAAAATAACCATTCTAGTGGATGTGAGATGGTATCTCATTATGGTTTGGTTTGCACTGATGGTTACTAATGTCGAGCATCTTTTCATGTGCTTGTTGGTCACTTGCATACCTTCTTTGGAGAAATGTCTATTCAGATTCTTTGCCCATTTTTAATTGGCCCAAATTGAATTGTCTTATTATTGAGTTATAAGAGTTCTTTGTATTCTCTAGATACAAGTTTCTTACCGGATATGATTTTCAAACATTTTCTTTCACTCTTTGGGTTTTCTTTTTATTTTCTTGATGGTATCCTTTGAAGCTCAAAAGTGTTTAATTTTGTCCAGTCTATTTTTTTCTTTTGTCACTTGTGCTTTTGGCATTAGATCTAAGAAGGCTTTGTTTAGCCCAAGGTCATGAAGATTTGCTCCTATAATTTCTTCTAAGGGTGAATTTTAGCTCTTACATTTAAGCTTATGATCCATTTTGAGTTAATTTTGTATATGGTATGAGTAGGATTCCAACTTCATCCTTTTGTATATGGCTATATAATTATCCCAGCATCATTTATTGAAAAGACTATTGTTTCCCCATTAGTCTTGGCACTCATGTTGAAAATGAGTTAACCATAAGTATGAGGGTTTATTTATGGACTTACAAATTCTATCCCATTGACCTATATGGCTATCCTTATGACAGTATCACATTGTCTTGTATTGGAGCTTTGTAAGTTTTGAAATTGGGGATTGTGAATCCACTGAATTTATTATTTTTCAAGATTATCTTGCCTATTCTGGGCCTCTCGAATTTCCATATGAATTTTACAGTCAGCTTGTCAATTTCTGCAAAGAAGCCAGCTGGAATTGTGATAGAGATTATATTGAATCTGTAGATTAATTTGGGGGATGTTGCCATCATATCGTCTTATTCATGAACATGGGATGGCTTTCCATTTATTTAGGTCTGATTAAACTTCTTCCAGCAATGTTTTATAATCTTAAAAGCATAAAAGATGCACTTTATTTGTTAAATTTATTCCTAAGTATTTTTTGATGTTATTGTAAATGGAATGTTTTCTTTTAATTTCATTTTTAGGCTGTTAATTGCTAGGGTATGGAAATACAATTAATTTTTGCATATTGATGTTGTACCCTGCAATCTTGCTGAACTCATTTATTAGTTCTAATAATTTGTAGTGGATTCCTTCGGGTCTTATTTATAACAGCTGCAAATACAGATAGCTTTACTCCATTTCTAATCTTGATTGTCTTTTCTTTCATTTTTTTGCTTAACTGTTCTGACTAGAACCTCCAGCATAATGTTGAATAAAATTGGCAAGAATATACCACTTGATCTCAGAAGGAAAACATCTTGCCTTTCCTCATTAAGTATGATGTTAACTGTGGGCTTTTGCAGATGCCCTTTATCAGACTGAGGAAATTTCCTTCTATTCTTAGTGTGTAGAATATTTTTATCATGAGAGGGTGTTAGTTTTTATAAAATACTTTTTCTCATCTATTGAGATGATCGTGTAGTTTTTGTCCTTTATGCTTTTGATATAGTCTATTATATTGATTTTTTTATTTGAAACTAACCTTACATTCCGAGGATAAATCCCATTAGGTCATGGGGTATAATCCTTTTTATATGTTGCTGTACTTTGCATGGTAGTATTTTGTTGAGGATTTCTGCATATATATTCAAAAGAGATACTGGTCTGCGGTTTTCCTTCCTTGTGATATCTTTGTCTTATTTTTGTTATTAAGATAATACCAGTCTCATCGAATGAATTGGGTAGTAGTCCCTCCCCCTTCCATTTTTGGGAGGAGTTTGTGAAGAATTGCTGTAAATTCTTCTTTTGGTGTTTGATAGAATTCACTAGTGAAACCAGAAAAGCCTGGGCTTTCTTTGGTGGTAAGTTTTAAAGTTCAATCACTTTGTTACAAATCTATTCAGATTTTCTATTTTGTCTTGAATCAGTTTCAGTAATTTGTGTCTTCCTAGGAATTTTACCATTTTCTCTAAGTTATCTCATTTATTGGCGTACAATTGTTCAAAATACCCTCATAATCCTTTTTATTTCTGTAGCAATGTCTCCTCTTTTGTTCCTGATTTTGAGGCTCTCTTCCTCTCATCCCCCTTTGATCAGTCTGGCTAAAGGCTTGCCATTTGGTTGATCTTTTCAATCTCATGCACTCTAATGCCTTTACCACATTGGATCTATACTTGACTTTTCACTTTTCCATCTCCGAAGCTTGGCTGAGAACTCCTGAGAGCAGGGTCCGTATACACCCCAGACTCTCACATATGCTCAACAAGTGCTTATGGACTGAATGAAGGGTGACTCAAGGTTGAGGAAGGCTGGGAGATTTGCTACAAGTCATGGGGTTACTGAGAATGAATTCCAGGCCAAACTCTACTCTCTCAGCTCCAATACAGGGCACTTTCCCCTGTCTCACAATCAGCTAGGATGTGGGAAAGGAACGGGCTAGGTACCAGCCGGTACTCTCAGGCATCAGGCCATCCAGCAGAGTGCTCTCTAGAACCAAGCCCTGCAGCGGGACCTCCACAACACGTATGCATTGAACTCCTTCCTTCTGGCTTTGGGGTCACTGTGCCCAATGGATAGAAATTACTCCGATTTCTACTCAATAGAAGGAAGAGCTGTGAAGTCACTAGAGCCATCTGCAAATAGAAATGATTATCTTTGGTTCCCCATTACTGGAGGAATCCAGCACAGACCAGCTAGCTATGTATCAGGAATGTCATAGTAAGGCGCTACACATCGTTTAGAGCAAAAACTTGCTGGCGCATGTGGTTATCTGTGCCAGGAATGTGCCATCCGCTTTCTTTACCTGTTAAATTCTAGCTCTTAAAACCCCTTTTCAGAAGGCAGGGTTAACCACCTTCTTATTTATTTTCCCCTAAACTTTGTTCATAGCTATAATTGTTGGTACGTGCATCTGTCTTTAGGGCGACATCCCCCAAAGAGACTGTGATGATGGCTTGAGGGCAGGGAACTTGCTTCACACTCCTATTTCCCACGCATCCAGAACTGGAGTCTTTGCAGGGTTAAACTGAAGAGGGAGTCAAACTGAGCTTCTGTTCTGCTTCTCGTAAGTTTTTAAACACATTTTCATGTAGTTATTTCCCTGGGGATTATCCGGCCCCTACAATCAAACTGTCTTCACAGCTCTAGTAAGGAAGCGTCTGAACAGGCAATGATCCATTGCTGGGCCAAGTGTGTCCGGGGAGTCCACCTGGGGGTGGGGGGTGGCACTGTCTCAGTCCTTTGTGAATGACTGCAGTGAAAGGTCTTGAGCCTTTTCCAGCCATCTTACCCACAACAACAGTGCAGGAATCGGCGAGCCCCGCAAGCTGTTGTAGATGCTGGGCCAGCTCTCAGCCCAGTCAATCACACTCACAAAAGCAACCCAAACCACCTCCCCTAGCAGTAAAGACAGGGAGGATTTGTGCCACCGGACTACACCTACTTACATTCAGCGGGATTTGCAAATAGCAAAACAGATATCCCTGTGTGAAGCCCAATCAGTCCTGCCCACGTGGAGATGAAGCCATCTCTATCATCAAAGTCTTGGAGCCTTAAACCTCAAATACCTTCTTAGCTTCTAAAGGTATGTTACAAAGGGATCATTACAAGAAAAGTAAATGAGAATGGGACCAATTAAGTTCTTAGGCAAAATTATTAGCTAGAAGATGTGAAGGGAAGATAATTTAACGGTAACATTTCGTGCATGTGTGCTTTAAGAACATGCACTCTGATATGTATGCACTAAGAAGAAGAAAAAGACATGTAAGAAGACCATTCAGAGAATGGGGCTCAGGCTTAAAAAAAAATCATTCCCAGCAGGCCCCTGGTGAAGTAAATTCAGGAAAATTTAACGGGCCCCAAACCCCACTGTGTTTGCACAGCCTGCACAAAGTAACTTCAGCTCTCACTGCCGTTAAGAGCAGCATCTCCTAAAGCCACACACAGGAATTCAATGTCTTTGTATGCAGTGGCGCTTAATGCAGCCAAATCCAGATCAACGCCTCCCAGAAAGGTGCTCTGCTCAGAATGACAGGCAAAGCGGAGATGGGTGCCCTTTCCTTCTTTCTGGACTCATTTCCTGACACTGACTTGCCCTAAGATTTGGTCTGAACTCTCTTCTCCTCTCTGACTCTCTTCCTTCCTTGGACAAATGCAATTTCTAAAAAACATCCCTCCGTGGCTTTCCTGACGCTCCCCAAGCAGAGCAGGGCCAGCGCCTCGGGGACGCAGCGCCCCCTGGCGAACGCGGCCGAGTTGCGCCGCCCGGCTCCCTGCCGAGCCCGCGGCCGCCACCAGGAGGCGCTGCAGAGCCGCGCAGAGCCGCTGCGAGCCCACCCGCCAGCCCGGAGCCCGAGGGAGCGCGTACTCACTTGGGAGGGTGGTGACGCTGCTGAGGTTGTGATCGCCTCCGCCACTGCGGTGCGGGAACAGAAAAGAAAAGGGAGGTTGAGAATGCCAGCGACGCCAGAACAGCTCAGGCGCTACCGAGACAGGCCTTTCTTCTTCTGGGAGACACCCCGGGGCCTTGGAGCTTGCCGGGTCCTTATTATTGCAGTAGAAAACCAAACCAGAACTCAGCAACTCCTCTCCTTGTCCCCACCAACCGGAACAGCCAGCCAAGGAACGGATTTCCAGGGCACGGCAGACTTTGTTGATTTGTAACTTTGAGCGTTGGCATTGGGACAGGGGGGCCAAGTGGGCCCCTTCGCCCCTCTTTTTAAGGGAAAGCGACCCTTCCCTGGATGCCGAGCCCAGTCGTGCCCCACTAGCCACTGCCGCTGGGCATGGCTGTTTTCATCGAAAACAAGAGTGGGGAGCTTTGCCCTCATCGCTCTCTTCCTATTTGGCTCGTGAAAACCTGCTGTTAAAGGGTGTCTTCTAGAGTGCAACCCATCTTCCAAGCTGCTCCTAAAATTCCAAGGAAATCAGAGTTGGATGGGTTTCTAGGCATGAAAATATGCAACATTCCAGAGTTTATTGGATTCCCTGCTTTTCCATATCCCCTCATTCTCTGCCAAGTGTGTCTGGGAACATTTCAAAGGGTCTCAAAATGTTTGGGGTTTATTTCTGTGCAGCATCACGAGGGAGGATGCCAGGGATTCAACACTGAGGTTCAGTCTGGGGCCAGAGATGCCAGATTCCGGGCTGAGGAAACAGCAAACCTGCCCTCTCACGCTTGGCAGGAGCTGGGTGTTCAAAGCACGAGTCCAGCTCCCTGCAGCCTGTGGCAGCCTGGATTTGATTACAGCGGAGCAGGAACAGGCCGGCATGAGGCAGTCACGATGGGGGAATGTGCCAGATTAGGGGTTGGGAACGATCTGCTCTACTTTTTGCTCTTTTACCATCTGGCTGTGTGACCTCAGACAGGTTACTTGCCCTCTCTGAGCCTCGCCCTTTAATAAGGATGCCAGCTACCATTTCGGTCTACTTTGTGTCAGGCACTGCGTTGGATGCTTAAACTCTCTCTAATCCTCATGACAGTGCTCAGGCCGTATTAGTATCCCAGCATCAAAGGTAAGGAGACACGCTCAGAGAGGTTAAGTAACTTGCTCAGGGTTGCACAGAGCTGGGCAGCTAGGATTCAGGCACAACTCTGGCTTCAAAGGCCACTGCCTCCTTCTGAGCTTCTGCCCCAGAGGGAGAAATGAAAGCTAGGGAAGATTTTCAACCCAAACATTTATGTAGTTTCTCCCCCAAACTCCTCCTGCTCAGGTCTCAGTTCCTGAACTGGGGAATGTAGTGGTTTGGGGAAGCTTTGCATTCCTTCCTCAGAGTAAACCAGAAGTGTCTCATTGAAAACCACTAACCAGGTGGCTCATCTGTCTGCTAGAGGAATGGTTTTCTGTGATGCTCAGGGGTCATCCCCCGCCCTGCAATGAAGGGGTCATTCAGGGTCTTGTCACATCTTCACTCACCTCCAGGACAGGCCTCGGTACTGAGTCAAGACATCCCAGATGTCCCCAGGCTTGGATCCGGCCCCATTACCTGCCTGACAGGGAATATCGAGGGGTGAGTCTCCCTGCCTGCTGGCCAGAAAGTCCCTGTTCTGGGTCTGGCTGGGAACGCCTGGGCACTCTCTAGAATCTAGAGTCGAGACAGCCCCCGGTCTTGATGTGCGTCCTGCCTTGGCAGAAAGGAGTGAGAGCTCCCGCTGGGAATCCCGACGTTGTCCACAGCTTGGCCTCACCCTAAGAAACCCTGCCCAGACCCAGACCAGGTGACACCAGGCTAGCAAAACTGCTCTGGAAATTAGACGGCGTGTCCGTTTTTCCAAAAGACACATTTTGGGTCTCATTCGCCTCATTTTTAAAAGTTGTGAAACACAAGCATATCACAGTCCTTTTATATCAATGTATCTCATGTATACACAATTGCAAAAATAGTAAGAAAATAAAATGCCATGTCCCTACCCCTTAGTTGAAGAGAGGGCACGGTCTTTTAAAACCGCAATCTGGACACACTCTGCAGGTGCACGTCCCTTGCCTAAAGCGTGTTATTTCTAAGCAGGGCCATTGCAAAGGTCATGCCAAAGACTGGTCTCCCAGACAGCTGGTGGGGGGCGGCTGGCCTCCATGAGAGGACCTCCCCACACCATGGGGGTGACCCCTGCTCTCGGTGCTCAATTCCTCTGCCATTGGCCGTGTATGTTACACCCCAAATGCTGCCTCCCACAAAGTCCTGAATAGCTGTGCAGATTCTCGATGAGTCCTTCTCCTGAGAGCACTTCAAGGAGACCAGGAATTGGGGGGGAGGCAATACTGGGCCACATCCAGCAGGAAGTGGTTGGGATAAGCAGTGCTAAGGACCAGCTTGCCTGGGTCCTTCCGGAAAGTTACGAGCAGTAGGGTGTTTGGGGTGAAGAGTCACTGAGGGGTCATGGGGGACACAGCTCCAGTATAGGGAAAGGATTCTGGACTTGGAGTCAGGCTGGTGCGAGTCCAGCATCTGTGAGCTATGCGGTTGTGGGCACTCAGTTCACCTGCCCGGCTTCACCTCCTTTCTGTGTTAAGTTTAAGGAGAGTCGCAGTTCATAGGATTGCATGGACGATGCCAAATGAGATAGATCAAATGCTAAGAGGCCACAGATGTGAAAGGTGTCTGCTGGCCTTTGGGGAAGGTTCTGCTGGAGGCCCTGAATTCTACTGACCTGGAGAACAGCAGCTGGATACGTCTGGAATGAGCCGCTACTGAACAGAAGCTCGTGTCTGGGAGCCTCTGGGACGCTCCACCCGGTCTCTCTAGGACCTGAGTTTGTTTTTCATGGAGAGCATTTGGCAGGCCTGAGGGGTCACCATGGAGTGGCTGCAGAGGTGGGCTGGGATCCTTGTGAGTACCTCCCTCTCTTCTACTCAACCCTCCACCCAACCCACCCCCACCCCATTAGCACCCGCTCCTGGCTCATCCTCTCGTCACCCTCCTTTAAGTTCCTCCATGACAAGCGCCAGGTCTTTGAAGGAGCCCCACACCGTGAGAGAGACTTAGTCCGATCCACCCACCTGTTAGGCTGTGAGATCTGTCACAGCTGCTCCCTCTGAGTCCCTCCCCCCCCACTTCCTACTTGCTCCTTCATTCCAGCATTGGGAGAGGAATACGAGGTTAGGATGGACGTGGGGAAATGTGATGGGCAAGGAATGCTGGTCCAGGGCAGGCGGGCCAGAGAGGAGCCAGAGATGGCCATGGTTGAGAGTTCCCCTCTCTGGGTTCCCCTGTGGATCAAGATCACCTTCCACGGTGGGGGTAACTCACCGTGAGAGAGTCACCCAGGGCTCCGATTACTTTGATGTCAGCCGGCTTCAGCCTGTGAACTGAGAATGCACACCCAAGTTAATGGCAGACGGGTTCTTATCTCCTCTGAAAATGAATGAAGACCTTCCAGGGAAATGGAGAGAAAGTCTAATTGTAATAGCAGTTCAGCTTGGACAAAAATATTAAGAGCCCATCCTCGTCACAAGGCTCCATGGTAGGACGTGGAGCCCGCACTTGCCTCCTTGGGGCGCCTGCACACAGGTTCCGGAGCTGGACGGCAGACTCCTCTTCCAGAGTAGGGTCTGGGGCCTTTGGTGAAATCTGATGCTACAAGGTGAGCAGTTACCATTGGGGCCTGAAGCAGCCCCTGGCAGGGTGGTCTGGGAGTAAGGCAGGAATTGTGAGAGAGATGCAACTTATTGATCTGGATTTACCTACTCTGGATATTTCATATAAATGGAATTATACATCATTTGACCCTTCTGTGTCCGGCTTCTTCCCCTTTGCGTAGTGATTTCAAGGTCCACCCGTGTTCTAGCATGTGTCAGGATTTTGTTCCTTTTTATGGCTGAATAATATTCTCTTGCACGGATATAACCACATTTTATTTATCCATTCATCTGCTGATGGACATTTGGGTTGTCTCTATCTTTTGGCTCTGGGAGTAGTGCTGCTATGAACATTCACATGTAAACATTTATTTAAATGCCTGTTTTCAACTATTTTGGGTATATACCGAGGAGTGGAATTGGTAATCCTATGATAATCCTGTGCTTAGCTTCATGAGGAACCACCAAACTGTTTTTGGCAGCTCAACTCTATTTTGTTCATCTTTGGAGTCTGAGCATGTACTATAATGTAGCCCAACAGCTACTTACTCACATGACAAACATACTGACCACCGAACAGTGGCTGGGTGCTCTGGAGAGGATAGAGTGATCAGAAATGGAGAGAGCGCTCCAGAAACTCACAGGCTAAGGAAGAAGTGAGACACGTCCAGTTATAAATATTTATAAGCTGATAAACCCTGTGGGAGATACAGAGTGACATGAAGTTCTGGAGTTGCAAGAACGATTTACGTCTGGGGGGCGTGTATGTGGAGGGTGGCTCAGAGCAGGCTTCATGGAGAAGGTAGTGTTTGAACTCACGGCATGATGAGATAAGGATGGGGGAGAGCGAGGTGGGGGGATGGAGGAAAAAGCATCAAGAATGCCTGTGGTGGACTGTTGAATCACAGATCTGTACCTCTGAAACAAATAATGCAATATATGTTAAGAAAAAAAAAAAGAAGAAGAAGATAGCAGGAGGGGAAGAATGAAGGGGGGGGATCGGAGGGGGAGACGAACCATGAGAGACGATGGACCCTGAAAAACAAACTGAGGGTTCTAGAGGGGAGGGGGGTGGGAGGATGGGTTAGCCCGGTGGTGGGTATATTAAAGAGGGCACGTTCTGCATGGAGCCCTGGGTATTATGCACAAACAATGAATCATGGAACACTGCATCAAAAACTAATAATGTAATGTATGGGGATTAACATAACAATAAAAAACTAAAAAAAAAAAAGAATGCCTGTGGTATGGTAAAGTGAGTGATGTCTGTAAAGAAAGGATAGTTGTACAGCTTGGCTTAAGTGAAGCGTTTGTAAAGGAGACTAGCACAAAATAACATTGGAAAGGTAGGTTAGGGCCACAGGCCTTTTATGCCGGGCTAACAAGTTAGGAGAGTAACATGAATATTGCTACATGTGTAAGTCCTTGCCGTATATACATCTGTACTGTATCTATCTACTCCTTTACATTATACACAGATGAACATGAATCCACCTAAAATTCCTACACTGTCTGTAGGACATCCAGTGAAACACAGAACACAAGATGCTTGTGACCCACGGGGCTACACAGAGCCCACATCACCCATCAACATCCAGATCACGGTTGTAGAATTAGGTCTGCACAAGAAGCTGTATTAACACTCAGTGGAAACAATGTTCCAAGGGATCTCCAAGTCTTATCTCCTACTGTAGAGACATCTTTTCTACCTGACTTCTATGCCATCTGCAGACGAGGAGCTGTCGCTCCCACTGAGGATCTGCTCTCACTGAAAAAGTAAAAGTCCCTGCCTCTTCTTGTGACAGCATGCAAACCCACACACACGTAATTATGAATGTGTGTATGCAAAATATATACATTAGTGGTCCTCAAATTTGAGCATGCATCAGAATCATCTGGAGAGCTTGTTAAAACACAGATGGTCGCTTCTTACCCTCAGAGTTCTGCTTTAGTAGGTCGTGGGAGGGGGTGGGCTAAGGATATGTGGTTAGAAGAACAATATCAAATCACAAAGCCAGCTGTACACATTAGCACATATCCATGGGGTTGAGCCTGAGAACTTTAAAATGACCTCTTCTCAAAGAAATTGGGCTATGGGGAAAAAAGGCAACAAAACAGAAAATAAGACCTCCTTTCCTCAACTCCGGAGGGCTTATTTTAGTTTCTCGTGATGACAGTCAATCACTCTCTTCTTGTTGCCATAATGTATGATATACATAGTAAATACTGTGAGCACTTGCTCGTGGGCAAAGGTTAGGGGAATCTTTGAAGCTGATAAAATGTGGAAGAGATGGGCAGATTTGCTTCAAAAGCACATTACAGTTTGCTAAAGAGGCAGCTACAACTGGTCATCCCATCATCTAAATTTGTAGCAGACGAAGGAAACATACACACATACACGCGTGCACGCATGTCCACATCTATGTGTGTGTATATATGTATAGATAGATTGATGGGGGGGGGGGTCCTCCTGTTGGTTGTTCTGAAGGATTTCCTTTGAGAGATAATAAACCAAATGAGCCAAGCCTAAATGGGAGGAGTCTGACTCATCTGGGATTTTAAGATAGAGCTGACATGTTTCATTTGTTTAATATCTTGTAGACCTTGATTTGAGCTTTGCTAATATCATCATGTATGACAAAGACACAGCCAGCAAACCCAGCACAGCACTTTAGCAATTGCTCTCCTTGGACAAAGAACTATTTACAGATAAGATTAAATTTATGTGGGCTGATAAGCTAAACATTATCTGGTACAAACTGTCCACCACCCTGAAAGGAGTTGATAAATATATCAATAACTCATCTGGATTTCTACAGAGGGGGGCCTCTTATCAGAAGGCCATCCAAGCTATGCCGAAATGTCCTGAATAGCGAGGAAATGGTAGACTATAGAATGGGGAAAAGACTGGACACTTTGGAGTTTTGTCTTGTACAACCCAACAGCCTAAACAACCCAGGGCCATCATCTGAAAAACCAGCTTTCTCTTGTTAGCTACAGTTACCCAACCCATGTGCTCTCTGATTTTAGGGACTTATGTAAAGACTTCTGCAATTGTAGTAAACGGCTGGCACAAGATTAGAACCGTGTTTCTGCCCTGGAAGTGCTGCGGGGTGGGTTTAGCTGAAGAAATATGCACCTTGCACATCTTCAAGAGCTCAAGAAATGCACTAAGTTGAATTAGAGGCTAAATTAGTGGCTCTGTGTCAGAGACTTTGCAGTCTTGAAGCTTTAGATGATGGAAACTGCAAGGAAAAGAAATACTTATTCATCCAAGTGTCTTGGGGTGATTTTGAACTTGCTCAGCAGACTGGTCCCACCCGGGGACAAGCAGGCTATTAATCCCTATGGGACGTCACTACTCCCGTCCTAGTCCCAGGTTAAGTCCCAAGACCCATGAGCAGGTGGTGATGAGAGAAACCTCTCCAGGGTCTACATTCCATGTTACACGGTCGGCTCACAACAAAGTAAAACCCTTAGCGCTCAGCCGCTGCTGTAACTTGGGTATTTTTCGTATCAGCTTTTGAATTGCTGGCTTTAGTCGAATGGGTATAAGAAATGATATCAAGGATTTAGAAAGGAATCAATGTCTTCAATGAATGTAAATGACCTGTTCACTGTTGGTGACAGTGGCATCTCTATTTGCAGATCTCTATTTCCAAATACTTTGAAGTTTTCCCTCTGCAAGGAATTAGCAGCTTGACTTCAAGATCGACAACTTCAATAGAGAGCCAAGAGCCACTGTCCTCCAGGCTCCTTATTGCCAATCTTTTGTTTGCAAAATGCTACTCCTTTTCTCCCTGGGAAAGCCTCAGGTCAGCTGCCAGGCCCAACATAGTTTCCTTAGTCATCCCAACTATGTTAGGGGCAGGCCATGGAGTAATATAAAATGATGCAAGTGTATACAAAGTTATAAAGCCCACAGGAGCTAGCCCTCAGCACAGTGCACGTATGCACTGACTGGGAGGAAAAACGGGCAGCTTTTATTTATTTCTCCGGCTGCCAAATACCAATTGGTTATAAAAATTACATCAACTCCATATATCTCATTCCAAAGCCTCATAGATTGGTGGAAGAGGTTCATCACCTGTGGGCTCCACACGGAATGAGTAAGGCACCCGGGTTGCTGGGGGCTGTGGCCCTGTTGATGAAGGCAGTTCCCTATGCTGAGACATCACTTTTGGTTAGCTTGGTGTATCTGTGGGTGGTTGGAGAGAAACACTAGGGAGAGGTGACAAGGGAGGTTTTTGAAAAGAACTCTAAAGGCAAAACAGTTATTTTATACAGAGTCTTAGTGAAAAATTGCTTTAAGGGAAGGCACTTTGATCTAGTTGGTTTGAAAGATCTTTTTCAACCCAGGACTATTGATTTGCCGAATTAAAAGTACTCATTAAGATTAACTCCGTGAACATTTACTGGGCTCCCACTATGTGCTGAGTCATTGGAGGTATAAAGGTCATGATCGTCTGATCTTGTAAGTATGCATCAGATACCATCACCTCAATTAGAGATTGCAAACAGGATCTCCAGAGGAGTGAACGATCTCACCAGAAATATGACAGTTACCAAGGAAAACTAATAATGTGGCCCCATGCTAAGTCTTTTTAACTACCCCAACAGTCACAAGGATGGTTAAAATACCCGGTCAGAGACCATGCACAGTAACGAAATGTGTTTTTTCATTATTGTCCAGTTGAGCTGCGGCCATTTTCTTAAAGGACAGCTTTCAGGCAGGACTCAGAAGGGCAGGCCCCGCTCTTATTCAGGAGGGTCGCTGCCCAGAAGGAGCGAGCTAGCATTTTGGTTACATGCCCACTTGGTTAGATCAAGGAGACCTAAATCTATCCATTTGCTTATTCAGACAGTCCCTATCACCAGAATATCTCAAGGTCTAAAGATTTCTTGTGCTTATATCTTAAGTACCCATAAACACAGTAATCTCTGGGGTCAGGGAATAAAGAAGAGGTTCACATTTTATTTGGCTTTGGGGGGTTGAGATATGTTCTAAGGGACTGGTTGGTTATCATCGACATGATAGGGACATAATCTAGGCAGATTGCAAAATGCTTTACAGCTCATCCTCTCAGAATGATAAGATTAAAAAGGAGATGGGTATCATTTGTCTGTAAAGACTATAGTGATTAAAACATTCAAATTCTGTCTCCCTATACGTGCGTACGTCTATACATACATCTTTGGGGTTTTGCTATAGGATGGCCTACATAGGAAGCTAGAGATTTGTTTCTGCTGCTCTAGTCCGGCTAGCAAACTAACCAACAGGAATGAGTCATCACCAAGTATGAAGGAGGGAAAGTTCTAAAGACTAAATATATGTGTACCTAAGAGCCTTATCACCTGTTCTATCCTTCTGCAACTTAGAACAAGAGCCAGGTGTATACTGAAGTTTTGTACAAGCATGTTTAACTAGCTTGCCAGTCATGTGGCTTAATTTGAGCTTGGAGAGCTAAGACATGCATGAAGGGGCAGGCTGACAGTTAGTTCTTCTCCTAACACTCAGCCAAAGGAAACGTCTGCCTACAAAGAATCCTGCTAGGCCTGGTGACTTCTTCAAACCTAATTTTCTATATTGGAAGACACCTAGGAGGCATTCAACAATCATCTAATAAATGAATGAACACGTGAACAGATGAGTGAACAGATGAACAGAGTGAACAGAGGCTTGCTATAGGGCCAAGCATGGGAACCCATTGCACTGTTGCAAGCATGCTCCTGGGCTGTTGTTTTGAGTCCTGTGGTTCAACATACAGCCTCCCCCACCCCACCATGATCGCCCATGGTCATGTGCACACAGCCATCACTCTCAGGCTGGCTCACCTGGAGGAAAAGATTTAGCCCTGAGACAGTCCCCTTTGGGGAGGGTGTCTGCCTGGAACATTCCACGAGTCTCATTTTCCTGGCCCGGCAACAGTCATTTTGGAAATACTGAGAAGCAGTGAGAACATGTTTATAAGATGGCATGCTTTCCTGTTCTGTGCGATGTTTGAGTGCATCCTGCATACGACTCTGACATGCAGGATGGACTGGTTATTTTTGCTTCCCGATTAAAGATAGTTTTGCTTTTCAGAGAACAAATTCACCTCATCAAGGCTTAAAGGCCAGGACAATGACAGGCGCTCACTCGACTCACACTGGGCTCTTCACAGAGTAAGACCTGGCACACAGTTAATGCTTAATAAATGCTTTCTGATAATGGTGTTATTCTAGTTTAAAGAATAATCAAACACAGGCATGAACTTACAAATATACCCCCAGAGTGATCTCTATTGGTCTTGGAGAAAGCCTCTCAGGTGGATCTCAGACCGTGTGGAAAGCCTGTTAAGGTTGCCCTTACGTCGATGACTTCAGGCCTCAAATGAGGTCAGAAACCCCTTGACTGGAGCCACGTACCTGAGGTGGGAATTGTGTCGGAGGGGTCCTTGTCAGGACACAGGATTTCCATTCTGTCTCTCACCTGTAATGAGATGCACAGAGAAGGAGTAGAAATGGGTCTTGCAATGCAGGAAACTGGATGAGAAGCAGGGTCTTTATTTGGAAAACACTGGTCAATACAGAAACCTAGGTATCGCTTAAGATAACCTCCCTCTCCTTCAACACTCCTATCCGAGTGTCTATGACATCCTTTCCTAAATGATCCCCATCCTGTCCCCTCTCCTATAGTCCCTCCATCTGGGCCTAGGCCCAGGCCTGTGTTACTTCTTGCCTGGAATACCGCAGCATCCACAGCCTTCGGTCCTGTGGGCTTCCTCCCCAGCCTCTGAGCCCATAAAGATGATGTGCTCTCTCCCCAAACATAATAGAAATGTGTTATCCCCGCCCCCGCCCAAATTCTCCGTGAAAGCAGGGATTTCTGTCTGTTTTGTGTAACATATCTTTATAGCCCCGAACAGTGCATAGTAGATGCTTGATAAATATTTGTTGGTTGAAAAAATACATTTCTGCTGCACTGATCCCAGCATGAATTCCATCCTCTTTAACACATCCCAAGAGGACCCTGACATTCTAAACCATCGGCTCTTGACTCAGTTCTCATGTTCTCCATGTCTCTGCCCAAGTTTACCTCCAGGCCCCCTTACCTTTCTCTCCAAGTTCCCACACTCCCATCCACCTGGTCACCCTTAGTCATCCTTCAAGGTTGGGGTCATTTGTACTCTTTGGGAAGCCTTGTCAACTCTCTCTGGTTGGTTGCTTCCTCTATATTCCAGAATACCCATGGAAACTTTAATTATAGGACTCACTCCACCATGCCACAATTGCTGGTTGGTTGCACTGGGCCGAGTTCCTTGTGACACGTGATGTGTTTTATCCGTGGTTTTCTCTCTTATGTCTGGCATTCCTCCATCCACCCATCCATTTAGCCATTTGACAAATAGGGACTGGGTACCTGCTCTGAGTCCCTGCATTCCAGTGGTACACAGAAGGTACTCAATAAATGTATCCCAAGAGAATGTGTTGCTCCTTCTCATCAGATGACAATAATAGCAACACTTATACAGAACTTAGGGCATACCAGATGCCTAGTAGATGCACTTTATACTTACTAATGTAGTATAATTTAAGAACAACTCTATGAGATCAGGCTGTGACTATCATTTCACAGATTTAAAAAACATCAAGGCCCAGAGATGGTAAGCACCTTGCCCAGTGACCCAGAACCAGTAAGTGGAAGAGTCTGGATTTGAACCCACAGCTGGTTCTCTCACCTCATGGTACCATGCTGCCTCCGGGATGTATCCTCATGGCGGAGATAATTGTTAGAAAGTGTGGGACACACTGGTAAATCAAAGGTCTTTCACACTCTATCACTCAGGCTCTGTGGTGGGGACCCAGGCTGTCAGCTTTGCCTGTGCCCCCCAGAGTACCTGTCATCCTCTCTATACAACAGGGAGGCAGGGATGGCACGAGGACCAAAGTCGTCTCCACTCGTAATGGCCCCAGTCCTCTGAGAATGAGGATGTCAGCCTTCAAGTGCTTCCCGGCTCCTCAGAGGAGTGCAGGGTGCCCTATCTAATTTTGACAGGAAATATCAGAGAGACTCATGAGATAAGCACCCAGTGAGACGTGAACGTGAGGAAGCCCCCACAGGTATGCGCCAACTTCAGAGGCCTGTGGGTCTTCGTGCTGTCTGGTTTCAGACTTTACCACATTGTTCTGCTTTTTCTTAACTTTCTCCTCAGTTTAAGGGCTCAGATGCGTCTAAAATGATTTGGGGTGGGCCTGAGGAGTCTTGTTTTACATCAGAATAGACAGGCAGGAAGCCCTTGGTGCTGAGTACCCCAACGCACCCCTGAAGCCTCAGGATGCTGGTTGCTGAGGTAGAGCTGCAGGGTAGACCTGCTTCAAGCACCCCGGGGGGGCAGCCACACATTTGCCCCTTCGCCCTTTCCAGCCTGTTCACGGAGTTCCAGGACCTAGAGCACCACGTGGAAGGTTCCAAAGATCCAGCAAGAGGTCCCCCGCCCCTGGTTCATTTGCATGTTTGTCAGTCGCAGAAAACCTCAGCCTACCTCAAGCCTCTCCTGAGATTTTGGCAGCCTGGGCAGGTAGTTGCTGTTGTTGTAGGTGAACAGATAGGGATTCTCCTGCAGAGGAAGGTAATACATTGTAACCGTGACCTAGAAATCAGTTATCATTCATTCATCAGGCTGTATCACCCAGCAACGCCTCCTTTGGCCAATCTGGAATTTTCATACCATCCTTGAAATGATGAGAAAACCATTCTCTGGCTTTTCTTCTCTGCTCATTAGGTCTCTGAAGGAGCTCATTAATACTTTGAAATTTCCCATTTCTAACTGTCAGCATCTCTTGCTACCTGAACTTCATGCTACCAGGCAAAGTACATATATTTCCATAAAAAGAGAACTTAGTTTTAAGCTTCCTGGCAGCCAAGGCAAAGAGGGAAATTGGATGAATTATATAGTTGTTACAGCGCAGTAATAAAAACTTACCAATTCAGTATTTAACTAGCATTAAATGATAAAAAGGAATTCTCGGGCTTTATGTTCAGTTTTTTCTTTTCTCTTTCATTCATTCAGTAGCATTAATTCTATGCCGGCTATATATTAGGCACATTATTTGAGACACCCATCCTCACACTGGGGACCAGATAAGCTGTGGCTTTGGTCCTATGACCTCCACAGGTGTATACCTGACCCACAGGTATAAACCTTAGGCGTGTCAAGTACAGAAAGCTGTGCCCAGCCTAGAAGAGCCAAGCCAAGATTCTAATGGGGCTCATGTCTCAGCCAGGGAAGACCCCATGTCACAGCAAAGCCCACTTCTTCGGGACCCCATCTCTCTCCCCAACTCAACCAGAGATTCTCTCCCCACCATCCTTCCCTCCCCAGTTCTGGCCTACCTGAGAGGGACATGTCACTGGCCTTCTCTCTCTTGCAACGAATGGTTCGTCTTTCTGTCCTGCTGGCTTCATCTAGAAAAGGAGGTGATCTTTAGAACAGAGAACTCTTGCATAAATGGCCACATCCTGGGGTACCATGGACAGAGGCTTTTTTGCCCAGCACTTCTCCAGGTGTGACCCTGGGCCAGCAAGGAGCCTTAGCATCATCTGGGGACACGTTAGAAATGCAAATCTCCAGCCCCATCCCAGACCTACTCAAGTCAGAAACTTTGGCGTGGAGTCCAGAGCTGTGCATTTTAACAAGCCCTCTAGGAGATCCGAGTGCACCCTCCAGTTGAGGCCCCCCGGCAGGAGGATTCAGTGATTCCAAGCCCACCCCTCCTGATGTTCCAGAAGGAGACATGGAATGCTAGAGGCAGTGAGCTGGGACAGGGACACCACCCCTGATGAAACTTCCCTCAGAGAGGACAGCAGGGATGGGAAGGAAGGGCAAACACCTGGCTTTTGTGTCAGGCAGGCACCTCTCCCCAGGGCTCCCCTTCCCTTCATGTGCACGAAACCCCGTCCAGTAGGGAAGGAAAGCCTCTACTAGCTGAAGACTGCTTTCGTGGCTGGGAGTGAGGCCAGTTATGGGTTCTGCCTCAAGTCCCATGTCCTTAACCGGGACCCAGAGGAACAGACATGAGGCACAGCATGGCCCCCATTCCCAAACAACTTGAATGTCTTGGGGTTCAGGAATGAGTGATGGTGGGGTCAGTGTTGATCTGGGCAACTGCTTAAATGATTACTGATGCCTAGGGAACACAGACAGAAAGTGCATGGTGTGCCAGCCAGGGGTACAGCAGGTGAGACACTCAGGTAAAAGCACTGAGGGGCAAACGGGAAAATGAAGGCCCCTAAAGAGTTCAGTGGGGAGAGGGCTTGTTTTTTTTGAGAGAGAGACGGGGAGAGAGGGAGGGAGGGAGGGGCAGAGAGAAAGAGAGAGAGAGAGAATCTCCAGCAGACCCTGCTGAGCGCAGAGTCAACACGGGGCTCCATCTCACAACCCTGAGTTCTTGACCTGAGCCAAAGTCCAGTCAGACACTTAACTGACTGAGCCACCCAGGTGCCCCATGGGCTTTTTTTTTAAGTTCCTTTTGTTATTTTTATTTTTATTAAAGATTTATTTGAGAGAGAGAGAGGGTGCACTAGCAGGGGGAGGATGAGAGGGAGAGAGAATCTTCAAGCAGATTCCCCCATTGAGCGTGAAGCCCAACACAGGGCTTGATCCCAGGACCCTGAAATCATGACCTGAGTTGAAATCAAGACTCAGCCACTCAACCGAGTCACCCAGGCACCCCTAAAGTCCTTCTGTTATCTTTAAATGGTCATTACATATACGTGAACACTTGAAGGATGAGGTGGCTTTGAGAGAAGACAGATTTCTTTTTGCACCTGCTATTCTGCCATTTGGGAAACTCATGTTTGCTATCAGCCCTACGGCCCACAGGTACTGGGCTCTCGTGGCAGCTTTGTCCCTCACCTCCCTTCCAATGACTTGACAAAGGACACAAAAGGCAGGAGGCTACTAGATGGAGTGCCCTGTCCGGCTCAGTCATGGGCTCTGCCATCCTCCATGAAGATTTTAGATTCTTCAGCAATATCTTATCTTGGCATCTGTGCCCCATAAACAAGAAGCAAGGAGAGACCTTTACCCTTCTTGGGATTAGCTCTCACCCAAATGGACAAGGTCAGATAGGAGAGTGTAATTAACGTAACCTTTTGGAAAAGGAGTGGCAACCCTTTAGCTCAAAGGCTGGAGGAGCGGGCGCCTGGGTGGCTCAGTTGGTTGAGCGACTGCCTTCGGCTCAGGTCATGATCCTGAAGTCCCAGGATCGAGTCCCGCATCGGGCTCCCTGCTCAGCAGGGAGTCTGCTTCTCCCTCTGACCCTCCTCCCTTTCATGCTCTCTGTCTCTCATTCTCTCTGTCTCAAATAAATAAATAAAATCTTAAAAAAAAAAAAAAAAAAAAGGCTGGAGGAGGAATGGGAATTCTCGCCTTCTTTCAGTTTTATTCTGAAAGTGGACACTCCTAGAAATGGGAGGTCCCACCCAGAATGTTCAAGGCTGCTCTCTGCAAAGGAATGTTCAGTGGTGGCCTGCCTTCTTCTCCCCTCCAGTCTTTCAAGGAATTAATCAATAATAGAGTCTGGAAAGAAACTTTAAGAGAGTCACATCTTACTAATTCTGGTGGAATGGACATAGCAGAGCCCATTTTTTTAAGGACCTTAAAGAAGGGGAATTCATAGGCTTGAATCAACACTTTCCTTTAAGAGCCTTTCCCCGAATGTCTCTTGATTAGTCTCCTACATTCTTCCCGCTCCTCTAATGCCCTTTACACCACTCGGACCCCCTACCCTCCTTGGTGCTCAGAGAGCATGGAGAATGACGTGGCCCATCCAAACGTCCCCTCCCACTCCTCTGTGCCGCGCACAAGTGCACGTAGGCTCTGGGGACGGCGGGGGCTGCTCTTCGTGCTCTCACTCCCCTTCTCAGTCCCGGAATCACCCACATCTCCCCTCCACAGCCTCCCTGCCACACTGGAATTAACTGGAATGTGGGAGGGATGACCTTGGACATTCTCTCCCAGGAGAATTCCCACCCGACTGAGCAATTCCTGAGGGTTCTCACCTGGCCCCACGGCTCCAACGCCTCAGGCGGAGCTTGGCATACGGTGCCGGGGGGCAGGGGGGGCAGGTTCTGTGATTGCTGGAAGGATCTGGGAATCGAGTTCCCCAAGGGTGGGTCTCTTCAGAACTCGTGTTGCATAAGAATTATCAGAAATTATTGAGGAGGCAGCTGCGGCGGTACGAAGGGCCAAGGGGATGAATGATGTCTCCCACCCCAAATCCTCCAGCTTTGTGCCAGGAGCTCAGCTTCAGTCTGGGGGAGTGTCATGCTGGGGTGGTTCTGGGGTGTTTCAGAAGCAGGGCTGCTCTCCCCCTCTCCTGCAGGCATGTGCAACCTTCCTTTGCCGGCCCTCAGAGCTTACAGGGGCCCTGGGGCTGGGCTGGGGAGAGAAGCAGCGGACCTTGAGCCCCTGTGGTCACAGCAATTGTGTTGGCCCCTCTGTGCTCCCCACGGAGGAGGGTGGTCCTCGTTCAGGGCCCTGTGTGTCTGTGAATGTGGACTTGAATGGACATACCTCGCTTTCATCTCTGTGGTCTCAGCTAAGTCCAACACAGCAGAGACTCAAGGAGGTAGAGGCAGAGACACTCCTGCCCTCCTCGTGTCCCTAGGAAGACACAGGAGTGAACCCAAGGGGGAACCACTCATGTATTTTGCCGCAGCCCTCCGAGGCTGCCTGAGGGTCATCACACCCCTTTGGCAAGTGGAGAAAATGGAGGCCCAGAAAGACCACACGGCTCACCCCAAGAAACAACCCCAAACACAGCTGGAACCAGAACTCAGGCTTTCTGGCTCTTTATCCAGTACCCTTCGCCCTCACCCTTTCTTATGGTCCATGCCTGCAGGAGTGGCCCATGCGTTCTAGCAGCTGTGCCCACTCTGGGAGCCATGGACATTCTACATTTCACCCCTGAGGAAGCCAGGGGACAGACACACCTAGGGAAGCCCCTCTGTCCCCACTGGCCTGGTGGCAGGGACCTCGAGAACTCTCCCTGGGAAATGACTGGTGCTTGGTTGGACCATTCTGGAGACCGTGGGGGTAACTGCCCACCCAGGAAAGTTGCCCCCTCCTCCTCTGAGCCCTTGTGACACCTACTCTATGTCCTAGTCCTCTGGCCTTGAGTGTGAAACTTTCTGTTTCCATCTGTGGGCCTGCTCAGGCTCATCCTCGTCGCCACCCTCAAGTGGGTTAGAGGGCACCGGGGTGCCATGTGCCTGCGTGAATGTGAAGGCCAGTGCTCGGGCTCATTCACGGCAGTTCATTATCACTGCTGCTTGGCCACCAATGATGATCAACAGCAAGATGAACGGGTAGAGGGGGAGAAGGAGGCAGAGAGAGGTGGGGGGAGAGAAGGGGAGAGAGAGAGAGGAGGGAGAAGAGCCTTTTCCCTGGATCTGCTCTTTCTGGCATTAGAGGGTCTTCATTCATTCTCAGGGCCTCCTGATCCCCACGTTTCCTCTCTCAGCAGACCACCCTCATACTAACTCTTGTTAATGCATTAGCCCCTTCTTTTCTCCAATCCCTTTGCTCCCAAAAGTCCTCTTGCCTGGGAATGCCCATGCTGACCTCGTCCAATACATCCTACAAAGCCAATTGGAATCCCATCCCCATGGGGCTCTCCTGATCTCTCGCCCATATCATTTTTGGGTGCACAGTCTTGCACATCCCTGCTGGCTGAGTTCAAGTTTACTCTTGTTCTTCTGGGTTGCCTGATCCTTCCAGCCACACCCTGGGTTCAGCGAGGGTGGAGGTCATTTGGCATGTCTTCTGTTATCTTCCTCGGACCCAGCATTGGGCAGGGCATGTTGTAGGTGCCCTTCTGTTGCTTGGGAGAAAGATGACATAGAAGGAGGAGGAAAGAGGTTTGGCTGAGCTGGAATCAGCCCTTCTCCCCCGGAGAGAGGGTGGAGGGAGGGGCAGCCCCTCAGGAAGGGTCACATTCCTTTTCTCTGCCCGTCCAAGCAGCAGAGTGGGTTTCTGGAGAAATATCCTACCGACGGGTCAGACCCACTAAAGGGTCCTTGTTCAAAGAAATCAAAAAACAAATCACTGTCTTCTCCAAGGGCTGGTGTGAACCCACTGCCGTGGGCCATCCAGGGACCCTGCCTGCTCTCCTTGGGGCTGGCTAATGTGTGCTGAATGCAGTGGCTGAAGGGTCTCAGCACAGCACGTCTCCTGAGGAGATGGGAGAAATTTCTCGAACCAAGGAGGAAGAAAACCAAATTTCCATCACTGGAATTCTAAAAATAGGGCAACTTGGATGGGGAAAAAAATGGCAAAATCAGGTCTCTGTCCGGTGCCCTGGAAATGTTCACAGTTTTGATGTTCTATCCTATCCACAGACTGACCCCAGCTGGCCCTGGGGGCCCCCCGTAGTCTGGGGAAAGCCTGTCATAGGTACAGTAAGAAGAGCCCACATGTGGTGAGGACTCACCGAGGGCCAGGAGTAAGCCACACACATGACATGTGTTGGGTCAGGGGTTATGATCAGGAATTTGCAGAAGGGATGCTAAGACCCTACATTCACACAGCTAATGAGGAGTGGAATTAGGACTTCAACCCAGGTCTTCATCATTCAAAGTCCGTGCTCATCACGGGCACCACCCTGGGCCTTTGAGCCACATGATGGTAGAACTGCTATGTGAACCTGACCCCCAGTGCCCCACTCCAAGTGATGTCACCTGCATAGACTTGGAGGAGACACCCTGCCTCTGGGAAGAATAGGACTGTGGTGGCCCAGACCTGGGATAAGGTGAACTCCCCAGGAGGTCAGAGCTGGGCTGTCACTGGGTATGGGAAGGGTCCCTGGTGGCCCAGAATTGTCATCCGGGGGCCCTGCAGGCATCCTGCAGCCCCTCCATCAGACCAGTGGGCACAGTGGGTGTGGCGGTGGAGGTCCTTCCTCTCTTCCTGTGTGCCAACCCCCCAGCAGGCACAGTGGGCCCCTGGGGCCCCAAGCCACTCACCATGGTGTTCCAGAGATTCAAGGCGAGTGTGCTGGGATCCTGGAGTGGTTGCTCCCCCTGAAAGAGAACCAGATAAGAACCCCTGTGCACCCCTAAGGATGAGGTGACCTGATGCGCACCGTGAAGCTCTCCCTGGCAGAGACGGGGTGGCCCTGACCTGTCCAGACTCTCTCTCAGTCCCATCCCCACCAATAATGGTGGGTACTTACAGGACCCTGTCTGGGGCCAGGGCTCAAAGGTGGGGGCCTGAAGGGGGAGGTCAAATGTCTGGCTGCTCTTTGTTATCTTGAGGCTGTACATACTGAGCTAAACAGAAGGAGCAGGTGACGGGGAAGTGGATCAGGTGTGGTCTGAGTGGGGGTGGGGAGGATGGGGACTAATTTTCCTCCTCTTCCTTTTAAACCACTATCAGAATATCACTGAGGTCCTAGAGGGGACACCATGACTCCAACAGGCAGGCTCCAGGAGCCTGGAGGGAGGGAGCATCCCAGATGCACAGTGCTAAAGCCTCAGCGAGAACTTATGGAGCATGCGTGAACCCACCATAGTGCTCATGGTCTGGGCAGCCCCAGTGAGTCAAGAGGCATTCGTCCAGTGACCTGGGGGGTGGGTGGGGGCAACTCCAAGTACCCTCCCTCCCAGGAATGGATGTAGAGCGTGCAGATGGGGGTCATGTGGGCTGTCCTGGAGATTCTATCCTGAATAGTCACAAGAGCTAGGAGAGACTGAGGCCTCCTAAGCACCAGTATTGCTTATTTACTCAACGCAATCCTGACAATCAGCCTAGAGGGAGAGAAAGTAACAGCCCTGACTTCACAGATGAGGAACCAAGGCACAGAGAGTGCAAATAACTTGCCCAAAGTCACACAGCTGGCCCGTTCCAGAGCCAGGACCTGCCTGGATCGAGTCCATGCTCTACCTTTGGGCAGCTCTGCTTCTGAGAACCTACCTCATGGGGCTCCCCAAGCCCGTGGGGGAAACTATCAAGAAAGTATAAGAGAATACCACAGCTCTTCTCCCCCAACACTGTATATACTAGGCTTGGGGAAGCCCAGCCAGGCTGGGGCTTCTGTGGAGGTGAGGGCGGGAGGGGGGAGGTTTGGTTCAGGCTCCTCACGGCAGCCCTCACTCACCGAAGGTGGGGTCTCGTAGAAGGCAGGCTGGAAAACCACCGCAAAGGACTCCTGTTCGTTGTACTTGCTGGAGGCCAGGAGACTGTCCCAGCTCTCCTGAAGAAGGGAGCAGAGAGGTGGGCACCCAGAGCACGAGCAAAACCCAGCCTGCCCCATCCCCCAACCAGGGAGCTCTGAGCGGCCCCAAGGTCAGGATCACCCATCTGCGCTGTTCAGAGTTAAATGTTATTCGGAAGTTCCCCCTTATCTAGCACATCAGGGCCCTTTGATGAACTAAATCAGGTTTTCATTTTCCTCTGAAGCCCCAGCATCAGGCGATACATGAGATGGACCTGAAATATATTCTCTGGAAGCTCAAGAAGTACACGCCAGCCCGGCACCTGCTAGAGCCCCGTGCTCTCCTCAAGGGCTGGGTTCTGTAAAGGGAGGAGCTGTTAGCCACTCCGAAAAGGTCATGTCCAAAGTGAGAAGAGCCATATACAGCTTCATGTGGGACTTGCTTCTTAAATAAAAACCATCACGGTAACACAGGTCAGGAGGAACTTGTGCTTTGAACTGTTTGCTGACAGGGATAATGGTGTCCACTGAGCCATCCACCCTCCCTTGGATCCCTTCTCTAAACCAGAATGGCTCATCTTCTGGAATCCTGACTTGCCCTGGGGCTGTGGTCTAGGAAGGAAGCCCAGCCTGGGCAAAACCAGCTCACCAGCCACAGATGCATGGTGCAGGTGGTGATGGCAACCAAAAGCATTTCAGAATGAACCTGCGAAGTTCTTCTTGATCTTTGACTTTAGGTACCACGACCGCCCTCCCCCCGCAACCAGTGTTTAGTCCCCACTTCACAAAAGGAATACCAGCGCATCGCTGGGAAGAGAATGCAGAGGGGCTCTCTTTGGTTCCTGACTCTCATCCTGAGTTCAGTGGAAGAAGTCCGACATTAAAGAGCTTGCTCCCTCCCTCCTTGTTCCTACCATCCCTGCTCTCCTCCAGAACCACCTGCCCCTGGGGGCCAACAGCCAGCCTCCCAGAGTGGCCTCACCTGATAGGACCACTGTGTCACCACCTTGGAAAGCTTCGAGGTCTCCCCTGAGTCCCTGCAGGGCTCTGCCGTGGGGCTGCCGGTTAAAACAAGCCAGAAATGAGAGTGTGGGTGCCATGTTGGCCATTCAGGCTGCCCATGGGGGAAGTAGGGTGCTGGGGGGGACCCTGGGAGTTGCTTAAGGAGTGTGGAAGGAGAAGTTGGAAGTCTTAGAGGTTCTGGAGAAGGAAGGAGGCACACATTGGGGAGAATAAAGGGTAGGGTCTCCCTCCCAGGACTGAAGCATGTGGAGTGCCCCACACTGTGCTTGACACACGGCGGTCAATGAACAGTTTCATTTCACTTTCCCTTTTTACCTGAGCTGAGTCCCTTGGTCCCAGGGAGAGACCATCAGAGTCTCAGAGAGATCCACCAGGTTCACAAATGCTCTGGGGACCTAGGTGGGGACAAGGGAAAAGATGAGCATTTGCGAGGTCACCACGGCTGCCCAGAGGCTTCTCTGGAACCCTGGGTTTGAGCCTTTTGGCATCTGGTTGAACATGGCGGGCCTCTCCTTGGTTAAAAACCTCCTTTGGGAGGTGTTTGGTTGGGGTCTGTCCAAAGCGGCCAGCACAGCCAGCCCTGCCATTCACCATCTGTCACGGGGACAGGGCATCTCCCCACCCCAGTGTCAACAGGGGGATCAAGTCCTCAGGGGCAGTGGGCCTTTCGGAAAAGCTGCCTCCCTGGGGAGCAAAGGGTGGGGGTGAGAGCTCCCCTGGGTTCTCAGAACTGCAGTGCTCATAAAGGTCACTTTAGAAAGGGAAGGCCCTGGGGTTGTCCCTGCCCCAGACTTAGAGGCTTCAGGGAAGAGGAGGGTCACTGAGACCCTAGGGAGGAACAGTGCTCTATCCCTTCTTCCTCCCCAGAAGCCTCACTCAGAAATGTCCTTCTCCCTTGCGTCTAGGTTTCCCTCCTGAGTCCATTGTCCTCATCTCAGTGGAGGGCCACTTGAGAATAAACTGGCATCTGCCCCATCAACCCTTGGAAGGGCAGCTTCCGTCTCGCTGCCCAAGATGTAAGCAGGGAAGGGCAGCTCAGGGCCTGTGGTCCCCGGGCACTGGGGAGTTGCAAGTCTCACCTCCTGGTGCAGGTAGTCCAGAGCCCCAGCTAGCACGTCCAGGCCTCCCGCCGCGTGCCTCTGCTGGGAGAGGAGAAACGTGCTGAGCGCAGGTGGGGATGGGCGCTTGGGTCTAAGGATGCGCAGGTTCCTGCCGGCCTGTCCCTTTCTCTCTCCAGCCCCTATCTGAGTCCTTAAGTCCAGGAGTAATTGGGTTTCCCTCCCCTTTGGACCTGATTTTCTTCAGAGCAAAGTGATTCCATTAGCCTTTGGGACTAAGTCTGGTCCCAGATTTTTGTCCATTATCTGACTTCCCCAACCCATCACTCACCAGGAAAAACCAGACTCTCCCAAATGGGAAGTTCCATGGCAGGGAAGGGCAAACCAAGGTCAGGGCCATTCTAAAGCTCACAAGGAGGGAGGGGACACCAGACTACTCCCAAAGGCTGATGGAATCAATTTTATCTGAAGAAAATCAGGCCCGAAGAAGGAAGACAATTAAGCCCTGGATTTAAGGACCCAGATAGGTCTCAAAACTTCTACATGGCACTCTTTTATCAGACCTCCCCCTGTCACATGGGCCCAGGGGAAAGGGCTCAGGGAAAGAATCTGAGCCAGCTCCTGTTACTGAGGATTTCAAGACACCTCCTACCCACCCAATTCTTCGTTGGTCATGAAAATAAATAAACAAAGGAGAGGACCTCAAAAATCACCCTGGTTTACCTTTTCAGGGTAAAAAAAAAGAAACTAATAAATTTTACAACAAGCAAACTCTTAAGCAGCCTGCAAACCCGCTGTCCCCTGAGGCGACTTGGCTCAGACAGGATGACATGGGAGGCTGAGTTCCCTTTCTGTCTCCTGGGGGGACACAGGCAGGGACTCTGGAGACAGCTGTCCATAACTGGAGCTGGAAGAGCCCTGAAGGGCAGCTCCTACTCCCGCCTCCCCGCTTTGAGCAAAGGTGTCCTCTCAAGGCCGGTTCAGCCTGCTCTGTTGCCATAGCCAGAAATAGTCTTTTGTCTGTTTCCTGCAGTCTAAGTGAGTCTCTCCCTGAGCATGACATTCAGCATCACACTTTCCCTTCTGAGGCGTCTTGGGAACTCTGCCTAGAAAGGTCCTTGCTGCCCATCTTTACCACATTCAGGGCATCCATCTTCCCTAGGGACCCCGGGGGATCCCTGTGTGGTTTGACCCTGATGGCAAGCCCTGCTGTAGAAACTCCTTAGTCGGGGTGGTGGCAAAACAATAGTTTATCTTTGACTTTGATGTTTTAGTTTAAAGGCAAAAGCATTTGTGTATTGTTTGTCCAACTGAAAATAAAATTGAATAGTGCGTAATGGATATGTACACACAGAAATGCGCTGTGTAGGCAAGAATGCTTAAAGGCATACATACATGAAAGATCACAAGAATCCACATAGGAATGCTTGAATGGAAGTAATGTGTATTTATCTTTAAGGAATCATGAATGAGTGTAAGCATCAATGAATGCATCCAAACATTTTTAAAAAATCAAACAAATGCTGGCATAAACAAACTCATTACACATACAATAGCACATGCCTGCAGGTAAGAAGAGAGGATGGATCTGTGCATGACTGGGTAACTTATGGCTGGCTGGCTGGCTGGCTGGCTGGATGGATGGATGGATGGCTGGCTGGATGAGTGGATATGCAGGGGAATGCAGCAATGCCTAGATGCTCGTTTGAGCACTTCAATGCATGAATGCATAAATTCATGAATAAACGTTGGTGTGTATAATGACCAGAGCAGAGAATAAACAGGGCATGGAAATTTCACTTGGTGCTGGAGAAAACGGGGAGTAAAGTAGAAAAATTAGGCTTCAAGATCTATGTGCTACAAACCCAGGAGATCTGCAGGAATACTGTTCCACAAAAGCTGGTCAGGGAAGGTGGGCCTCCATCAGCATTCTCCCAGGGCCCAACATCAGTAATGGAAGGGGAGGGTTGATGGTGGGCTAGGAGTCAGTGGGAGCGTAGGGCATTTGAAGGAAGGCAAGAGCATGTGTTGTGGGAGAGGGGCCACAGGAAAGAGGACAGCACCTCAAGAAACCCCATCCATGCCTGTGTCATGGTCTGGTGGCAGCCCTGGGAGGTGGCTGAGCGAAGAGTGGGCAGGTAATTGGTCTGCCACCAGGGGCTTACGTGCCTAAGGTTCAGCTCCTGAAGAAGAGTCTGTGAGCCATTTAGGTCACCATAGCCTGGGTATGTAAACCACTCCTTAGACTTTCAATTGATCTTAACTGGGACTAATCTCCAATAAAGACTTAAATCATAGATAGTCACCTACATTAATAGAAAGCACAGCCACACGTTTCATGTCCCGTTCCCAGGAATGCCAAAGAGCCCGGAAGTTACAGTTTACCTACATAAACACTAGCTTCCCCTTACCACGAGAAGCCATGGGCCAACAGGTGATAAGAGCACACATATCCTGCTTTATTTCCCAAATTCAGCACTTAAATACAATCAGAGCCACAAGAGACAAATGATTTTTAACTAGGAAGCTGATTTTCCTTAGTCACAGAATAAACATTGACTCAGCCTCTCTACACCTCAATTTCCTTTTCCTGATATGAAGGATGGTACATTAAAAACATTCCTTCTGTATATGGCTCCTCGAGCCCTTAGATATTGACACCCATTAATTATCTGTTTGCCCAAGTTCTGAAACAGCTACCACCAGGCCCAGCCTGACAGGTGTAGACCAGGTGGGCTTAGGGTCGTTCCCACTGCCCTCATCCCCACACCAACAACCCTCTGCCTCCCAGCCTGCGGTTTACCTGTTGGGTGGAGGGACAGAGGTGATCCCGGCTTGAGTTACGGAAAAACACACTGATGAGCTTCCAGTCATTTTGAAAATCAAGTTGCTGGGGAAAAAAAAAAGGGCAAGAGCATAAAAAGAGAGAGTGGTGAGACCTGGCATCAAAAGAACTGTTTTCAAGTTGTTCAATCTTATGACCCACACCCATAAAATCGTATTTATGATTTTTTTTTCAAAAGAAGTACATGATAGGAATCTAATGCTGTATAACTGCCCTAGAAGACAATTTGGCAAAATGTATCAAAAGCTATTTTTTAAGGGCATACCCCTTGATCTAATAATTCCATTTCCCAACATGTATTTTTTTTTTTAAAGATTTTATTTATTTATTTGAGAATGAGAGAGAGCACATGAGAGGGGGGAGGGTCAGAGGGAGAAGCAGACTCCCTGCCGAGCAGGGAGCCCGATGCGGGACTCGATCCAGGGACTCCAGGATCATGACCTGAGCCGAAGGCAGTCGCTTAACCAACTGAGCCACCCAGGCACCCCTCCCAACATGTATTTTAAGGAAACAAGGATACATGAGAGATTTAGTTGCAATGATGAAGACTTGTTTATAAATGTGAAAAATTGGAAACAACATAAATGTCTAAAATAGGGGAGTGCTGTGTAGATTGTGGGACACTCGGAAGATGTAGCCGTTAAAAGGATGTTGGAAAATGTAATTATTGTCATGGGAAATAGTACACGGAGAAAAGCAGGTTATAAAAAGTATCTACATCTAGTAACATGCCTGTTTAATAAAACACATACAGATATCTGTGCTTAGAAAAAACATGGAAGGGAATAGATACCAAGTTGTTAACAGTAATGATCTCTGGGTATCAGGTTGAAGGATGATTTTAATATTCCTTTTGTTTACCTGTGTTTTCTGATTTTTCTCTAATGAACATGTACGAATTGCAGAACAAAAAATAAACCTTCATTTTGTTTTTTAAGAGGCAACACGATACACTCGAGGAACCCTGGACTGTGGCTCAGCACTTTAGATGTTAGCTCTAACTAGCTGTGTGGACTTGGGCAGGTCCCAGACTTCTGGGGACTTCAGTCTCTTCATCTGTAAAATTACGGGATTGGGTTCAGGATCTCCTAGCCATTCTCCAGAAGGTTATGACTATTCCAGAAATTCTGGAATTCTCCCAATACTGCACCTGTCACGGTTCCTGTAGAACCTGGAGTGAGCTGGCTTTAATCCCCGAATTCTCTAATGAATGCACAGCTGGCTGAGACAGCATCGTCCCCTGGTTCCAGGGGTCTAGACTCAGGGCCTGGGGACAGCCAGCTGGGAAGCAAGATTTGCCTCGATTTGGTACTTGTCTATAAGGAGGGCACAAAAGATCAGAGGATGCTTATTGCAAACTCATATGAATTACCCAGTAAAGAGTATCTGAACTGGTAGGAGAACAGGTACCAAGACCTCAGCCTGTATGTTATATCACTTCCACCTAAGAACCAAAACGAATATGGTAATAACAGCAATCATCACCCCAATGACATTTACAACTACAGGCTTTCAATGAGCAATGCTTCTGTGCCAGGCACATCTGACACCCCCATTGAATCCTCCCTAAGCCTGTGTTGCAGGCTCTTTTATTACGCCCATTTCATAAATGGGGGAACTGAGGCTTGGAGCGGTTAAGTGCCTTACCCAACAGCTCACAGCTAATAGGCCGAGAATTCAGGATTCGTACTCAAACCGTCTCCCCCTGGAACCCAAGCTCTCAACTCTCTCCCTAAGTGTGAAGTCATTTTTATCTGCTGACATTGGGCAGCACTACGCTGTGACCGTAAGGAGTGGCCCTATGTTTTAATGGACTCCAAAGACTCGCCACGGGAAGGGCATCTTTGGAGGGTCTTGGCCGCGATGCTTGCTGGGTTCAGGGCACAGTGGCAACAGGGGCCATGCACCCCCCCGCCCCGGTGCGTTTGGCCTGATCGCCTCGAGCAGACATGGGGAGCCCCAACCTCGGTGAGACGGGTCCTCACCTGGTCCTCCTTCATGCTCCTCACCAGTTCTTCTGCCTGCGCCAGCCAGTCTCTGCACAGAGGGAGGGGGCAGAGAGAAAAACCAGTTGGCTTGACCTTTGCTGAGGGCCAGGAGCTTGCCCCTGGCCCCAGCACAGGTGCCAGTCTCAGAGCCTGAGGCCACGCTGCTCCGCCCCTGGCTTCTGCAGGGCAGACACGGACCTGATTCTCAAAACGAGGCCCATCAGGCAGACTGAAATCCATGCAGGAGACGCATTTTGACTTTGATCTAATACAGACCTTTCTTTCGAAGCCTCTTTGACTTTGCCCACACCCCACCCCGCACCCCGCCCAGGTGCCCAAGACGGGCAGGAGGACGCGGCCCCAGAGAAAGCCAGAAATGGGACTTACTCAACACCAGGGTGGGGTACCACTCTCTTCCCAGGAACACACAGGGGCCTCAGAACAGAGGGGTTGAAATATCTGATGACGTCTGAAAGGACTAAAGAGAGAGCTGCTTTGAGGCTGTGGTCCTGCCAGCTGGAGGGGATCCATGAAGGCTGACGCCCGTGGGCTGAGCCGCGAGGGTGGCCGCGCCCTTCACACCCTTCACAACCACCATCGACTATGAGGTCAGCCTGAGTGGGCCGCTGGAAGTGAATGCAGCTAAAAGCCAGCATCTGTCAAGTGCTAGGCCAAGCCAGTGCTGAGTACCCTACATGCGTGAAGGGGAAACTGAGTCTGGGAGAAGTGGAGCAAGCTACTCAAGGTCTCACGGTAAACTGAAGCTGCTGGGATTTGAACCAGGGCTTTTAAACATCAAACTTTTCACTGTCGTGTGCCATCGACTCCTTAGGGAAAGTGTGCTGGGACAGGGACCTGGGGAGGCTGCCTCCCAGCCCCCCTTCCTCCTCTTGAGAGTGACAGCAGGGCGGGAAATCTCCAGGGAACATACGTCCCAGAGCTGACAGCCAGAGGACCGCTAAAAATAGTGCTGTCAGGAGCAGTTAAGTTGTGTCTTGCTCCCGAGAGAGGAGAGGGCAGAGCCTGGAGAGTGTCAGTGAGGGAGATGCCTCCCCCCAGCCGGGTCCCCCTCTCCCGTTGTCCCCATGCAGAAGCGCCTGGGGCTTTGTGGGAGCACACGGCTGGCACTGGGTGGCAGGAAGTCAGGAGACCAGCCTCTTGGCTTTGTCCGCCTGGGTGGCCACCTAGGTCACATGTGACTCGGGCTCGGTCCTCAACCCCAACTAATGAGCTTCCTTTTCTGAGTCCTGACAACTTGAAGGAGGAGCCCCTTCCCACATGTGGGGAGAAAACAGGAAGCTCGGAGGCCAGCTGCAGACGACAGGGACAGTGTATGCACCTGCGTGTGAGTGTGCGTGCGAGTGGGTGGCTGGGGATGGAAGACACTTTCCCTCCTTCACCGCAGGAGAGTCTGTGAGAGCAAATGACAAAACATGATACCTGGTGCTAGGTCTTTGAAAGAGCTTTCCAAAGTAGAAGTACTTGCACTGTATTACTCCTTTGTGATCAGACGTGACCGTGGAGCTTTTCACGTAAATCTTCCTGTCATTTTGTTTTAGGCCTGCTGTGGACCTCATCTGTCCTTGCTGCCTCTCTCTTGGTTTCCAGTGGGGTCAGAACAAAAAGCACAGGCTGCGGGCACCTGCGTTCAAAGGGACTCTGCCACATACTGATCGTGTGACTTTGGGAAAGTCTGGGTACCTCCCCAAGACTCAGTTTTCCCATCTGCAAAATGGCCATGGTGGGCGAGGGCATGACTAGATTTGAAGAGCTCGGAGGTTTTGGGATTGAAGGACAGGTGGGCTAAGCCAGATGAAGTTGGGGCCAAGCCCAACATACCACTGCACTGGCCTGGATGTCCCTGGAGCTCCTTCTGCTCGGCAGACCCGTTTCCCCTCTGCTGGCTCGGCCACCCACCTGAGCTCCCAGGTCTGCACTCCTCCCCACTTTCCCTATGCAGTAGGTAGGCTGGATGTACCAGCAGCTACAGGTGAGTTCTGCCTTTGGGGACAGTCAGGTGCAAAATCTGCTCTCACCGCCCTGCCTTCTGCGGCAGCACTGGCCAGTGGGACTCCTGGTCACTCTGTCGAACAAAGGGCAGTTGGGACTTGTTACTACGTGGGTAAGGGACCAAACAGTAGTGACAAGTTGAGAAATCAGGCAAAGCAGCAGCTGTATTTATGCTTCGGAGGCTAAACTATATCCCATCTTCCCAAACCCCCCAAATCCACCACTACATTTTTTTCCCTACCATTTAAAGGTCAATAGGGCCAAACTGAGGCAGAGCTGTGACAGTCACTGAGTCAGTGGGAGCCTCCTCTTTTGGAACGCTTTGACCTTCTGCAAGGGGATCCTCCAGCCATTTGGGCCCCCAGTATCCCCTCACCTGTCAATCGGACCCTGGAGGGCTGGACACCAGGCCCCAACCTTCCCTGCTGGATGATGAGGGCTGAAAGGACGGGCCGTATCTTAGTCATCCCTGTCCTCTGCCGAGAACCTAATAATCCCCAGGCCCTTGGAGGAATTCGCTGGCTGGATTGACAGGGCACTACCTTCCTTCCTTGTCATTGTACCCGCTGGGGTGTCAGCTCCAGAGGTTTTCTGCTCTAATTAGGAAGTGAAAGGTGGTTTCCTTGTTCTTGACTTGTGAGCAGTAAGCATAGGCAACTAACATCCCGTGAGGCTAATTAAGCTGGCATGAGGGACTCGGGGGCTTCTGAATGACTTAATACAGTTGTAAGGGACCTCAGAGAGTAAATGAAAACAGCCAGGCCACAGATTGCATATTCATAAGCACGCGCAGATGTAAAAAGGCCAACATGTTAACAATGACCATCTCTGGGTAGTGGGATTGCAGTTAATTTTTATTTTCTTCTTTTCATTGTCCTGAACCCAACTGACATATTTATTTTACAAGTAAGGGAGTTACTGCAAAATGAAATGGGCTGAAAATGAGACCTGGATCTTCTTGGTGTGGGGAGAAGGGAGTGAGAATGGTGGACCCTTTCCCTCGAGGAAGTGCTAGCAGTCCAGCCCTGCGGTCCTGGGGGAGAAGGAGCTTCAGGACTCTGCTGCCCCTCATGTCTCTGCCGGATCCCATAACCTAATGCCTCCTGGCTTCTCTTTGCTCAGAGACCCTCATACACAGTTCTCACCCCCCCCCCCCACCTTTTAGGGCATGTGACTTGCCATACCCTGGCTCCTTATCTGTGCTCTCAGAATGCCTCCTTACTCTCCTCAGGCTCCATGAGGAAGTGGCCACTAGGGTACCCTCTCGTCACTAACCGAAATGTTGCTGTGTTGGGAGGGATAGGGACAGTCTGGAATCTGGCCGTGAAGACATAGGACTCACCTGTCACCACTTCTATGCACGTCTGCTGTGGCCCTCGGTCAGTCCTGCAGGTAGAAGCAAACACGCAAGCATCAGACTGCATTTGTCAACATTTTCCCTCAACTGCTGTGGTCTCGTTCATAACAAGCTGCAGCTCAGCGTTGCTCTGGTCCTGGATTTATCCTGTCCACCAAAATGGGGTGAACAGCTTTGTTGGACCCTCCTCTAGTCTGGTCCAAAGCTGGAAAGGGACGCAGCCCCCAGAGTAGAAGGAGTCCAACCATGCCTGCTTCCCCACAGAGCAGAGCAAGGAGACGGTGGGAAGCAAGAACGAAGTACTCAGCCCTTCCCACGTTTCTTCCCTAGTCACCCAGAGGACCCAGGGGGCTTTGTGGGCACAGGAGTGTTGGACTGGGAGGCAGGAGGTTTTGTTCTTGTCCTTGTTCAGCCACCTACTCCCAAGGGCACCTGGAGCAAACCATTTCCACCCCCCAACCCTTGGGTTTCCCCATCAATGAAGCCAAGAGCTGAGACCTATGCAAGGCTCCTCTCAGCTTGAGGGCTCTGTGGTTCCAGGGTAGTTACCATTTTTGCTTCTCCAGGTCGACGGTCCCTGAGTCTGGAGGCTGGAAAAGATAGGAGGCATGAACAACCCAGCCAAGGAAGGTGGCAGAGCCTGTCCTTGGGAGACTCCAGCTGCCAGTCAGACACCCCCTCCCACCAGCAAAAGGGAGCCCACGGGTCCAGAGAAAGGCGAGTCTGCTCATGAATGTCAAGTTTCCTTGGCAGTTTGTGGGTCAGAACTCAGAGCACCCCAAGGTGTGAATGTTTTCTCCAGAACCGGAGACAGGGACAGGAGAGCATAGATTTAAATGCGTCTATGCAGACTTTTAACCTCTCCTTAGACACACAAGGGATTGTTTTATTGTGTGACTGTTCTAATCTGAAATTTTGTTTATTGCTGGTCTCCCCAGACTCAAAAGTGTAAGTGCCACAAGGGCAGGAGTTTGTGCCCGTTTTGTTCTGGACTGTATTCCTTCTACCTAGGATGGCGCCTGACACATCCTAAGTATTCGATCAGTATTTGTTGGCTAAATACTTTTTGAATGGACAAAGTAAGTTTCTGATTTTCCTCTTGGTAAAATGCTGGACAACACAGGACACAGTCTGCCAAAGAGGCTCCCTGGCTGGAGGACCGAGGCGGGACCCTGGGAGGCACCAGGGAGTTGTGTCCTCTGCAGGGTCCCAGGGAACTTAGGAATTGTGCCCAGTGTATATAGAAAGTACTCGGTATGTATTAGCTATTGTCAGTAGTAGTATTTTCACAGGTCCTGACACAAATTTTCTCTCTCAGAATTCCTCAAAGACAGTGTCTCCAGGTGTGGTGGTGACAGGTGACAGTTGTACCCACACTGCCTACACCCAGTCTGCTGCTACTTCTCTTTAAAGAGCCTGTCTGTCCTTAACCACCCAGCTCAAATGACAACCAGTCTATAAAACTGGGTCACCCCTCTGGAGCCTTCTTCGGAGGGCAGGCTGACCGCAACCTCCCTCTGAGTGGGATGGAGACTTTTACTCCTCAGTAAGGAGTTTGAAAGGCAAAATTTCCCAGGGAAAGGCAGCAAGTTAAACAAAAATCCCACGACAGTGCTAGTCAGGAATCAGAAACCAGGATGGCAGGCAGGTGAAGTCTGGAGGGAAGGCAGCTCCTGGGCTGAGGCAAAGTGGACGGCCTGTGCCCAACCAAAGGGGATCTGAATGATAGCAGAGCTCTTGCCTAGAACAAGCTTGTTGGGGCTGGTGAGGGGAAGGAAAGGGAGAGAACAAGAGGAACAAGGTGGGGGTGGGGCCGGCGAAGAGCTCAGTGAGGAGTTCCAGAAAGGGAAGGCTGGGACAAACCCAGCAAACTCCTATGTCTCCATCTTGCCTGCGGCAGCCATATTCTTCCTTGGCTGAATGCATGATGGCGCTAGAGATGCAAACCTAATTAAGACACAAACCCTGTCTTCAAGGAAGTTGAGACAGTGGATTGTAACTTCCCTGGCATGGAAAATGTCTAGAACTCTTAGGTAGGCAAACAAAGCAAAGTAAAAAACAAATCACAGATAGTATGTTGCAGTATAACCCTATTTTGGTTACTCTCTCTCTCTCTCTCTCACTGTATGGTGTGTGTGTGTGTGTGTGTGTGTGTGTGTATTGGGGCAGAATAGGTGATCAAATGAAACCCTCAATTTTTTATTCTATGTACATGTGTTTTATTTGATTTTTTTCTTATAGCGAACATGCATCACGTATGTTAGCTTGCAAATCATTTTTACAAACATTTGCAAATCTGATCTTTAACGTTCGGTGAGGAAAAGCTTGTCCAGAGCAATTCAATAAACACGGGCTATAGGCACAGGTAAGATTGTGCCTTGGTGACAGAAAGCTCCAGGAACTCGAAAGAAAAAAAAAGTACCAGCATTATGAACTCTTTTCTTTCTTTCTTTTTTTTTTTAAAAGATTTTATTTATTTATTCATGAGAGACAGAGACAGAGAGAGAGAGGCAGAGGGAGAAGCAGGCTCCCAAGGAGCAGGGAGCCCGATGCGGGACTCGATCCCAGGACCCTGGGATCATGACCTGAGCCGAAGGCAGACGCTTAACGACTGAGCCACCCAGGCGTCCCTAAACTCTTTTCTTTCTAAATTCACTGCTTTCTGGGATTTTTCCCGGACCTGATAAACCAGGCTAAATTCACCACCACAGGCTCTGGGCACCCAGGAAGGCAGCCTCCTTGGAATTGCGCTCTCAGGTTTTACCCTGGAGGCTGGGGTGCCCGTCGTGTGAGGGTAACGATCAGGGATGGGGTGCCAGGCCAGCTCACAGGAGGAGAAAAGGGGAGCTGAGTGACAGGCAGGAGCTCTGGGGTCTGCATAATTCATGAGCGAGAGAACTCCTGAGGAGCTGCCACCAAAGAAGGGACATCACGAGTCACCAACGCTAGATGGCTGGAACTTTAGAAGCCTGCCGCGGTGCGCTCCCTCCAGTGAACTTCCCGACCCAGATGGGAGAGTGTTCCAGTCCTCCAGCTGGGGTCACCCACGTCCCGGGGCAGGGAGGGGGATACGACACAGGTGCTCTCCGCGACATGAAGCCTCTTTTCTCCTTTACCTCCCCTTCCACATCTCTCCCGCTAGACCTCCCCCTTCAGCCCCATCAACACACTGTTACAGTCACACCCAGCACCGAGAAGGAGGTCGAGGGCAGGAGGCCCTGCTGCCAGGTTCCCCTGGCCCTGGTCTGTTTGCTAATGTCAAGGCTGGTTCTTTCTGGAGGGCTGGCACAGTGCCTGGGGAGGGGGCCGGGGCTGGCAGTGAGGTAGCCGAGGGGGCCGGCGGGGGTCCGGGGGAAGGGGCGGAGGTTGCAGGGAGGACAGCCTGCAGCAGGGACAGGGGAGGGCCACTGGGAAGGAGCCTCAGTAGGTGGAGGAGGGAGGAAGACACTGAAGGGGATGGTGGTGGTGGATGTCTCAGTTCCAGTGCAGGGGTGCAGCGGCGGGGCTCTGAGGCAGAGCGGAGAACGCTGGCCTGATGGGGATTCTGTTCAGCGGGGGCTGCTGGCCCTGGGGCGGCGGGGCTGGGGACCCTCCCTGTGACCAGGCCGGGTGCGGCTGCGGGAAGCCAGCACTGACTACGGAATCATGTTGACGTTCTGCGCTGCTCTCCAACCCCCTTCTCTCCAGACCCTCTCTTTCTGCTTTTCCCTCTCTCCTCATTCTTTCCACCTCTCTCCTTGCTTTCTTTCTCCTTTACCCGACCATATAAAATAGGCCACTTAAAATCTATTAGCAAAGCTGGGTAGATTTTTTAAAAATTTACCAAGCAGGTAAGGACATTTTTTTCTTTATCTCATAAACAAAGCTTAAGAAATGATTTCTAAAATTCTGTGTGATCTTTGACTTAATTTATCAATTGGTTTAATTTATTAATGAGAACCTTTGAAAGTTTCCACATATTAATGTAAAAGGAGGCATTCATTTGATATTAAGAAAGAAAAACAAAAAGGACACAGACCCTCTAGGTTTTACAATGTCCCCAAGTCAGAGAATGTTCTTCTCTCCCAAAACAAAACATCCTGCCTGGCTACCAGGAGTTCAGCCTGAGGCTTCCAGTCCCAAACCCTGACTCTCACCTCTGTCTCCTTGAAATACTCACAGTTTCCACATTGCCCATGGCTGCCACAAATTTAATATCAGAAGGTCTCACAGAGTGGACTGCAAAGACAAGAACCCATTTAAGAAGGTCAGATCTACCTTCCCCAAGGTCTTAGCCAAAGAGGCCAAATGGGAGAGGCAGACCCACATCCGCCAGCCTGAGGTGGAATGCTGAAGACCAGGACGTCACTGGGACCCATAGGAACCCCGCTGGAAAGAGGCTCACTCTTCTCTGCAAGCCACAGGTGTCCCATGGAAAGTCGCTCATGGCCCTCCTTTGCCCTCCTGCCCGGCCTTCCCTCTATCCCTTGGCTCTACATTTCTGGGCTCCCATTAATACGTAAAGGGTATCAAGTTAAAACACAAACCACCTGGGTACAAAAGAGATAATGTTAGCTTGAGTGTCAGAGAACATCGCTCAAAGTCTGTGAACACACATAAATGTCAGACGCAAGCTATATGCAAATGGTACACCAGGAAGCCTCCGTGACCCACCTGGGCCACCAGCATTTTTAGGATTAAGTCTCCCTAGAAACCAGTGACCTCCTGATCATGTTACAGGGCCATTAAAAGTAAACCTCCTAAAGAAACCGTTTCCTAAGAGGTATATTGATTTCTTTTTCTAGCTACACTCCTTATATAATGGAAGAGTAAGAATAGCATGCTTAACTGGAAACTCTAGTAAGTTAGGGCAGTGCAAACATAAGCAAAGCCATTAAACACAGTCTGTAATGCAGCCATTTAATAGGATAAAGCCAGAGAAGCCAGCCAGCTCCAGAGCAACACTCATACCATCCAGGTGTTAGACAAATCTAGCCCATTATAGGAGAAAAATGTCTATGGGAGCTATTACCGCTTACATCCAGGAGGGCAGGCGAATGACCACGCTCCAACCCACAGCTCCTGTGGCACCCTCTGCACCCCCAGAGGTGAGCTCCCGGGGGTCACCCTCACCTGTGTGGCCATGTTGGTTTGATCTCTGGTGGCCCTCTACAGAAACGGCTGAGGGGAGAGGAGGAGGCGTGAAGGATGGGGGCTGGAAAAGAGGCCTGAATGGCCAAAAGACGCAAGAGGAGTAGGGTCGGAGCCTCTGTTGGCCACTCCAGGGAGAAACTGCCAGGCTTCCAAGCTCATGGCTCGGGGCCACATACCTGACTTAGGAGGCACGCTGGATCCTGACTTCTCTGAGTTGCATGGGAATGGAAAATTCTTCAGTGTCTGCAACTGAAACCAAACATCAGAAACGTCAACTGCCTTATAAAGAAGTATGGCAGGTCCTGAAACCTCGGTGTACTTTGACCACGTACTTGTCTCCTCTAGGCTCAAAATCTAGAGGCAACTATGATTATCCGTAGTCATGTTCATCTAACTCCATACCCTGTTCACCTAGTAAAAGGGGACGTGTATCTACTGACAATGATCTTAGCAAGTGGCAGGTAAGGATGCCTCAGAACAGTTGGGGGGAGGTGGGGGGCAGGGAGGAAAGAAAAAAAAAAAAGAATAAAAATCAATTCTTGGGATGATGAGAAAGATCTGGAGACAGAGAGTGGTGATGGTTGCCCAGCAATGTGATTGTCTTAATGCCATTGAATTGTACACTCAGAAATGGTAAAAATGTTAAATTTTATGTTATGTGTATTTGACCACAATAAAAAAAAATAATTAAGAGACCCAGTATATATAGACTAAAAAGTTAAAAAATCCATTCTTTGCTATCATGTTTTTTATATTATCTACTTTCCCTCTTTTAATTTGATTATCTACACAAAAGCAGATATAGGAGGCATTATGTTTATTTGCTGCTGGAAATGGTAAACTGGAAAATGGGAACTCTCAAGTACACCCCCCCACCCCCCAAGACTGGTGTGTCCTAAGCCAGAGGACTCCTCGCTGCTGAGAGCAGAGGAGGGACTGGGTGACCAGTACTCAGGTTCTCAAGATCATCCGGGCCTCCCCAGATCCCCATGCAAGCCCAGAGCATCCTCTGCTTCTGTGAATCACATGGAAGGCTTGGGGAAGGGAGATCAGGTTTTCTCCCCAGAAGCAAGAGAAGAAAGGGAACTATTCCAACAGGGGAAAACATGCAGTGAATAAGGTGCTTGACCACATCTCAGCTGTTACAAGACACAGGTTAATTTCTCTTGAATTACTAACTTCGGTAAGAGATAAAGAATTTATGCTCAACTCTTATCTTGTGGATGTTCTGGGAAGACCTCACCCAGATGCCTTCAGATAATTCACAGCATCTGCTTCAAAGTCCACAGAGATAACAAGCCCATTTATAACTCTTTCTGGACATTTCTAGGAACCACCAGCTTAGTGTGCAGGGGTAATGAGCCCCAAATTCCAGGAGATAGAGTTGCACTATCTCTGTTGTGCCAGGCCTCCTGACTGTTCCCCCCAGGCTTCAGGGAGGGGCTTGCCAATTTGCATCAAGAATTGGATTTACCTGCTAGAAAGGAACCCCACTCCCCCCCACTTCTCCCACCAGGACAAAGGCCCTCACCTCGGGCGATCGTTGCTCTTCCGTATTCTCTCCAGGCGAGGTGTGGGCCTGGGTGGGTCCTAAAAGAAAGCAAATATAGCTCAGATTATTTAGCTGGAAATAACACCCACCCAGATTTGTAGCTTTCCTGCCCTTCCTCCCAGCCCTATCTAAGTGCCCAGCTCAGTAATGTCCCTTGTGTTAGGAAAGTCCAGATTCATTCCTCCAACGATCACCTCCATTGTCTGGGACACATGCTTCCTTTAATGCAGCCTATGAAGGGAGAATCGCCAGGTTGAAAAGCAAAAGTGTGATCTGGGAGGGGTCAATACTAACCCTGTATCGCATTATTATCTAGCATGTTACCACAGATACCTTCACTTGTTCCTTAGCAAAGGACAGAATTCTTGAGGAAGGTAACGTTGGACGAATACCTGCTGTTGTTTGGGGATCCGGGACAAAGCAGGGAAAGCAAAAGACCTTCTGGAATTGTCTGAAGGGTTATGTGAATTTAAGAGCTAATTGTGGGATTCCCAACAGCTGTGACTGTACATCATGGGCTGGACAGGAGCTGTCCCGAGGGGTCTTGCTGAGTGTGAGATGGAAGGGAAGAAAAGGCAGGTAGAGAAACTGCAAAGACACTATCCTCATCCCAATTTACTTTGGACCAGTATTTTAAAAATATTTGCATTTTCTTTACCTTTTAAAAATACAATTTACATATGACAAAAGATTCATCTTAAGTGTCTAAGCCAATAAGTTTTCCCATAAAACATCTTAAATACACAAAAAACAGTGTGGTACAATTAACAGCACTCTATGTAAAGGAACAAAAATTCACCCACAGTTCCACTACCCCAATAACCAAAAGTGATTTGTTCTCCCTCTTGGGTCTATCATCAGGCTCTGGAGCAGGCACACTGTCCATTTAATCAATGTGGATGCAATCTTGTGTCCTGCAAGTTCCCCTTAATATTGCATCGTGAATATTTTTCATGTCGCTATGTCATGTTGATGTTTACTCTAACAGCTTCATGATACGTTTATGATACTGATATGTAATTGGACATCCCAGTTCCTGGTGACCTTGGACTTCTCCCTGCCCAGTTCTCTGGCCAGGGTGCACGCTCTTTGTCAAAGTCTGGTGAGAACTCCCCAACGGCATTAGACAGTGCTGGGGGTGGGGCTGACTTGGGGGAGAGGGCTTGATTCCTTTTCTACCTCCACCTTCTTTTTTGACCTGAAAAGAATTTATCTGGAGTTTCACAAGCAGCAGGAGTGTATTTCATTGCCTGCCCGCCGTAAGATCAGGCACTGGTTTCCATGTTAGAGCTCGTGGCCGCAATGATGGCTATAACTTGCCCCCAGATCTCAGTGGCAAGTTTTAAATTCCCAGAAGAAAGCTTTCTGGGCAGAAAGAGCCACATGATGGGGACCCACAGAGTTGTGGATAAGCACAGAGTGTGGAGCAGGTTTGTAACGGGAGGGAAGGGGAGTGGAGGGCAGGTAGAGGAGGGTAGAGGAGGGCAGCTGGGCTGTGGAGCTGCAAATGCCAGGCTCCTCCTCTGTGAGCAACAGGGACTCACGCTGATGTTTAAAAAGATGAGTGTTAACATGTATTTTAAGATGATCTTTGCTCTGGGAGTAGTGAGGCTGATGAATTAGCAGGGCAGAGAGGTGAGACTATTTTTGTAATATATTTTTTAAAGATTTTATTTATTCATTTGACAGAGAGATAGAAAAGCAAAAGCAGAGGGAATGACAGAGGGAGAGGGAGAAGCAGACTCTGCACTGAGCAGGGAGCCCGATGCGGGGCTCGATCCCAGGACCCTGGGATCATGACCTGAGCCGAAGGCAGACGCTTAGCCATCTGAGCCACCCAGGCGCCCTGTAATATTTTTTTTAAGCTAGGCTAACCATGTATATGACAGCTAACACTTAATATGCAGCCTCTATGCGCCAGGCTTTCTAAACCCTTACATGAAATAATTCATTTACTCCCTACAACAGCTCTAGGAGATAAAAGCCATGATCTCCACTTTGTGGATAAAAGAGGCTCAGAAAGATTAAGTGACATTTTAAAGGTGACACAGTTAGTAATGGTGATAGCAGGATTTGAAAATGGGCAGCCTGGCTCTGGAGGCTGTGCTCACGGCCAACGAGTGAAGTGTAAGTCACAGCCTAAGATCCAGATCAGGGGTCGGCACACGTTTTCTGTAAAGTGCCACATAGTCCCTATTTTAGGTTTTGCAGACCATACTGTCTTGTCACTGCTCAGCTCTGGAGTAGTGCGAAAGCAGCCACAGACAAGATATAAACAAATTAACTTTATGGAGACTGAAATTTGAATTTCATATAGTTTTCATATGTCGTGAAATACTCTTCTATTTTTCCCAACCATTTACATTTTTAAAAACCTTTGTGGATATCAACGAACTGATTTTTTTTAAATTTTATTTATTTATTCGTCAGAGAGAGAGAGCACAAGCAGGGGGAGCGACAGGCAGAGGGAGAAGCAGGTTCCCCGCTGAGCAGGGAGCCCAATGCGGGGCTCGATCCCAGGACCCTGGGATCATGACCTGAGCCAAAGGCAGATGCTTAACCAACTGAGCTACCCAGGCGCCCCTCAATGAACTGATTTTAAAGTTTATATGAAAAGGCAAAAGACCCAGAATAGCCAACAGAATATCGAAGCAGTAAAAAGTCACAGAACTGACACGATCCAACCTCAAGACCTACTATAAAGCTACAATATGATATGGGCAGAAGAACAAATAAATCCATGGGACACAACAGAGAGTCCAGAAATAGACCCATGTAGATAAAGTCAACTGATCTTTGACAAAGAAGCAAAGGCAGTACAATGGAGAAAAGATAGTCTTTTCAACAAACAGTGTTGGAATAAGTGGACATCCACATAAAAAAAAAAAGAATCTAAAAATGTAAAATCCATTTTTAGCTCACAGGTCATCCAAAAACAGGCATAAGGCTGGATTTAGCCCACTGGCCATTATTTGCCAACCAACGCCTGATCTGTACTGCTTACTGTAATGAGATCATCAAGCTTAAACAGGAAAATGGCATCTCTGGTGATCAGCAATAGCCTTTAGCCCCAGGAACCCCAGATGGGAACCTGGGACCTACCTCCAGATTGCCAGGTAAAGGATCATTGGTGCTGGAAGCCACCTATCTCCTGGCCTTTGAGAAATGTCCTATTCCGTACATCTCCCAGTTCTCCAGGCTCCAAGCCTGAGATACAAAAAAAAAAATCTCTCCTCAAAGAAACCCTTTGGTCCCCTGCCATAAAAAGTAGTTTCCTTTAAAAAAGATTTTTATGACTGTGAATACACTCAGCACTCTATAATTTCTAAAACAAAAACAAAAACAAACAAAAACCTTTAAGTCAAATAATATAAGCAGAAAATCTAGCCCGGTGCCTGCACAAATATATACTGAAATATGTTCATTTTGATGAAAGGTGCTGTTCATTATCAAAACAGTCGAGAGAAAGATGTCATTATTAGCATCATTTTGTAGAAGTTAAAATTTTTCTTTCAAGAAGTAGGACTGGATTGAGCTTCCAATCTGCTGACTCTAGATCTAAAATGTTTTAAAGGGGCTCAAAGGAGCCTGTTTTTTTTTTTATTTTTATTTTTTTATTTATTTTTATTCTTATGTTAATCCCTATACATTACTTCATTAGTTTTAGATGAAGTGTTCCATGATTCATTGTTTGTGCACAACACCCAGTGCTCCATGCAGAATGTGCCCTCCTCAATACCCACCACCAGGCTAACCCATCCTCCCACCCCCCTCCCCTCTAGAACCCTGTTTGTTTTTCAGAGTCCATCGTCTCTCATGGTTCATCTACCCCTCCGATTTCCCCCGCTTCATTCTTCCCCTCCCACTATCATCATCATCTTCTTCTTCTTCTTTCTTCTTCTTCTTTCTTCTTTCTTCTTCTTCTTCTTCTTCTTCTTCTTCTTCTTCTTCTTCTTCTTCTTCTTCTTCTTCTTCTTCTTCCTTCTTCTTTCTTCTTCTTCTTCTTCTTCCTTTTTTTCTTAACATATATTGCATTATTTGTTTCAGAGGTACAGATCTGAGATTCAACAGTCTTGCACAATTCACAGTGCTTACCAGAGCACATACCCTCCCCAGTGTCTATCACCCAGTCACCCCATCCCTCCCACCCCACCCCCCACTCCAACAACCCTCAGTTTGATTCCTGCGATTAAGAATTCCTCATATCAGTGAGATCATATGATACATGTCTTTCTCTTTTTGACTTGTTTCACTCAACATAATACCCTCCAGTTCCATCCACATCGTTGCAAATGGCAAGATCTCATTCCTTTTGATGGCTGCATAATATTCCATTGTATATATATACCACATCTTCTTTATCCATTCATCTGTCAATGGACATCTTGGCTCTTTCCACAGTTTGGCTATTGTGGACATTGCTCCTATAAACATCGGGGTGCACGTACCCCTTCGGATCCCTACTTTTGTATCTTTGGGGTAAATACCCAGTAGTGCAATTGCTGGGTCGTAGGGTAGCTCTATTTTCAACGTTTTGAGGAACCTCCATACTGTTTTCCAGAGTGGCTGCACCAGCTTGCATTCCCACCAACAGTGTAGGAGGGTTCCCCTTTCTCCGCATCCCCGCCAACATCTGTCATTTCCTGACTTGTTAATTTTAGCCATTCTGACTGGTGTGAGGTGGTATCTCATTGAGGTTTTGATTTGGATTTCCCTGATGCTGAGCGATATTGAGCACTTTTTCATGTGTCTGTTGGCCATTTGGATGTCTTCTTTGGAAAAATGTCTGTTCATGACTTCTGCCCATTTCTTGATTGGATTCTTTGTTCTTTGGGTGCTGAGTTTGATGAGTTCTTTATAGATTTTGGATACTAGCCCTTTATCTGATATGTCATTTGCAAATATCTTCTCCCATTCTGTCGGTTGTCTTTTGGTTTTGTTGACTGTTTCCTTTGCTTTGCAAAAGCTTTTTATCTTGATGAAGTCCCAATAGTTCATTTTTGCCCTTGCTTCCCTTGCCTTTGGCGATGTTTCTAGG